GGAGCAAGAACCATGTCTAGCAGCCAAGTGGGGATTTCCCACTAAACCACAATAAGCAAAAATGTAAAATGTTTCCCAACAACAACCGAGATGAGGGAAGGCCGCGGGCTCCGTCAGGGCGCCTTCTTCATCAACAGCTGGGCAGTGCCTCAACAAGGAAGGGAGGCAGGAGCGCCGATTCCGTTCCTTGAGGAAGAAGGCGGGGGCGCTTCAATTCGGTTCAATATGTTGTGGTGCTTGGATGTAGGGGGCATGGGTGGCAGTCAGCATCAGCCTCGCTATGACAGAGAAAACATCATTTAATGGTCGCCCCGCCCCCCCCCTTGCTACCTATAACTCCATGCGTACGGGTAAGACCTCACAAAAGGTGTGTAAAGGTCCAGGGGCAACTCAATGTACATCCAAGGGTTTAGGGTTTCACCATACGTTTGACCAGACCTGGCACGTTGATCGCTTTGAAGGGGGGCAGTATGTCTGTGTTGGAATGGCAGTATGGGAGACCCTATTTGGCTCAAATCATGCCCAGAAAAGGCGGAGCAAAGAAGAAGGTTGGTCAGGCTCCTGCCTTGACCAGACCAGCATGGGATGAGTGGATAAAATTTGTAGGCCAAAATTGCGGTGCGAGGATTGCAGTAATCTTGAGCTTCACTGGCAATTTTGGCCTTCGCTGCTCAGAGGCGCTGACCCTCAAGAGGGAAACATTGCCATGAAGGCTGAGATCACAAAGATCACGATCACAGGGGACACGCCAGGTGGCAAAAAATCACCAGGAAACATATATGTGCGCAAGAAGCACGCTCGCTGGCTAAAATCTCTTTTGCAACATGGGTACACTGTGAAGCGAGAAAAAGGTCATAAACATGGCAAGCCAGCCGGGGGAAAAAAGAAGATTACCATCGAGGTGGAGGACACGCACCAGCTCCCGGAGCAGGGGTTCTTTTTCACAAGCTGCAAAGGTGCCAACAACAACCACCTGCACTATCATGCTGTGTACGCGCATGTCAAGAAACAGGCTCCTCGGTTTCTGCAGCACCTAAAGGACAACAACAAAAGCTATGAAGAAGACTATAGCAGACTCAGGCCACACAGTGGACGGGCCACACTCATCACCGAGCTCATGGGAGAACTGCGATGAGTATGAAATTCGCGCGGCTTGTTTGCACACCGAAACAAAACAGCAAGGCGCAGCAGGTTGAATGATAGGACAAACAGGGTGCGAGAGTAAACCCCCAAACGTGATCAAGAAACTCCCTCAAAGTAGCCACCCCCTTAGGCTGTGTCATTTAAAGGTTTAGCTTTGGGCAAGGGGTCAAGCAGTATGAGGAGACATGCGCCTGGATCCGTGAAAGTGTGCCTGAAGTATGGGCAAGTTACCTTGCGAGACGTCAAGAAAGCCTGCGATGACCTTGAGGACTCTGCCGGCAAGTCAAAATACGATTGGTCCCGGATGCCCACGAGGCAGTTAAAGACAGTGCGGGAGGAGATTGAGAAAGAGCTCAAGAAGCGCAAGTAATGCCAATGACTGGCAACCAGTTAGCTTCTGCACTGGGTGGGGGCAAACTTTTGAAACATATATTATTAGATCCATGACACGTTGCAACATGTTTGCGCTCGTTTCATTCAGTTGTCAACATTTTGGCTTAACCTTACTTGTTGACAAGCCCTAGGACGGCACGGCTCGGACATCAATGTGCAACCAGTAAGTTGCTCGGACACCGGTCACTTGCTGCCACAGACCGTGGGCCCGCCAGAAGGAATGTTGACCCCAAGCAAGAAGTAATCTTCAGAGCTATTTTCTTACTTCATGGGCGTTTCCCGGCCTCCTTTCATTACCCCCCTCCCCGCAACCGCCCCCTCTCTCGGTTTTTTTGCCTTGATTTAAGTGCTCATTCATCTCATTCGAGAGTCCGTGACCACGGATCATGAGCCGAGCCGCCAAGCCCGGAACGAGGGTTTTCACTCCAACTGCTTTTGGGTTCTTCTTTTCTTGGAGGGTTCTCCTCGTGTTAAAGACATCATAGATCATCGTGGGATTGACTGGCCCTGCCTGCATTGACGGGCAGCTCCGGAGGTCGAGCCGCTGCGGTGGTGCGGTGAGACGCGAAGCAGGCCAGGTCAAGGGCTCCGTGCGCTGGGGGGGACCCCTATGATGACAATGCAATGAAACCACAAGAAAGACAGGGTGAAGTGTGGTTGCCCCGTGAAAGTGAAGCCAGGGTGAAGAAGGCAGGGATGGATCGCAAGTTGTGTCTTGGCGGGGATGGCCTCACAAGCCGACCTAACTTCGGTGAAGTTGATGTTTTGGATAAGTCGGCGCCTGCTCACATGGCTATGGTTTAAAACAAGGCACCCAAGTGGCACCTTGGCATCTGGGAACAAAGGCTAAAGCCAGCAGTCTAATTTTGAGCCCACATAAAGGTGTTTCAAGCCTCGATTCGGGCCCTCTTTTAAGGGAGACCAAAAGGAGTTGCTTAGCCAGCCTGGAGCCTCCATCGTAGCACAAATTTATGCTCCCCCCTGGTTCGATACACAAATTGACACGTTGTAGTGTCTCTTCCTCCACAATTGCTTTCGAGCATTTTTTCGGATTCGAGCAGAAATCCAGTTCTCTAGTTTCATATCCCCTCACAGGCGCGAGCTTGGGAAGAGTCTTCAACTAAACGAGAAAACGAAACGAGCGAAAATCCCACACATGGTACAGGCAATGGCTTCCGACGGGCGCATGATTGCTGTTAACTCGAGCACTTTTTGTTGAACCGTACATTTATTTTTGAACAGGTTGTCACGAGCAGAAATAGTTCGAGCAAAAATTGACGTATCAATGGAGGCTGCAGAAGTTGTTCAAACATGTGGCCCAACCCTGATTTTGACAAGTTGAACTAGTTGTCCAAAACCTGTGTGAGTTGTTTCCCCGTGTTGATCCAGGGTTTTTCCTTCTGGACTTATGCCCAAGCAAAACCCTCAAAAGCGAACGGCGTGTGGGTCCTGGTCCAGGAGGCGTCTCCGGCAGCGAGCGCTTCCACGGCAGCGCTTCGAGTTTTTGAGGGGGGGCTCAATGGGCCTTCAAGAAGGCCACCGCGATGACTCAGTCCCAACCAAAACGAAGAGCCTTGTTTAAAACTAAACTAGCCAGCATATTTTTAGTGCCCTTTAATGGAGGGTACTTGGCCTGTTTTTGAATTTTTTAATCGAGGGCACTTAAGGCAGTGTCGGTGGCCTAAGTGCCCCTTTGATTCGTTTGCTAAGTGCCCTTTTTGGCTTGACAGGAGTTGGGATTCGGTTGAAATCGAAGAGCTACCCGTGTCGAAGCGTGACAACTGCCACATTTGATTGGCTCCGACCCGGAAAGCCCGAACATGGCTTTTTGAGTGTCAAAGCGTGTCATTTGAGTGTCATTGGGGGTGCGAATCGAGGTCACTTACCCCTTGAAAAGGTCACTTACGCTAGTGTCGGTCCCCCCTGCGTGAGTGTCATTCGCGTGTCGCTGCGGCTCGATTTGCCCAGCATCGGTCCCGCCCCCGTGTGAGTGTCATTTGCATTCACGTGTCGTTGCGGCTCGATTTGCCCGGGCTGAGGAGGGATTTGCTGGGGAGGGCAACCCTGAGGGTGTAAGTGCCCTTTAAATGGCTTAAGTGACCTCTTTGATTTAGGACTAAGTGCCCGTATTTTCAAAATGGATCATAGCACCCTGAATCGAGGGCACTGAAAAGAAGCTGGAGTATATAATGGCTTTCATGACCCGAGGAGTCAACTACGAGAAACATATGTGCACATGTTGCCGCTTTGATCCAACAGGTCAGATATCCCCGAAGCGCCGTTTCTCACCATTGGGTTGAGGATAGCCCCCAACTTGTGTTCACAAAGGGAAGATGCCCATGACAAGGACCCCCTGATCAACCGTGTGCATAAGTAGAAAGCACGGCGAGTATCCAAACATATTTGCTTTGAAACGACATGTGTTCGACGTTGGTAAACTCATTGAAAAAAACATATCACACAGCGCTGTGGGGTTTATTTTGCCCTCAAACCTTTGTGAGTGTGTCATGGTGGTTGAATGTGAATGGTTGGTCCGGAACACGAGTTCTGGAAACGATAGAGGACAAGTCTGAAAAAACTTGATGCCTAGACCTTCCAATCAGTGGCATGCTTATTTTTTTCATTGTTTGCATTTTCTTTACAATTTGTTTCTCATTGATATTATTCCTCTTCTTTTTATTACGTTTCCTTCATGTGGATGAAACGCCTCATTTCTGGCTTGCTGAGTGAGCCTGTTTCGTGTTTTCCCTGAATGCGTTTTTGAGAGTAGCGCCTGCGTGTTTGCCACTTCAATGTGCCCTTCAGGCGTGAGGAATAATTATCCAAATACTGAAAGGACAACACCGTGAAAACACCAAATACAAATGACAATTCCAAATACCATGGCACTGGCTTCAAGGTGATCCGCAACTTTCCGGTTGGGACTATTTCTCAACCTTCAACCCGGGTTTTGAGGGTGGTTTTCAATGTTGAGATTTGTGATCTTCTTTTGGGGCCTCTTGGTTTCCTTTGGGTTTCCTCTTAAAGTCATTCAGGTAGTTGGTTTCCTGTTGGTTTCCTCTTACCATCATCCAAAAGGGGACCCGTCAGCACATCCTACTGGGGGGTGTCACCCACAAAAGTGATCCGGATTCCACTTACTTTGCTGTCTCGCAAAAAGAGTTGCATTTCTTTGGTTCCGCGTTGTACACACACACACACACCGAACCTGCTATTGGCCACTACAATGGTCTTCCTAAACCTTGACAAACGTCCAGGAACTGAGGAAGTGAGACTAGGTCCTCCAGTAGAGAGGTTGGAATAAGGGTACCCTTTATGCAGTGGTCTATTTTAGCGGGCGAACCCTCCCAACCAAAAAAGGGGTGAGAAAGGGCTCCTAGCTGGGGGACGTATGGGTACTTCAGGGGTGCACCGTTTGGAAAGCCTTACGGAGGCAACTCGAATTCCATTTGACGCCAGGCGGCATTGGCAAGCGCCGGCCACGCATGTGCCATAGGTGCAGCCAGCACAGGCGCTCTCGCCTACCGGAAAAACCAGGCAGCGGCCTTTTAGACGAAAGTAACCTTTCAATTCCTGAGTGGATTGGGAAGAAAAACCTGAGCTTTTGATTTACCACCAAATGGTCTTCCCCCCAAATAAAGTCCATGAACCTGTGGATGCGCTGCGTACCCTGGGATATTGTCCATGTAGGCTGTGGCTATCCTTCCAAATCTATCCATTCTTGTGGATGCCCCTACCGTATTGCAAGTACACCCCAGCCACACTCAACTAAACTTGGGAAGCCCAACATTTTCCCTGGCAATAAGGGTGCTTCTCAAAATTTGGAACCCCTACTGTTTCCATTTTGATTCTCGAACCACCACGTCAACGGAACCCGATGAGACCCCACGGACCCATGACCCGGCGAAGATGCCGGGTCAAACGTCGCCAGGTCCATTTTTAAGACCCGAAAAGAAGTGACTGGACTCCAGGAATTCTCTTCCGACCCTTAAACATGGGGGTCCTTCGCCGAAAGAAAGCGGTCGTGGAACCGCTGTTTGACTCGGGTCAGAACAAGACTCCAGACAGAGAAGTGTTTTCAAAGTGATGCAGGATTGCGGCCATCCACAGTACAAGCAAAGCTTTGGAGAAGACCCCCTAGATCCATTCGGGACAAAGCAATGTCTCCGACGCCTGGACCGATGCAACCCAAAGAGTCCACCGTGCTGCAGTCCCACTCGCAGCCACCATTTGCGCTCTTGCGCCAGCCCTGGTCGCAAATGCACTCCTCGGCTGGGAGCCCCCGGTCAAACATAGGCAGCCTTTTGGCAAAATAGATGGCCCTGGTGAGTGGAGTAAAACCCATCCAAACCAGTGTTATTCCCGAAAGCATGGCGAAGGGTTCTTCCGCTGGGTTCACTTGAGTTGTTCTCATGAGAGTCATTACAAGCTGTCATTGCAAGGAATCAGCATCATGAAAGTCATTGCAAGGAGTCATTGCAAGGAATCATCATCATGAAAGTCATTGCAAGGAGTCATTGCAAGGAGTCATTGCAAGGAGTCATTGCGGGGAGTCATTGCAAGGAGTCATGGCAAGGATTCATTGCAAGGAGTCATTGCAAGGAGTCATGGCAAGGAGTCATGGCAAGGAGTCATTGCAAGGAGTCATTGCAAGGAGTCATTGCAAGGAGTCAAGTGCAAGGAGTCATAGCAAGGAGTCATGGCAAGGAGTCATTGCAAGGAGTCATTGCAAGGAGTCATTGCAAGGAGTCATTGCAAGGAGTCATGGCAAGGATTGCAACTTGCACTTGACTCCTTGCAATTGCAACTTGCACTTGACTCCATGCACTTGCACTTGCTCCTTACACCAACTAACACTTGCTTGCAACTTGCACTTAACTCCGTGCACTTGCGACTTGCACTTGACTCCATGCACTTGGCTCCATGCACTTGGTTTCTTGCAACTTGCAATGGCTCTCATGACTCCTTGCAATGACTCCTTGCATGACTCCTTGCAATGACTCCTTGCAATGACTCGCAATGACTCCTTGCAATGACTCCTTGGACTCCTTGCAATGATCCTTGACAAAAACTCCTTTCCCGCGCGACCCTCTGCGGGGATCGGCGTGGTCGAGGTGCAAAAACCGAGGTTTTTTGCGATTTCGACCCTCTGCGGGGATCGGCGTGGTCGAGGTGCAAAAACCGAGGTTTTTTGCGATTTCTAACATGCTCGCGCGACCCCCTCTGCGGGGATCGGCGTGGTCGAGGTGCAAAAACTCGAGGTTTTTTGCGAGCCGACCCTCTGCGGGGATCGGCGTGGTCGAGGTGCAAAAACCCATGGTTTTTTGCGATTTCTAACCTGCTCGCGCGACCCTCTGCGGGGATCGGCGTGGTCGAGGTGCAAAAACCCAGGTTTTTTGCGATTTCTGCCTGCTCGCGCGACCCTCTGCGGGGATCGGCGTGGTCGAGGTGCAAAAACCCATGGTTTTTTGCGATTTCTGCGCGCGACCCTCTGCGGGGATCGGCGTGGTCGAGGTGCAAAAACTTTTTTTGCGATTTCTGCGGTGCTCGCGCAACCCTCTGCGGGGATCGGCGTGGTCGAGGTGCAAAAACTCGAGGTTTTTTGCGACTTTTGTTGTTCGAACTGGTCCTCGGGAGTTGTCTCGTGGTTCGCGCGCCTGCTCCCGGAACCGGCGGGTCGCGGGTTCGATTCCTCCCTGGTCCGCGGGCGGGCGTCGCAAGATGCAACTTGCATTTTAAAGCAACTTGCGCAGAGCAACTTGCGCAGAGCAAGTTGCACAGAGCAACTTGCGCAGACCAACTTGCGCCGACCAGTTTGCGCAGAGCGCCTTGCCTAGAGCAACTTGCGCAGAGCAACTTGCGCAGAGCAACTTACGCAGAGCAACTTGCACAGAGCAACTTGCACAGAGCACCTTGCCTGGTGCTGTCTCGCGCTTGCTTCACGAATGCTTCGTGTAGGGAAAAAGAACGCATCCTGCAGCGTTGGGCCGACCTCGCTTGCGATGTTCTGCTTTCGGGCCAACCGTGGTCTAGTCTGTTTTTAGCCAAACTAACCTAAAAAGGACACCTATGTGGTCAAGCCAAAGGGCAGCCGCGGGAGGTCATAAACCACTACACCCTGAACAAGTGGGCTCATTCCTGTAGTAGCCGATTCCAAGCTTGAGTGGAGTGGCCAAAGAAGTCTGTTTTTTTTGGTTTGCCACTAACTCGATTTTCGCGAAGATCATGACGTCGGGGAACTCCCGTCCCTAACATCATACTCTTCGCAAAAATCGTTTTACCCAGAGGCTCCCGATTGATTTAGGGCCTTCAAACAACCTGGTTTTGAGACCCCCAACCACCATCGGGGTGTCTAATGGAGGGGTCGGGTCTTCCATTGAAAGCCCAAGAGCCTCTGGGTAGTTTTCACACCGGATCCAGTGCGTCCACTTGCCAGAAAAATGTAAACCTACAGGAACAGTCCCTGGCTACCTATATACATGGAATTCCTGGGAAGGGCTACTAACTGAATAGGGTTAGCACAAGGTGCCAAACAAGTACATACATTACTCTCCTATGATGATGAGTCAGTTTTCAGTATCCCATAATGTCCCCATTCTAACACTGCTTAGACCCCTAAAGTAGCCTCCACTCCAATGATGGCTCTTTTAGGCTGCTTCTTAAAGAACCTCTTTGAATGGTAAACACCTCCGCTTTTAGTCAGGGGTTCACATCATACCCTGTCATACCCTGAAAAAAGGCTTCGGGGTATAGTGGTTTCTCAGAATGGATTTCGGACCCTGTTGCTTAAAGGCAAAACAACAAGGAGCCGTTGCCATTTTAGGACAAACACATGACCACCTTTTGGGACCTTCACCAAACGTGGAAATGCATTGAGGTCATGTCAGGTCGGTTTTAAACTAAGTCCCAAAAACAAGAAACAAAGGGAAACACAAAGCAAAGCAAGTCTTGTTTTGAGAATCCCAACGCCTCCTCCCCCCCTCCCAAAGCGTCCTTCGTTGGACCTGGGTCCCAGCCACCCCATCGACTCGAGATCCGAGAGCCAGGCGTTGTTGGCGTCGCACTGGCCGTGGTGGCCGCAGCCGCAGTCGATCTCGCACTCCCCGCCCCGGAAGCCCCGGAAGCCTCGGGATGGGGAGGCGGAGGAGGCGCGGAAGGCCCAAAGGCGCCACGCGGACTCGGAAAGGCGCGAATTCTGACAGGTCTTCCGGTTGGCTCTCCTTTAAAACCGATCGAAACAGGGGGGGACCCTCGACAAAAAGACACTCCTTTTGAGGGTAGGCCTTTTGGAAGTTTTACAAGGAAACCAAACGGAGCACAAGTGTTTGTTGGATCCCGGACCCGAATTGGTGGACATCATTTGGGTGGGAACCATGTTCAACCACTTGTGGGGTGGCTCCTGAATTAAAATCAGACCAATGTGCGTGCTTCTTTATTTTGTGCGCAGCCTTTTTGGGGTTGGGTTAAAGGGAACCAAAGGAAAACATCCATGTGGGCATTGGGGTACCCCTATTTGAGACAATTTTGCTTCACACTGCAAGCCCCCCGAAGCACAAGGTCGATCAGCTTTCGGCTCGATAAAGCAAACCCCAACTGTCTTTCCGCAAAAGTCGGTCTCTCCCCCGGGCGATTTGGTTGAATCGCCTTGCTTCAGGCTGGGTTTCTTGCATTTTGCAGATTATCGACGAAGAACCCAGTTTGAATCATGTGGACTTCTATGGGGCAGGAATCAAGAAGGCCCTGTTCTGTTGGTGGTTGATTGAAACAAACGCCCCTCCAAAACAAGGAAAACTCCATGGACGGGAGAAAAAGGGCGCTCTTCAAAGCAAAGTAAATATGGGGACGCTCAAAGACGTTGTTAGCACCCCTTTTTGGTTGATCTTAAGACGGAGCCCCCTCCAACAAGAAGAAGCAAATGACATCACCGGAGATATGGGTCGGGGTTCGGGGGTTGCCAAGAAAGGGAGAGCACCTCTGAACGGTAGGCTTTCCTCTGTTGGCCTCGCTACGGAACAAGGGGATCCCAACATAGCTCGGTTGAAGGACTCTCCTTCTCGGAGAGAGCGAGTCGCAAGCCGCAATTCGTTCCAGGGCTCCTTGTTCGAAACGTTGGAAGTCCACAAAGTCTGCATGCAACCAAGCAAAAGCTTGAGCGATAAATGCCAAAGAAATTCATGGGTGGTGGTGGTGGTGGTGGTGGTGGTGGTGGTGGTGGTGGTGGTGGTGGTGGTGGTGGTGGTGGTGGTGGTGGTGGTGGTGGTGGTGGTGGAAATGGTGGTGGTGGAAATGCACAAGGCTGTATACATGCTCTCCTGACGGGGCTACACAGTAACCATGGCTACAACTTACATACTAAGTCGGGCCAAGCGCCTCCCCACTGCATCGGGCTTATGTAAAAATAAAAAAAATAAACAAATGCCTCGATCCTTGTTTAGTACATTATGTGCCTTGTTTATCTTAAACAAACAACTCAGCCCAATTCAACTCTTCTTTTTACAACCCCACGCCAGGGTGTGTCTTTTCTTAGCGGACATGGCATGTCCCTTCGTCCGTTTCACCCCAACAAGGGAAACCTTCCAACATGCTCTTTAGCAAATGGAAGAGTTCCAAGTTCCTTTTAAACCCAACCCGAGGGAAATCCAACCCTATCAGAGACGGGAAATCCCAACAAGGGAAACCCAAGCCGATAAAATACGACAAACGAAGCAGACCTGAAGCCCACGTCGTCTCGGTCCATCGGTCCAGGGGCAGCTGCAGACGTTGGCGGCGATGCAGTGGCCCCGTTGGTTGCAGCCGTTGGAGCAGGAGAACTTTGAGCAGGTACCTTCGTTTCCCAGTGGACAACCTAAGGGGGGGTCCAGTGGATCCATCTTACCTGGTTTTGTAGTAGGGGGGGGGGGTTGAGAAGTTCAAAAAATAATAATACCGTGGACCATTTACATTGTTGATAGGGGGGGTCCAATTTTTAAGGAAGACTATACTGTGGGTGGTTGCGAAATCCAATAAATAGACACCCTGGAAGAATGAGTCCCATGTAAATTCCGGTTTCAAAGTGGTTCAGCGGATCCCAATTCGTTTCCCAGTGGATCCACTGACCTGGTTTCATAGGGGGAGTTGGAAAACCCAAGGGGTTTCAGTGGGGTTCAGTGGACCAAGTTACCTGGTATTGTATTTTGTAGGGGGAGCCCAAATAAGTCCGACGGCCTTTCTAAAATGCGGCGGGCTCCTCTTGTTTCCCTTCACAACCATAGAAATACGGTGGATGTGTGGATGGACGAATCCTGGACCAAATACACCAGTTGGGATGGACGAAACCCGGGATAAACCACCTACAAACTGACAAACTGTTGCAAGAGTTTGTCCATCCACACAGGAGGGGTCCCAAAATGACAAGAGGCTTCTTTCTGGTTTCCCTTCAAATATCACCCAGGGGGGGCGGGGTTATACGTGCCCTGGCAAGCATGAACAACACAAATTCAGTAGTGACGGATTCCATTTCAACCAACAGGGGGAAATACCAAAGTATTCATTTCAGCACATGAAAGCAGCTGGAGACCTTGGTATGGTAGCAAAAAACGCCATTGTCTGTTGCAGCCCCCACTAACCATTAACAGAACCAGACAACTGAAACACCAAACAACATTGCAAAGAAGAGTGAAGATTCCTTTCCAACTAGAAGATGCAAAAAACATTGTGGTTTACGGAAAAGTCAGATGAAACCAACCATCTTCAGGGTTCCGTCTTTCGTGACAAACTTCGGTTGCGACCTCAAGATTTCGGGGGGATTTGAAAACTTGGAGTAGCCAGGTCCTTCTTGGTCTCAGTTGCCCAAAGGAGGGACGCGTATACTGTGGATGCACGAAATCCTGCACCACCTAAGAAGCCCTGGAATGACGAATCCCTCGTAAATACCCAGAAACGGTGGTTTCGGTTTCCCATGGTTTCATTTAGTTGTGCGAAATGGATTTCGCAACCATCCACAGTATGAAAGGTGATCACCTGTTGGGATCGTCCCTTACTAACCTTCATCAATCCGCGGGTTTTGAGCACGTGGCTCACCTGGGTTGCCATGATACAAATTGAAACCCAAAGGGCCATTGGATCCAAGTTGAAACAAATCCAAACTGCCCGAGTCGAAGCTGCAATCTTTCTGCGTGCCAACACCAAGGAATTCACTCGGTTGCTCATCAAGCGAGTCAATATGGCTGTCTAAGAATTCAGGACGCCCCCTAGAAAAATGAGTCAAACACGGGCTTTACCCAAAACCTATGGCAAAGAACCAAGTATGATATACACTCTTTTCTAATGACTAGTGGTTCAAAGAGAACCATCCTCAAAATTACACTTTTCTGGTGGTTCAAAAAATAGCAACAGCCCAAAACCTGTTTATTTGGGACAACCCTCACACCTCAACATTGCACTCTTCTCGCGGTTCCAAGAGAACCGCGAGCCAACAAGTGTTTATGTTTCTTGAACCCCTCACAATGCTACACTCTTTTCTGGTATTGAAAAAACAAACACGCCAAAGACTGTTGGCTTCTGCTCGCCCACTTCGGACCACATACTCTGCGCGTGCGCCGTGGTGCCCCCGTGATACTCCGCCCGGCAGTTGCAGTGCCAACTCCGGAGGTTCCCAATCACCGCCTGAACCGAGAAAAACATCACTCAGGACATACTAGGTCCTCCAGTAGAGAGGTTACAATCAGGGTACCAACTTTTTGCTGTGGTCTACTTTAGTGGGGGAACCCTCCCCCCCAAAAAAAGGTAACAGGGCACTACTGGGGGACCTAGCATACCTTTTTGAAAAACAAGAGAGTATGGAAGAACACCAAAACATGGTTTTGTCAACAAACACCGCAACAACAGGGGGATTTGGAGCCGCCAGGGGAAGCTCCTGCCTGGAGAAGGGGAGTTTTTGGCAGGGCAAACTTGTTTTGGGTGGTTCAAAAGAACAATCTAGAGGAAGCACAGACCGTTTGGGGTTCCCCTATCGGTGGTTTGGGACTTGAACCCATCTTGTAGAGGCTTGAAAGGAAGTGCTTGTAGAGGGGAAGCTACCTCCTACCTCAAGAAACCAAAGCACCAACTCAAAGAAGCAATCAGGAAGCTGAATCAGGGGCTAAAAAACTAGAATGGGGGAGCGGAGGTTGGGGTAGCCTAAGACTCAACTAAGCCATGACCATGGTAATATTATGTTAGCAACTGTTCGGCCCCTTGTATTGCTTAGATAGGGTTCCTTCAAGGATACATCCCAAACCCACCTGCTTCACAGGATTTGGAGCCTCCAATCAGTGGGTAAGAGTATTTTTTGGTTGTTGCTGGTCCAATTACAGCCCAACACCACCGGCTTCACAGGATGTGGATCCTCTGAATCAGATGGGAACAGTTGTTTGTTGCTGGTCCAAGTACATCCTTTTCAAAAAACTTGTTCGCCTTGCTGGTGCTCAGGGGGGAATGACCCAAGGTTTCGGAGTGAACCGTTTGGGCATGGCTTTAAAGGAAATCACAAGTTGGATGGTTCTTGTTGGGTTCAGGCACCATTTCCTTCCATTTCCTTCCGTTTCCCTCATCCTCCTCAAAGTTCGTCGGTGTTACCCCAAAGTTAGTCGAGGTTACCCCAAACTTATTTGGTGTTACCAGAGGCTTGTCGTGGTTACCCCCCTTCCTGCCATTTCTCAGTCCCTGGCTATCGAACCAAGTAGATGGTCCCGAACAAAACATGCCCCGCCCGGATCAAGCGGATGTCCGCCGACATTGCTCGGCGTGTCGGACACCTAAGAGAGGATAGAGGATGACCCCCCCCCAAACCCCCCCCCCCGCCCGACGTCAAGCACCGCGCGGCAATTTGATGACGTTCCACTAAAAGTAGTCTTCGGGGAGCTGGTGTCGCAAAACAGGGGTCCCAGGCTCGATTCCCCCTGCCGGCTCTTTGCTGGGTTGGGGTTCCTGCCTCCTTTTGCCGAAAATCTGGACGTCCTAATTGCGGAAACGCTGGAAAACCGTGTCTTTTTTTGCGGGAAATATTGGGGAGCAAAGGGGAATTGCAAGGAAGTGCAAGGAAGTGCAAGGAAATGAGGGGAGGAAGTCGACATGACAGGAAAGCAGCGGGACATGAAAGGGAAACAAAGGGGAACTGAAAGGGACATGCAAGGGACAGAAATGAAAACAGGGGAGTGCAGGGGGAAGGAAAGGGAAACAACTTGAAACAACGCACAAGGAAACCAATCCGCACGACGGGAGATGTAGGGAAATGACTCGCGACGAAAGAACGGGACATACATGGAAAATGAAGCGGAGAAAATTTCAGGGACATGAAGGGGGGGTTGAACGGCATGGAAGGGACAGGACCAGGACATCATGGGAAACGTGAAAAGGACATGAAGGGAAAATCAAGGGGAAAGCCAGTAGTGAGATGCCAGTTCCGGGTCATGCACGGGCAGTGCCCGGACATCGAGGCAACTCAGGGGGGGACGTGACGCTGCAATGCAGAGAGAGAGAGAGACAGGGAGAGAGCGGGAGAGAGAGAGGGAGAGAGAGAGAGAGAGCGAGACACAGAGACTGAGAAAGAGAGAGAGAGAGAGAGAGAGACAGAGACAGAGCCAGAGACAGCGCCAGAATCAGAAAAACAGAGAAAGAGACAGACAGAGAGAGCGACAGCGAGAGAGAGAGAAAGACAGAGACTGAGAAAGAGAGACACAGAAAGACAGAGAGAGAGAGAGAGAAAGAGCAAGAAAGTGAGAGAGTAGAGAGGTTCGAATTAGGGTACCCTTTTTCTGTAGAGGGGCGTGGACAGGAAGGAGACTGGGAGACGGAAAGAGACAGAGAAACAGAGACAGCGAGCGAGAGAGAGAGAGAGACAGAGAGAGAGAGAGAGAGAGAGAGAGAGAGAGAGAGAGAGAGAGAGAGAGACAGAGAGAGGGAGATTGAGGAGAGAGAGGCTTGGGGGGATGGGGAGGATGGGGAGCACTGGGAGGGAGAGAGGACGACAGAACGCACAAGGGAGACAAGGGAGAGAGGAAGGAGAAAAGGGAGAGGACAATGTCGGCGGACTGAGCCGGAGGCTCTAAAGTTTCAAAGCCATGCGACAGGCACTGCAACCCAAATACCGCCAACGCATCCCAACAATAAGACGCAAAATCGGCAAAAACTGGAACCTTTCAAACAAGAAACAACAGTGAAGACAATTACCACTAACATCCACTAAGAAAGCCGGCATTTGGCAAATCACATGTGGTAAATCAAATAGTTGGCACAAAACAAAGGAGCCCATTTGCCACTCACTTAGGTCCAAAGCTGGGCTTTTCACTTTTTGGTGCTCCTTGTTTGGCATTTCCAAGTTTTGTCATTGCCCCAAAAGGTGACCAACAGAGAAACTCGGATTGGAGATCCAAGACCCCATCAGGTTTTGTTGGGGTCTAGCGTGGTTCTTGCGCATGCCGGGTAGGAACTTACTTTTCTCTTTTCGTGGAGGGGAACCAAAAGGAAAACAAACAGTTGCAAGTTGGAGTTATCTTTTTGGACACACCCCGGTGCCTGTTCCTTTTGCATTCGAAACGCATAAAAATCAACCAACCAACAAATCAACCAACCAACCAACCAACAAACCAACAAACAAACAAACAAACAAACAAACAAGCAAACAAGCGAACCAACCAACCAACCAACCAACCAACCAACCAACCAACCAACCAACCAACCAACCAACCAACCAATTGCAAACAAAACAATCACACAAACAAACACAACCATACAAACACACACAAACACAAAGAGAAACACCGCGCTCCCCAAATTCATCGAGCCGCAGACACTTCGCAGATGCCCTGGTCAAAGGTACACCGATACCCGCAGGCCGAGTAATCCGTGTAGGAGGCATCTAAACAACTGGTGCCCGAGTAGCCCCGGTAGCAGTAGCACCTGGCATCCGAAGGCAACCCTGCAATTCAATTAACACTATTCTGGGCTGTTCAAAATGGAGGGTTGGCCAATCCTAATTCATAATCCCTATAGGAAACCCACTACAAAGGGGCCCCCTTGCGTAACCCCAGGCAAGGATTAAGGAGTGCCTTTGAACAGCCCAGCTATTAAAACAATGGTTGGGCTCATATAAGGATTGTGATATATAACCCTGGATCCTCATATAACCATTGTTGAACCTCTGGGGTTCAAACCTCATGGTTGGGCTTGGTTCAACCGCCGTTCCGTTTACCGTCCAGGATTGTCCAAATTGGGTCCCCTTGGGCCTTTCTTTCAATGGGGGCGAATCGGAAACCTAGGGCAAAGGGAGCCCTTCTTGGCATCCAGAAGGCGCATCTCGGCCCCCTGGAAAACACATGAGAAAATATGTCCAGGAGGGGTAGTTGTACTGTAAAACCAACAGGGGAAAATAAAGGCATGTTTTTCAGCAAATGGAAGGGAGGGTGGGTTTCTCTCACGGAAGCCACAAAAAAAGGGGGATGCACTGAAAACGATATGTTCAAATGTTCTTTCATATTTACCCTCCCACTAACATGGAACCTGGGGTTCCTTTTTGGTGCCAGCCAGGCAAACAAAAGTGATGGAATTCTCCTTTTGGGGTTCACCGCGTTTGAGTCTGGTCCATAGTTTTGTCAGCCTGAAGTTGTGATTAATGTGAAATAACCGGGGCCCCCTTGATATGGCGGGCATCCTCGTTTGGTTTCCTGCAACCGAGGTCCTCCAGCGACCAAAGGAACGGCTCCGACCCAAACATAACAGGCGATCACCTTTTGAGGCCATGCATAAACATTGACCAACACGGGGGAAAAAAAAAGGTCAAACGGTCGGCTTGGGCAAGTCAGTCTTTCTTTGGAATGGAAGAGATGTGTGCTTTTAAAACCGAGAACATGTGGTCCTTGTCCTTGTGTCACATTTTTTTGTTTGACGCTCCCCATTGGAGCGGGCTGAACAACTACCGGTACTCGCCTATGATCATGACGTAGTCTGGTTCAATAGTACTCCACAATTGTGTCCTGATTCTTGTCGTGGGGAGGCTATTTTCAGTTGCCTAGTCACTCTTCCAGACAAACAACACCAATTCTTTGCTGGATTGACCATTTTCAGTGGCCCACCAAACAGTGTCAGGGGTTGACATCGTAGCCTCAAATCCGTGGGTATTCGCGTTTTTGGAGTAGAATCTGAAGGTAAGGGGAGCTTGACGATTTAAGAGGCTCTGTCGAATTGCCAGTACTCTACAGTCAATTTGAAAGGGGCTTTGCGGACGAGCCGCCAAATTACAATCAGAAACATCAGGGGCACCCTTTCATAGGGGCCATCCTGTTTGAGGGCATCTCCTTTTTCGTGTTTTGAGTGGAACCCCAAGGAAAACCGCAGCCGTTTTGTGGGGTCCCCTAAAAACAAAGACACAACACCACACCACCACCATGCAGTCAACCCATGACGAATTTCGGAGCTTGTATTGAGGCACTGGTCGTCCAGGCCGCAAAGGCCCTTGCCTGACGCAAGTCGAGGGGCGAGTTGGGGGCTTTTGAAGGGCCAAAATGGTTTTTTACTGGCGTGGCTCAAAACGAGGGGGCTCAAAAAACTGGTACCAAAAAATAACCCTGGTAAGTGGAAACATGGACCAAAATCTGCGTAACCCCTCCTGTTTAATTTTGAGCCACACCCAAATAGAACCCTGGCAAATGGACAAGTAGATGAAAACCTGCGGTCCCCTGACTCCTAAAATTTGAACCACGCCCGTATGTTGCACGTTGCGAGGGCTCGTCAACACAAGTTGTCTGTATGCTGGTCTATTGTTTGCTGTTTGACTTCTTTTTTTTTGGGAAGGAGGGGCGGTGGCTAAAACCAGGCCTTCTTTGAAACCTCAAAAGCCTAAGGTGCATGCCAAGTGACCCTCAAATTGGCCGGCAAAACAACGGCTCCAGCACCCAACGACGATGTGCTTTGGACAAGGGGGGCTGTGGACATAATGGGGTTTTGGACAGCGCCAACAAGGGGGTTTGAACATTGGAAAAAAGCAGATGCTGGCAGCACTCAGCCTTTGTGTTGGACGCTGGAAGATGTTGGGCGCCTTTGCCTGCCATGACCTCATGATCTGGCAGAGCTAGGGGCCATGAACAAAATGGACAAGTTTTGCCAGACCACCAGGGCAAGCGGTTGATTCCCATCCTGACTTTAGGAAAGCCCGACATGTTTCCACAAGCGTTGCCGCCCCTGTGCGAGCCTTGGCTTGCGCCCGTTCCACAACCGTGAGCCACTCCAATCTTTCCAAGACACACACCCGAGTCAGAACAGTGTGAACTTTTGTCCGACCGACATGATGAAGCTGAAAGCAGATAAACATACTCTTTGGAAAAGTAAACAGGAAAACCTGTCCCTGGCAGAGGCCCTGCCGACGCCCGCCTGAACATTCATCAGCGCTGGCACAGTCCGGCGCCTCGTAATTCACATCCTCCGGCGCGTGGCAGTAGCCCGGCCGCGCGGAGGAGTTGAGGAAGTTCATGACTGCTTGGTACTTGTAGGCATTCTGCGGCGCGGGCGGGTTTCTTTAAAGCGTTGCCCCAAAACGGGAGGTATCCGGCACCTGTTGGCCATGTACTGGGCTACCATGTCCTTACCGGACCTCTGGTAGCTCCTTCGCCCCCTCTTTAAAGGCAAATTCGGATACCCCGAACTCCTTGGCTCCCTTCCAACCACTAGCTAGTGCGGGTTGGTCGGGATTTTCTTTGGAATGATTGGCTCCATGTCGCTTCTTTCTCTTTCACGTCCGTTTTCTGTTAAGTTCATCCCTGCGAAAGGACAACAGTTCTCCATCCCGAATACAGACCCAGGACTCACAACTGCCCCGGTTGACGTCCCACTCAACTCTCACTTGCCCAAATGATCCGAGAATCAACGGTTGACCTTTTGGAACCCTGACTCAATATGGGCCTGTCGTATGGTTGACGATACCCTTTTTGGATGGTACAGGCAAACGACAAAGTCATGCCTAAGTCACTCCTTTATCTGTGTGGCCATGTGCTCCCCCATGTAAACGCCGATTCCAAGAAGTCACTCCTAAGTCACGCCTCGGCAACAATCCCCATGGAACGCTTGACATCACCGAGCTGGTCATGCTACAAAAAGACAGGTGTCAACACTGAAACACAATGGAACGCTACTGATGGCAAAGCATGTTTTCCAGGTTTGCGAGGCGTCTGCAGGAACATGAAAACCAATGGAACGCCAAGCATACGATAGGTTGTTGCAGGAGAGTTTAGTAAGACGTGACGCATGGATGGGCTTTGCAGGCTCTTGCACCGTGTTTTTCCACGTCCTGGAGTTCTTTCTCTGGAAGGCAGGCAGGCACATATGCAATGCACCCTGGCAAAAAAACGAGATCAAAACGAGATCAAGCCGAGATCAAAACGAGATCAAAACGAGATCACCGATCGTCCGTTGAAGATTTTTTGATATTTTGGGCCCACTCACTTCTGCACCCGCTCCCATCAACCCACTTCCGCACCCACTTTTCGACTCAATTTCGCACCTGCGAACGCCAGCCGCTCAAGCGACTATGCGTTTTGGAAAGAGGCACGACTTCTTCGAAGCCCTCTCCCCATGGAATTTAAGCAATGCCTCAAACGGAGGCACGACTTTGTCAAATCCCTGTATTAAATGGAAGCCAACCAATGACACCCGACCTTTTTGCTGGTTTCCCCTATTTTGAGACACGCCCATACAGCATATGGACCAAATAACAAACACCCAGCTTAGATCCGGTCGACTCGCATTGGGCCGGCGAACATCCGAAATGGATTCCAAAAGCCGAGCCTGGAGGTTCTAGGAACTTAAGGCTGAGTTCAATTCGAGTGGCAGCCAACTGGCACCCACCTGGATCGCCAGTTGCGATCGCTTTTTTCAAAAAAACACTTGCTTTACGCCGGAAAAAAAACACAGGAGTGCCTGAAAGAAAGCCATCGCTGGGCTCTCTTGGCACGGCTTGTTCGACAGGGGGATTGGACAAAACCCGTCGGGTGCTGGGAATCAGATCGGCCAATCCGGATGACTCCAAGTCCTCTGCTTGTTGTTTTTTGGTTTGGGATGCGGGTTCAAGCAAAGCTGTCGCAAAGCTTGGGTACGGTAGCAAGCAACTCATGAAATCAAACCATTCAACCAAAAAAACAAAAACAAACGCCTGGAGTGTCCTTCTGACCCTTAAAACATCGGGTCATGAGCCATACTTTCTGCTTAAACTTGTGAAGGGTCATGGAGACTCCAAACCGCATGGAACGGACAGCTCCTCGATTCGACTCGCGCCTCGCGTGGCTGGTCCAGAGCTTCAATGAGGCCCCATGAGCCGTACTTGCTGGGCACACCGCAGCTGGCGAAGTAGACCATCAGGTCAAACTCCTGGTCAGCTTTGGTTCTGATTTGAACCTGGCTGAGGGAACCCATGTGAACCTACGTGGAAAGAACAGGGGATCGCCAACGGCGCGCCACAAAAGCAGCACAAGAAGCGGAAAAAGGTGGGAAACTGAAAGGTCAACAAGCTGTCTTTGGACAAGTGAGCGTGACCTGGGGACCCCCTTCCATCCTGGCCAAAATTCTATGCAATCGGGTCGCAACCCAAATCATGTTCTAACTCTTTGGGGTGGAGTTAACAGCAGTCCAAGACTAAGACTGGGGACCCCTTCAAGGATCCCCTAAATGAAACACCCAATACCTCCCCTGAAAAGGCACCACTGGGTGTCTGCCCTACTAAGGGCGGAAATAGGGTAGAAACAGCAACCCTTCTCGTTTACCAGGAATTAAATTGGGACACGGGCCCGGAGCGATGTAATTATTTGTGGGGAAGCCTTGGAAAACCTGAGAATTGCTTTTTCCTACCTACGCCAAACAATATTCCCCGTTTCATCATCACCCCACCTACGAAAACCTCCCGTTCATCTTGACCCAAAAAAACGTGTTTACATTAAATCCGCGAAGTGGGCTGCAGGGACCCCTGTGCTACCGTGGCATGTTCCAAACCCGAAAAGTTTAAAGTGCCACTCAGGAAGTAAGTCTAGCTTTTTCAGTAGATAGGTTAGAAAAAAGTGTGCTAACTTCTTTCTGTAGTCTATTTTAGTAGGGGAACCCTCCCAACCAAAAACGGGGTTAAGAAGGGCACTACTGGGCGTCTCCTGGTCCATGGCCTCCAAGTACCGCGTAAGTATCTCCTTCATCCTGCGGATGGATAAACCGACTCGCTAGCCTGGTCAGGAACGACAAACCAAGGGGATGAATAACCAGAATGGGGTTCTGGGGCACTAGATGAGGTCATGACCAGAAGATTATGATGTGTGTGTAGAGTAATTAATGTTCGAACCACTGTTCGAACCACTCGCTTGCCCTCTCAGGACCGAAACAACACGGGATAAATAACCACCTAAAGTCTCTGTGACCCTTAAAAAATGGGGTGACCCCGTGATTTTGGGTGATGACCAGCCATTTTAAAAGGGTCACAGAGACTCCAGGTAGAATGGGGTTCTGGGGCACTAGATTAGGTCCTGATCAGAAGGTGATCCTGCGGGTGTTTATTCACTCTTAGCTCGTCATGTTGAAACCTAAGCTACCCCGTCCCTAAGCAGACGGTAGCTCCAGAACTGCTCCCTCTTCAAAACCAAATAAACAAACCCCGAGCTCCGGAACGGCTCCCTCCCAAGCACCAGCTGGAAAATTTGCAAGGGGGTCCGCCTTTTTGAGAAGCCCCTCTCACTTAGCGTTGGTTTTTATTCCCTACAAACTTGCTTGGACACTATTCAATCTTCCGCGGACCCTTCCGCATCCTTGCCGCGGGCCAAGAGGTCCCTTCCGCGAACTTCCGCGGCACATGTACCTTTAGTTGGCCACGGATTGTGCCAACGACAAGTCTCCTTGACAGGATGTCGATTCGTCTAGCGCATATCATAATCCATACACCGAACAGGGGTCCCCATGAGAGAAACCTGCACCATGGACACGGCGAATTCCTGGAAACGTGACGTCGCTTCCATGTGTCATTACTGAGATCTGTCTCCCGTGTCTTGCGCAAGGCCAGCAAGTGAAAAAGCAGTGCCGTCCGTATCATTTGCCCACTGTTTAGGGAATCACGCTGTTTTCACCCAGAAGTGAGGGCCTGCATTGTTTTTGTTTGCAAGACTCAGCAGCCCCCATCTGCGCTTGTCATGGGGTCTGTTTATGTGCGTCCCAAGACATGGGAAGCTGACCAAAAGGCCTTGTGCATGGGATGACTATTGGAAAACCCACTAAAAGGAGGATATTGTCCATGCACATGTAAAAGGTTACCCATGGTCACTTGGGGCCTTCTTTTTGGTACCCTTTGGAGTTGGTCCGCTTGGGACGTTCTTCAGGTAAACCACCACGGGTTCCCCGTGAGACAAAGCCATACGCGGGGGGGGGGGGGGGAGGTGGGGGGGGGGGGAACCTTGCTATTTGAGGTGTCCGCAAAGTAGGTTTGGCGGGGGTGCTGAAACCATGTGTTGTGTTTGTGCAAAAGTACGGGTATGTGTCAAAAGGGGGACCCCTTCAAATTGTGGGAGTCCGAAAGTGTTTTCAACAAAAAAACCAGACCCCTCCAACAAACCCACTTGGGCACGTGTCTTTAGGGAGCCTCCAAAATGGTGCTTTTTCATCTGGTGGGGTCCCCGAAAAAAGCGACACACTCGTATGGATTTTGTTAATACCCGTTTGATAGTTTGGTGTTGATTATGGCCTCAACGGAAACAGCGAACAAAATACGGGACCACCTCAAACAAAGCCGAATTGGTGCGTGTTTTTAAGGGGACCTCCAAAATGGATGTGGTTGATACCAGGTTTTGATTTCTGAAAATGAAACCCACTCAAGATGTTTACCCAAATATGAACCCAATTGAACTTCACAACCCCTGGTATGGTAGCAAACAACTTCTTTTTGCAGCCCCCTACTAAAACGTGACCAGAACCAAAAAGAAAAGAAACAACTTGCCAAGGAGCCCAGCAGTCAAGAAGCCAAGAAGCCAAAAGCGAACCATTTAATAATAACAATAACAATAACAATAATACTAATATAATAATAATAGTAGTACTAATAATGTAATAGTAATTAAAATAATAGTGAAAATAATAAGTAATAATAACAATAAAACAAACAACAACCTAAACAATAATGCTCAAAACAAAACCTTGCCAAGAACAGATCCACGTGAACCTCAGCAAACTCAGCCCCGACACCAGTCCTGGGGTGTCGGTGCGCCTGGATGGCCAGATCCGTGGCAGAGCCGTCGCCCTCGCCGGCAGGACCTGCTTCGTAGGCCTCGGACCGGTAGTGCCCAAGGGGGCAACGTGGCTATGATCCCTAAGGCCTCCATGGACATTTCCGTTTACCTGTAGGGATTCAAGAATCTGCAAGAATGTCGTACCCTGACTAAAACCTCGTGCTTTTTTGGCTATGACATGTTCAGCGGCTGTTGTGGCTGCTGGTAGGTAATGGAAGAAGGGTACCCGTATTTTTTTTCGGTGGTTTGGATTGGTGGCTTGAAGGTGTTCCAGAAAACAAGTCGCTTTCTTGTTTATGGAGCCCCACCCAAAGGAATTGGGCTGGCTCTGGGTTTAAGCATGGCTTTGGGCCACGGGTTTGATCCAACCCTGGTACTTGCGTGTTCGAATCGCCAAGCTCGTGAGTTGTTGGTAACCTAACAAGCCATCTGTCAGTCCCTGAGTCAGTGGGGCTAAGCTTGGAATAAAGGGGGTTTTACCCCAAGTGGCTAACCACACTAGGCCAAACATCCCAGTAAGCATCATTGGTCCCATTTGAGGGGCTTGGATCTTTGGAAGGGCTTGGACCTCAAAATAGCCGTTTTTGAAGTCCCAGGATTCTCAGGGATGTTTGAGGAGAAAACCCACTCCCCCCACCCGGAAAGAGTCATAGAACCTTAGAAGGGTTTTGTGCGCGCATGCGTGCGCGGGTGGGTTGGGCTGGTGTGTGTGTGTGTGTGTGTGTTTGTTGTGTTCGTCTTTGTGAGGCTCGATACCCTTTTTCACATTGGTTTCAAGGAAAACCGCAACACCAAACCCAATTTGGAAGCTCACAACCCACAACTGTTCACTTGTCCAAAACCCCCACTGTCCAAAAGCAGTCGATGGGTTGCCGGTAATTTCCGGGCTCGTATGCATCGGCGAGATGCAACTAGCTTGAAGTGAGTCCCCGCCATGGCCGCTTTGTGCTCCAGCACATTCGTGAGCTTGGTGTTCACCTGCACTCCGCGACAAGACTTAAAGGACCAAAAGGGGACCAAGAGATGGAAAGCAAAGAACATGGCTTTTGGTAGCAAAGAACATCTCTTGGTAGCCAAGAACATGGCTTTTTGCAGCCCCCTGTACAAAAATGGGCACATCCCCAAACACCTAAACAGCCTAAAACCAGTTTCACAACGGAGCGAAGCCACTGGAACTTGGACCCCCACCGGCAGAGTGGGGTTTTCCACCTACGATCCGTCGCCTTGAGCCCCGAAGGCTGATTAATGGGTTGACATGGCAGATGTAACAAAGTCATAGACCTGGGACTCACCAAACTTATTTCGGCGTGTCGCTTTGAGGGTACTCCTTTTTATGTTGTGGTCCGTGTGGATATCCGTGTGTAATGGCAAGGGGACTGCCCCCTACCCGCTGAAATACGTGATGGCCCGTTGCCCCCGATTTCCATGACATTGAGAGCTCAGGCACGAGCTTAGAAACCGAGCTTTCGGTGCCCCAACCCCCCCCCCCCTCCCCTTTTGGGCTGAACTGAAGCCTCGGTGTCGTAGGAGTCCAACACCAAGTCCAGGTCAGAGTCTGGGTCCGGCAGCAAGTTGTAGCCGTTGAAGTAGGGCCCCAACCTGGGACCCAAAGGACTCCACGCAGTCGCCCACTCTAGGTGCTCCAGTGGAGAGGTTGGAGGTTAGGGTACTGAACTTTTTTCTGAACGTCTATCTGTAGTAGGGGAACCCTCCCACCTAAAAGGTTGGTGAGAAAGGGCACCCAGCTGGGGGACCTAGCCCTGGCCATGCGCAAGCTAAAACCCCGGCGACCTACGTTAACCTACTCAAAGTACCCGCCTCAGGGTGTTTTTGGGAAAACCTGGTTTTCCATGGCAAATACCTCCTTTTCTAGCAGAGGGTCAACATGATACCCAGAAACAAGAGGGTATTTCGAGTAGGGGGTATGCTGTGTGAAGCTTTGTGCAAGAGACTCGACTCCAAACCTCACAAGGTCGGCATGTCCCATCTTATCCACATGGCCAGTCAGAAATCGCACCTGAGGGCCTGTCTACATTGTCACATAGGGGAGAGATACTTGTTTCCCGAGTTGCTTCTCAGATCCGCATGCGGACTCGAAGGATACCACACTGTGGATGGACGAAATCCTGCACCACTTTGTGACCATGGTTGAAACCATTGTTGAAACCATTGGTTGCTGGTGTTTACAGGAAAAACACGCAAAACCAATGTTTCTTAGGTGGTGCAAAATGGTTTTTGCCCATCCACAGTATGTGTTTGGTGCTTTCCTTGTGGTGCTCCCTTAAAACAACAAGAACGGGGTGCCAACTCGAAGAAACACAACACAGCCATGAGGAGAATCTGCATGGCGGACCTTCCCCAAGGCGCGCCTTGTCCCCCGAATCTCCCCTTCCTTCAGGGAGAGGGAGGTAGGGCTTCCTCAACTCCATTTTCCTAGTCTTCCCATAACAAGCACAAATGAATTGCCATAAATTTGCACATCTCTAGGGGTCACCCCCCTCCCCCAATTCCATTTTTTTGTGGGGGTAAATGGAACTACACATGGAGATCTCCAATTGTCACCCCCCTCCCCCAATTCGGGGGGTGAATCCTTCGATTCGAATCGACCGGTCGCTTTGTTTTGAAAAAAAAGAAAGGCCGAGCCGCCCGATGGCATCCGTGTCGTTGATGCCTTCGCAGGCCAAGAGCTGGGCGGTGGCGTCCCAGTTGGATGACTGGAGCGGAACAGCGACGACGAGTGGACGGGTGTCGAGTGGGCGACTGGACTCCAGTAGAAATCAGAGGGGTGATGGAACTCTCCTTGCTTTAGGGGAGGCCGAAAATGGTGGTCTTCCAAGGGGGGTTCCCTTAAAAATATATAATAAAAATCCGAAACAGGTGCAATTACCCTCAAACAACAATACACCCATTTGGCCAATGTCCTGTAGATTTTCCTGTAGCTGGCTTGAAAGGATTCAAGCCGGGCATCAGCCAAGACACCAAAACTCGTTTGCAAGCAGGAAACGTCGCGAAACAAATGGAGTGACGGAGTGGTGTCAAACCGGCGAAAAAAACAAAAAGCACATGAGTTCCAAGGGAACCCCTGCGAATGGAGGTTGAGAGGGAACCCCTGACCCCAAACCACCAAGAGGGAACTCACTGGTGGGAACTCATGATAGAGGAAGCTCATTTGGGTTTAGGTAACATTAAACCACCTGGATATGGACAGCAGTGAAAAGTCCTTTCCATTTACCAGGGTCCCATTTCGGGGACCGGTTTTTGACGCAGCCAAATGGTGGTTGCCCAAACCAACCTTCAGAAGGCTGCCATGAACAAACAAAACAAAGACAAGGGTGTCTCATCTTTAACCTAACACCCCCCCCCCAAAAAAAAAAAAGGATCCCCAAATGGATAAAAATGGAAGTGTACCTGTGGCTTCCCTTCAAACCGCAACAGGGGCACCAGCAAAAAAGATGCACCGACACACACTCACACATGGGACAGAGATAAATGCTCAAAGTACGTGTTGCTTCTTCCCAACGAACCAAAAACCAGCCATTCAGGCAGTGAGGGTGTCAGTCTCTCTCTCTTTCGTTCTCTCTCTCTCTCTCTTTCTCTTCCAGGAAAGTGGTGCCCGTGTGTATAGCCCCCAACAAACACTACAATTGACCATATTTTGTATAATACGCTTAATACGCCATGTTCAAAAGGACACTCAAGAGCTACTCCCCAAACTAACGAACGTGAACCGTGAAAACACAATCTCCTTGATCTCCACGCAAGGGAAAAAGGCGGGACTCGCGCCTGTACATGGTTTTCCCGCATCCACAACAGGTTGCTTGGGACAATTGAGGGGTGTACAGGTCCCAAAAAGAATCCGAAGGGCCTCTGGCCGTACCTACGCTTTGAATTATTCCCCCCCCCAAGTCTTGATTCTGGCTCCCGTCACACCCGGGACACGACGTGTGTGTGTGTGTGCAATTGCCCGCCCCCTTTTAAAGGGCAGCAACTCGAGAACAAAAGAACAGACACACGCAGTGGCTGTGGCTTCTTTGGACCCACAAAATTGGCTTCAGTTTTCCTTGCGGTTTGTGAATGAAACCCTCAAACGTAGGTACCAACTCTAAAAAACTACACACCCACAGCCCACCATGGCCGAAGCCAATCGATGGAGTTGTGGAACATCAATCTAAATCAACTGTTTCGCACAACTCACCTCCGGGACAAGACCAAAGTGACCAAACCTTTTGTTGACCACTAAAATGGTCCAAACAAACAACAAAAAGTGACGAAAGTCCTGAACAAAACTCAGGGGGCTGAGAATGACAACCATGTGGAGTTCTTCTCAAAATACGGGTCCCCCTTTTGGAGGGGAAACCAGAACTGAGTCGCCCAAAGGACCCATCAATTACAAGGTTGACCTTTGTGGTGCAATGACTAAACATCAACCAAAATGGCTGGCCCGTCCTCAGATCCCCTACTAAAAGTGACAACTTTTAGTGGGTCAAATTTGTTAACTGGAAGCCCAACTACTAAACCAATTAAAAACTAACCTCAAAACCTCAGGAACCGGATGACCCGCTGGAAACCACCAAGAAGATATTGACTCGATCGTTTTGAACCAGGGCTGTGGGGAATGACCACTTCTATGATACAACAGAAAGGGCTTCCCAACGACTATTTTGTTCATATAAAGGGGGATTCCCTTGTATCACAGAAGTGGGGAGAAACCCCTTGATCCCACAACCCTGTTTTGAACACCTCTACCAAAAAACACAAATCAGCCAACGGGTCACACGGTCCATGCCTGGCTCCCGGCCACCACGGTGAGGTTTCGGGATGTTCCGATGACCGCCTTCGCCTCAGCAAACCAAACTTGTTGCGTACGGCGACGTCGCTCGTACCGAAGCTCTGGCGAAGCAATGGCCTCATTTCACGATTAGAGTTAGGCCCAGTTATAAAATGTATATTTGATTGTTTGCTTTACTTTGAGTCACTGTGGTAAAATGTATAATGTATCCTAAGTCTACCCCAGATTCCTGGAGTGACCGATGAGCCTCCCAGAGGTGACGTGTTAGTGCGAGCAAGGGTACCTCCACCGAAAAAAACCGGGGTATTAGGGCTAGGTCCTCCAGTAGAGAGGTTAGAGGTTAGGGTACCAACTTTTTTCTGGACGACTATTTTAGTAGGGGAACCCTCCCCCAAAAAAAGGGGAGAGAAGTGCACTACTGGGGACCTAGTAGAGTGACCGATAAGCCAGCAAAACGAGCTCAACACAAATCAGGTCCAAGTCAACCCCAAATGCTCCCAAAGTAGCCCCTAAACAAGCCCAACAGCAGCTGGATTCCTGGATGTCAGCTAGATTAACGCCAAACCAGCCCAAGAAGATCACCCCCTGACATGCCCTGCACCATGCTTCCAGGCGCAATGCGAGCCATCTCCCCGGAGCGCTTGGCATACCAGCACAACCTCAGTGGCGCAACTTATAGGGGCAGGGCACTTAGTAAGCCGGGTTGTAACCCACTTTGGAGACTTATAACCATGGTACGCGGGTTATAACCAGGCTTACTAACTCCTCGGTTGCTTTCTGCTCCTCTGCTAAAAGTTTAACTTTTAGTGGTTTAGTGGAAAACCCACTAGTTGGCAAAAAGTTGTTCAGTCCTAACAGCCCTTGGCAAAAAGCACCAAAGTAACCACTAACTCAGTGCCCTGCCCCTTTAGAAAGTCTTCTTCCAGGATCCTGTCTCCTTTACAGTCTCCTCTGGCCCAGGGGCTTGAAAGCTGCGGCCAGTACCCCGACCGCTTGAAATCTCACTGTCTGGGTGGATTAACACGACAAACAGCTAGGTCCTCCAGTAGAGAGGTGAGAATAAGGGTGCCTTTTTAATTGTAGTCTATTTTAGTAGGGGAACCCTCCCCCAAAAAAGGGCAAAAGGGGGCACTACTGGGAAACCCAGACAGTCTACCACTAAGACGGTCTTAGGAACTCAGGGAGTCCACAAAAACAAAAAAAACACTCAAAGGACAGGGAACGATGAAACCATGCTTGTTGGAATCAGCCCTCCGAAACTTCGCCTCTGCAAACTAGCATGTGCTACAATGCTACAACCAGTGGCCCAAGTTGTTTTTGGGTCCACACAACATGGATACACCACCTCGAGTGCAAGAGTGGCTCCTCTTGCAAGTTCACCGCAACCCTTCCCCTTAGACACCTTCAGCGGTTTCGGTGATGACGGACATGTCTGACATGCGGCGAGCTCGTATCCCATTGACTTGCTTTACAACATGCGTTTAATTTAACGCGACCGGAAATTCGATCAACTGCGCAGGGCCAATCAAAATGAGGTGTGCAATTAGCTCGCTTTGTCCGGGCAGCACACTTTTTTTAAGCACGCTCGAGCTTCCAGATATAACTCAAGCTCTAAAACAACTAGATCAACATACATATGTGTACATATAATCTCTATAGTATGTATGATGAGTGCGTGTATTTCGTCTACCACGCCTACCTGCTTAGGAGACACGAGGAGACCTGCTTCCCGCCGCTCGCTCCAAAATTCGATCCGCCGAGGCGCGGCGTGAGGGATTCCTTCACGCCCTGCTGCTGGGCCCACTGCCCTCCGAAGAACTTCCCGTGCCAGGCCTCGCGGCAATTTGGTCCACAGTGCTCATGAGCACCCCCAGTACGGTAGTCACCCCAGTGATTCGTCCCTGCGGGATAAAGGATAAATATTGTACGTTGGGGGCTATCAACAAACCTAGGTCCTTCAGTAGAGAGGTTAGAGGTTAGGGTGCCCGATTCTTTTCTGGACGTCGATTTTAGTAGGGGAACCCTCACCTAGCTGGGGGACCTAGGAGGGTTCTGCTGGATGGTTGGGAAATCCGGCACCGCCACCACGAAATGAAACCATGGGTGAAACCATTGCTTGTTGCTATTTACTGGGAAAACTTGTCTTCCAGGAATTATTGTGTGGTGCAGGATTTTGTCCCATCCAGTATGGTCTCTGCCCAGATAGGCGATAAGGGGGGGGGGGTCCGGGGCTGTTGGGGATACCACCTGGGCTTGTTTCGTTCAGCATGGGGAAACAGGGGCCAAGATGGGTACTTCTCAAAATTGGGAATTCAAGGTTGGTTTCCTTGTCTCCCTCCAAAACCAACCACAAGGGGACCCCGATTTCGAGAAACTGCCAGCTCTTGAGCTAACTTCCATGATTGCTAGAAAAGGCAAGTGGACACAAGTGTAGACGTCCATTTCCAGAAGTACTCTGGAATTGTAGGTCAAGAGTAACTTTCTGGTGCGATAGGTAGAGAATGTGGGAATGAACCCAGGGTTTCCCCTAAAGCAAACCAGGGATGGTTTAGAAGGGTCATTCCCTCATGCCTGCTGAGCACCAGCGAGATAAATACGCATGTTCAACCCACCTTTGGAAGCCATCCAAAACATTGGCTCAGCCCGACTTTAGAAACCCATGGGTTCAAACTTTATCCACCCGCCAACCGCTGTTCTCATTAACACACAGCTATGTTTGAGTCCAGTCCATATATCCAGGGAACCTTCAAAGATGTAAAGCCAGCTCAATTCAGAGGTCATTGAACGAAGGTGTTGGATGTCCTGAACCCTTGACCAGAACACCGAAAAAGAATGGAATACCCAAAATGGCACCTATATGGAAACCAACGACTGGAACCTGCATCACCGCAGGTCTTAGATTTTGTGCCACACCCAAACGACGGAACCCCAGGCAAAAACCGTGGCAGCGAACCGCCCAAGCAAACCTATTCCCCACCCATCAAGCCAACTATTTGCCATCTCTTTCGCAAGACTTGGCCCAGAAAACCCTGTGCATGAACGGAATCCAGCGCCACTGAAACCGTGGACACCGTTGCTTCTTGATATTTGCAGGAGAATCGAATCATTCCGGGGTTTCTTGGGTGCAAGATGTTGTCCATCCACGCTTGATTTCTGGAGGAGGGAGGAAGGGTGGTAGAGGTATGTGTACCAAGGCTCCCTAAGTAATACCCAGTAGTAACGGTTTAAGAAGTATGATTCGTACCAAGGTTGAAGAAGGGAACCCCAGTACCCAGAATACCCTTTTCCTGGAATTCAGGCAAGCCACCACAATGGTTGGGCTCTTAGAATGCCCTTAAGCCTTTGGTTCTGGAAGGCTCCGTCTTTGGCTCCGTCCGAAGTCTTTGGCCAACACAAAGCGAAAACGAGCAACGAGGCTCGCCTCGTTGCCCAGCTCCAGGTACACCCCCAGGTCCGGCCGCAAAGAGTCCTTGCAAAAAAAAGTTAGAGACGGGTGGAGAGGTGTTGGGGTGTCAGGCCACTCATGTAGGGGTAGGTTTCTTTCTGAAGCTGTGATATCGGTGGTAAGGGGCTTCCTCCCAGGATATGAGGGTTGATCAACAGGTCCGAAAATGGATCTTCGATTCGCGCTAGTAAGTGATGAAGTGATCGCCATTTGGTATTGTTTTTCACCCCCTTATTACAAGGTTAACCCAGCATTCATGGGGGCGGGCAACCCTCACTGGGTACTTGGATGTTCGCCAAGTTAGTGGGGATTGCCACTTTGGGGTAGGGTTATATGAAGGTTAACCTCACTGAACGGGGTACTTCTAAGCGGGTTGCAGCCTAGGCAGCCGACAACTGGCATATGGGGGTTGATCAAAAGGTCCCATAAACATGGGATGACCATCTGTTGGAAAACCGCGAGGAAAAGATGTGATGTTTCAACCACCAAGCGGGAAAAGCTACCAATTTGGGGGTCAGGAATATTGATCAACCCGCATATACTGCCCGAGCTGCGATATCGGTGGTATATAAGAATCCTCTCAAACCCAATGCCTGGATCGACATGTCCTGATTGTTTGGGGAGAAAGTTCAGGGCTCGCCAAAAGAGGTGGTCATTGCTATGGAGAAGTGAGTCCTACTCAGGTAAACGTGGTCATCCAAGTATATTTCCCTTCAAAGTCCCTCCAATTGGTTGGGAACACTTCGTGTGCTGTCAGAATGCTGTCTGGTTGACTTTGATGAGCAGCTAAGTGAAGCATGCAACAGGGCCTCCATTAGACCCGCACCAAGAGGAAACTCCTTTGAGATGGCAAAGGTGATGTTCAAAACCACAGCGGAAATGTAGGGACCGCAACAGGGTGTGAACACTGAAATTAGGGGTATCTACCAAATCTCTACAGAAGAGGCTCAGAGCATTCCCTGATTAGCTGGTGGAGAGGGGCCCTCGAAGGAGTAGTCTTCCATGTCGGATCAGCTTCCTTGACCTCCGTTTGCCTCCCCCGAAGAAGAAATCAGCCTCTTCCCAGCGATAGATCCCTGAAAAACCCTGAGAACATTGCCAAAGATGCAGTTCGGCAAATGGGGGGAACCAGTCAATAGGACGAAACCCGGCACCACTTGGTTGCTGCAACGAACCCCCCCTGCAAAAAGGTTAACTTTTTGGGGGTGTAGTGGAAAATACCTTGATTTCCCAAAAAGTTAAAGTCTAAAGATCCAACCCAATAGCGGTTAAGGCAAATGCACAATTATTGGAAAGGGGGCAACCAGTTCAAGGTTATGGCGCCAGGATTGGACAGATTCAAGTCCCGAAAGGACAGTTCACCAAACAGCCAGCCTTGCGTAAGGCCCAACATTAAGGCCCCCATTCAAGTGGTTGGTTTCCACTTTCCCAAACAAACAACATTTTGTTCTATTCTACCAAGATGGTTATGAAGAAATCCATAGCCCTAATGCCCCCCCCGCCGCCGGACCTGGTACCCTAAACATTGCAAGTGAGGGAAGAATGGAACCCTCTGATTTGCCAGTTTACCCTGAGTTTGTGGTTGAGTATGGTTGGTTGACTTGCAATTCTGACTTGGCATCCGGCGTAGGACCGCCTGCTAAAATGGCCAATATTAGAACTGGCTTTGGGCACCGAAGTCTTACTTGCCCAAAGCCTGGAAATACAAGGTGAATTTGGGGGCCACGACTAAAGATAGACCAACATACTGTGGATGGACGAAACCCGTCCACCACTTGAAAAACCATAGGAAACCAACTAATAGGAAATCATTGTTTGGTATTTGCAGGGGAATCGAATCATTCCAGGGTTTCTGAACGGTGGTGCGAAATGGATTTCGCAAGTTCACAGTGGGAACATCAACAGGGATCCTTACATTATACACCTGCACATTGTCTTGTAAATGGTGGGTTCCCTGATTTGGTGTTGAAAAAGCAACATGTGTCAAATGGTTGCAAAGGAGATCTTTTAAGGAGCCCTGTAAGATCTGGACCATCTAAGCTGGAGCTCTCGTCACGTGAGAGATCAGGCCAGCACATGGAGGTAGAAGCTGCCGTGCCGGAGGTTTCTTTGCAAGTCCACCGTAGGAACATCAAAAGGTCAAAAAGTTGTTTCCTTCTGGACAGCTGACTTGTGCTTGCCAAGGCTCGGAGACCTGCTGCATGAAGTTCTGGATGTAGTCGTCCGTGGAGTTGATGGGGACGCTGAACCAGGGCTCTGCCCCAACCTGCAGCTCCGGGCAACTTCCTTGGTTCCCTAGCCTCTTTCCGAAGGGTGAGAATGGTCTAGTCCCCTAGAGTTTACACATGCAACCCATAAAACTCTGCCATGTTTGGAGTACCTGGACCCTCAAACTACCCATAAAAATGGGATATCACCCCATAATTTTGGGGGTCAAACCCTTTTTTAAGGGAATTTTGAGGGTTCAGGTACCCCTTTTCCAGTGTTCCTTCCGTTCAGGGAGTAATTCGCACGGTTAAGGGCCTCTTTTTCTACCGTGGGCCAAATCCCTGAGGCCCTGAATGGATCGCACTCCTGCCAGTTTTCTCATACCCAAGAAACACCCACCATTTCTAGAGGAAGGCTCCTTTTGGGGACCCCCACAAAGATCGACCAGGGTGGCCTTTGGAGGTTGAGGATTCTTACTTAAACCAAACAGAAGGGAGGGTGATACTTGGGTGTTCGATTCGCCAAGTGAGTACGCTGCTGGCAACCTACACCCCGCATTTGTTCGTCCCCCCGTTCAGTGGGGTTAACCTGGTTATAAAGGGGTTATACCCAAAAACGGCGAGCACCACCAACGCGAATCGATCTACCCAGTCAACTGGATAAAAACGCCCCCATGAATGTAGGGTTAAGCTTGTAATAAATGGGTGAAAAAGCAAAACCACATGGCGAGCACCACTTAGCGCGAATCGAACTGTGTGAAAACTTCCGCCTCGTTGGCGAGGCGGACCATGTACTCCAAAGCTACGCCCGGGTGAGAGCCCTGAGTGTAGTAGTCCTTGGACCCGCGGATTTCCATCTCGGCCCGTCTCTTTTGTGGGTAGCTGCTGAGGGAATTTCTGTGCACCCCCCTAAAACTCAGGAAACACCGGACCTTTTTGTAGCTACTGTTTGAAGAAGCGGGGGGCGTTGGTGAATCGATCCTTTTTAGGTGGGTTGATGCCATATCCTTAAAAAGAAATAGGTCTCGGGACTGCACCACTGGTCTGAGTTTCAGCTTCAACACGGTCAGTCTACCAATCCTTCGCAATCACGAATCAATTTGGTTTTAAAGTACCCAACAACCCCATTCCATCGTTTTCTGCAGACCCGACATGGCGTTTTTTTTGGGGGGGAATTCCAGGTTCTTCTGCAGGGGACGTTTTTTGGGGGGGATTCCCTTCTTCTGTTCGGTTCCAGCTTCATCTGCAAAAGGAACCACTCTGTAGATTAATGGGAACCACCCCCCGCCCCCCGCCCCGTTTTGTAGCCACGACCCGGAATCGAGCTGCGACAGGTGCGAATTTCACGTCTTGACTGAGGGACATGCAGGTCTGCTTCTGAGGAAACCTTGTTTGGATGTTTGAGGAAACCAAAAGCGGTTCAACTTTACGAACCAGGTTGAAATCACTTGATTCCGCCCAGAATCAAGGAGTACTTCGAATGGGGCCTGAAAAGGGTTTGCCGCAAAGGAATCGGCACCCCGAGTTGATTGGATTCCATTTGGAGTCCCTTTAAACCAAACCCAACAAGGGGGTACCATCAACAAAACACAAAGGGGGGTTGGCCAAGCTTGCATGCCTTAATCACAGGCATGTCTCTCTCAAAATAAGGAACCCCTTTTCAGATGGCTTTAAAGGGAATCTGTAAGGAGACGAACACAGAGAAACTCCTAACTTTGAGACACCTACCTAGAGTCTCCATGACCCTTTGAAAATGGGGACATAACCCCTTAATTTTGGGTTATGACCCCTTTTTCTAGGGGTCATGGAGACTCTAGGTACTTCAATCAAGCTGAACCGACTCTTTACACTTCAAGCAAACCTCGTTGCCCGCGGCTCACAAACAAATCCGTTTCGTCGATCCGCTTCACAAGAAAGTGCCGTCCGACTGGCTTGATGTTTGCACACCGAGATTCGTTGAATCACACCACCAAAATGCAAAAACATAACGTAAATACTCACTTCCTGAGTGGACGGCCCAAAAAAGTTCTGGCAGTTCGTATGCCATTAAACTTGTTCATGAACTCAGGAGAATATATTGAGGCTCTGTCTAAGAGGAACATTTTACACTTAGAGGCGTCCTTATCTATTAGCGGCACGCGAGTATGAGGCCTCGTTCGGACCCCTCATGGAGCACATGTTGTTCGCCCGCCGCGCGTCTGGGGTCTGACGATTCTCCCATTGCCAGGCGGTCTTGTCGCTGTTGGCGTGCATCCAATCCATGAACCTCCCGAGCGGGCCATTTCTTCCGGGATTTTGGTCGCTGCTCAAAAAGTTGCTTCTCAAAATGTGTGGTGTCCTTTGGTTTCCCCTTAAACCAAACACAAAAACGGTATCCTTAAAAGCAGACCTGCCCGTATATGTAGCATGCCGTATGGACAAAGTCCGCTTCATCAGTTGGGATGGAGGTACTCCCAAGAATACCGGTTGCTAAATTACCTGTCAAGTGGTGCGAAGCAGATTGCGTGCCATCCACAGTATGTCCAGTCCATGCTTCATATGTTGTTTTGTCTTTTTTCAGGGAACCCACAAAAATGACCCAACAATGGAAACTGACTTTGGAGTCCCCAGCTGCAAGCGACTACAGCAAGCAGGTTTTCTAGATGCCTGGTGTTTCTCCAAGCAGGATCTTTGGTTTCTTTCCGAGCCAGAGACGAGTTGCTCCAAACTGATCTAAACGGAAGACTACCTTCTGTGGAAACAGGTGTCCACCCTTTCAAGTGGGGATGGATTCACGCAGATTCTGCAAATTTCTCTGAAGAAAGCATACGGCAAGGACACCTTGCCATCAAACAGGGGACAGTTTCGGAACCTGACACGCCTTTTTCAAAAGCCCCTACCTAAGGGGAGGGGGGGCTATCCCTTGCGAACACAGAGCTTATTCTTGGCTGGGCTTATCCAGGGATCCCCCCCCCAATAGCCCTTACAGGCCCCCCCACCCCCAGCAGGAGTCCATGAATCCATGATGGCTATTGCCCCCGCCCACAACCTTCGACAGCTTGGTCACTGGTGGTCGTTTTCCGTTAAGGGTTGCGTGGGCGTTCGGCCAAGCTAGTAAGTTGTTGGTAACCTAGGTTGCATCCCACTTATAAGTCCCCCCACAAGTGGGGCTTACCTCCGTGAGTTGTGGGTTACAACTCAAGTGGGTAACCACTTACTAACTTGCAAAGCGAACATCCAGGCGCTCGATTTCCAAAAGGCTGGGTCTCCCATCCCTTCGTTATACTTAGCCTCTCTTTGGGTTTCCTTGCGCTACCCCCAAACATTGCTCCAGTTTAAACTGGTGTCTCATTGTTTCCTGTTTCCTGCACCCAACTTTGGGGTACACCGGAATAGGACATTTTAAGTCTGCTTCATATTTGGGTTTCCTGTTGGTTCCAACACACCCAAATGGCCAACCTTGAAATGCAACAACGTTTTGAAGGAGACCCCAGATATGATCCAGGCAAGCCGCGACAGCAGGCTACCACCACAGCATCTAGCTGAGCCTATAACATAGTGTCTGAGGAGACTTTCTACAATGACAAACACTGTATGTGTCAGAACAGGCGGATTCACAATATGGTACTTCTTTTAGTCGCCCTCATACACCCAGAGACCCCCACTCCTCCCCAAGAGAAGGACAAGAACCGAGTCCCTCAAGACCAATGCAAGTATTGCCAAATACCCTTTAACACTTATTTTTCACTGCAGAAGTCGTAGGGAGGGTGATAAAAAAGACCTCTTGAGATCCCCCCTACCTTCAGGGAGAGGGGGTGGCGGTTCCTCAATTCCATGTTTCTAGTCTTCAGGGGTCACCCCCCTCCCCAATTCCATTTTAAGGGGGTGAGACAAAAGACCTCTCGACTTCGACCCCTTGGCCTTCCTCTTCTATATACGTCCTCCAGTAGAGAGGTTAGAATAAGGGTGCCCAATTTTTTTCTGTAGCCTATTTTAGTAGGGGAACCCAAAACCCCCCCCCCAAAAAAAAAGGGTAAAAGTTGGCCTCAATTGCTGGGGGACTTAGACAACCCCCCCCCCCAAAAAAAAAAAGCAACCACCCAAAAGAAAAGGTTGATCTTCTGCAAGCTAACCCAACACAAACACCTTCATGTTTCTTTTGTGTCTTTGTTTCCCGCGCCGCTGAGAAAACAACAAAACACTCGCGTCCCGTCCCTTTTCAAAGCGCCCCGCCTGAGCACGGTGAAGTTCTCGAGGCTCGCCAGGAAGGCCGGGTGGAAGGGGGAGGTCGCCTTTTCAGGGCCGAGCCGAGGCTGAGGCTGAACTGATCGCGTGGTTTTTGGATCCAACAATTTGGGGGGATTTACTATGACTTTATGACTAAACCAAGCCTTCCATTCAAATAAAGCAACCCGAAAAAGTTTTCCATTGGATTGGATCCCAAAATTTGGAGGAATTTTCGACTAAACCGAGCCTCACTGGAGCGGATTGGTCAAATAAAGTCAGAGGCTGAACTGTTCGAGTGGATTGGATCCAACAATTCGGGCGATTTACGTCCACCAAGCCTCACTTGAGTGGATTGAGGTGGTTTTTGGATCCAAGACTTTGGGGGATTTACGTCCAAACCAAGCCTACTGATCGAGTGGTTTTTGGATCCAACAATTCGGGGAGTTATGACTAAACCAAGCCTTCCATTCAAATAAAGCAACCCAAAATTCAATAGACATTTCCGTCCACCAAGCCTCACTTGAGTGGATTGGTCAAATAAAGTCACCAAACCTTGTGTGAAGGCACACTAAAATGGTGGCCAAGCCCAAGTGGCTCAAGTCTGCAGCGGAACTCAGGGGCTGTGTATAACTCGCTTCGATTCGACTTGTTGGTCGGGATTCCACGTTGGAGGGACCCGAGGGTCATGACCCTCAGTAAACAGTCATTTTCCGAACCCTTCTAATCCGTTGCCCCTGATAGCCCTGATGCAGGTTCCTAATATCGAAGATTCCCCTAACAAGGCCCCCTGATGATACAATATGTTTTTTAAATTGTTTTTCACAACCTGCGGGAGGCCCAATACTAAAGTAGAACAGACCAAATTGAAACGAATACTAAACTAGCGATGTCTCTCACTAACTTCTCTAGCAGTTTTACTAGGGGACCCCTGCCCTCAGCCAGCAAGACTGGACACCCCTAACTTGCAACTAGGGACCCCCCCGCAAAAAAAATCCAGTGGTATTCTTTGTTAGTTGGGAGGTTTGTTTGTTGGGGAGAATTGATTAGAGCGGGTCCAAGCCTCTTAGGGACTGTCCAGACCCCCTCAATAATCGCTTTATTGTTTTGTTTGGGCGGGAGCAAAAGGAGCACTAGTCATGAGCCTTTGGACAGATCACACGGATTTCAACTCCAGGACCTCAAGGAGTCAGTATATGTCTCAAAAGTATGAATCCTCCAAAAAGGGCTTCCCCCCCCTTGAAACCAACCAAAAGAGGTTTGCCCCCCCTCCAAAAAAAAGTCCCCCCCTTTGAAACCAACCAAAAGAGGTTTCCCTAAAACAAAAACGAAAGAATGTGGGTGGCGCTAAGCAACCAAGCAGCGTAGACCTCCTCGAATCCCGGCGTGATGATCCGAATGTTCCTGGCAGTAACTTCCCCCCCGGCCCAACCCCCCTCCCCCCCCATCAACCGTGAAGGCCTTTAATTCTTTGGGTGTGGATGATAGAAGCTGTGGACATCACTTGGGGGCTCATGTTTACCAGCCACTTCCAGGTCCTCCAGTAGAGAGCTTAGAATAAGGGTGCCTGATTTTTTGTCTGTAGTCTACTTTAGTAGGGGAACCCAAACCTCCCAAAAAAGTGGGTAAAAGTTGGCACCTAGCTGAGGGACCAACCACTTGGTGGTACTCGATTAAAATGCCGTCAGCCAAATTGGGCCTGGCTGTTAGGCCACCTGCCCGCTTCCATTTGCGTTTTCGCCCTCGGCAAAAAATACACGTACTGTGGGTGGACGAAATCCATTTCGCACCACTTTGAAGCCATGGGAAACCATTGTTTGTTAGTATTTGCAGGGGATTCGAATCATTCCAAGGTTTCTTAGGTGGTGCGAAATGGATTTTCGCAACCATCCACAGTATTTCCAGTAGTGATAGATTCCCTTTAACACCAACAAGGGGGAAAAACAAAAAACAGGATTTCAGCCAATGGAAGCCCATCTTTAGATGGGATTTTCAGGGGCTCTCTATAGGGTGGTCAGGCTCCCTAAGCTTGGATGTTCCACAGCTCCTAGCTTTCTCCAGAGTTCCCCCGCGGGGTTTGAGACTTGTTCAATGGCCCTTGGATCCTCAAAGAGGTGAACCCCAAAACAAAAAAAGCAGAAACATAAGAAGAACAAGAAGAAGAAGCAGAAGAAGCAGCAGCAGGGGCGCACGTTGCAAAATGGTTCCACCGCTACAGCCCACATTCAAGATCACAAGGGTGCTGGAGATACAAGATCCAAGACGGACAATGCATACACCTGGCCGGTCAGCGGAAGCCTCGTTGTCCCCTGCTGGTTTGCGAATCCGTCCCTTAAACCCAACCAGCAACTCTTCAGATATGGAGATGTGATTCCCAAATCAATCCCCCACTAAAAGGGGAACCGCTGATGAGTGTAGGCCTCCGGATTAGTCCGAGGCTAGCATTGCCTGAATGAAAAGGCACAAAGGTCAGTCAGTCTGGCAATGAATCACAGACTCTCCAATGGCGCTATTTATGCGCGTGGGTGTGTCTTTTTGGGGTTCCCCTTTTTGGTAGGTTATAAGTTATAAAGAGAAACCAAAAAGCGAAACTACCATTTTGGGGTACCCTACACAGACAGACCCATATACACACAGAAACAAGTTGACATTGGGCCTACCATACACAGACACACACACACACACACACACACACTCACTCACTCACACACACACACACACACACACACACACACACACACACACACACACACACACACACACACACACACACGCTCACCCCGCCTGATGGGATTATCCTCCCTGGTATCGGCCACGCGCACGCCGATGCCGTTGTTCATGCCCGTGGTCAGGTTGACGTGGATCCGGATGTGGTTCCGCGACACCCGGTGAACGCAGGTCACATCCATGCTGAAGTCCAGAATACCTCGCGAATGGGCAGCCAGGCAGACAAGGGGCAATTCATCACTAGAACAAAACAAAAGAGCGCAGCACAAAGAAACATAAATCAAGCATGAACCAGACAGAGTCTTGGCCAAGAGAACCACTTGAACGAATTATCACCTTGGCATGTCACAAGGATTGGCCTAAGTGAAGAAACACCAGGGCAGAGGGTTTCTCGAACCTGGATCCAGCCAAGTTCGGGGAGCCCGATTTGAGTCGCAATCAAAACCGATCGGTGGAGATCCGCAGCTATTCATGGGATCGTCCCTTACTCACCTTCATCTACCCGGGTTTTGAGCACGTGGCTCATTTAGTATTCCCCCACCAATTAACATCACCCATTAACATGGAACCTGACAGAGGGTCCCGTTGAAAGAAACGGACGGTTTCCCAGAACCCCCCGGAAAGTCAGGTCATGTGAAAAGGGGAGGGTAAGTCCCAGGACTCCACCATGCAACCCACATGTGCGGAGATGGATCCCAAGGGTTCCACACTTACCTGGTTGTTGGTCATCCCCTAAATGGGATCCAATGTGAACGGATCCTTTCGGATAGATAATTGTCCTTTGCAAGCGATCGGAATTTATCTGCAAATTGCATTTTGATTCCAAAAGCTGAATCAAGGGGTCCTCAAGTAAAGAACCTTTATCAAGTTCATTGTACCCCCGAATCGGTGAGCTCGCCAAACAAACAGGCATAACTCATTTACAAGACCTGCTCAGTAGGGAATGACCTTCCGGGTTTTGGGAATGAACCAGACAATTCCCGGAAGAGAAACCGAATCGGGGATGGTTTTTCTTGAGGTCATTCCCTCATTCCTTGCCAATCGAAACCGCAAACAGGGTCCCTGAATGAACAAAACCTGGGCGCTTCACCGCTTCGCCCATGGCATTTCTAACTTTTTCCAAGGCAAGAGGCCCTCGCCGTCGTAGAGGACGGTATACCAGCCGTCCACGTAGTGGCGCTCGATGTCCCGAATCTTGCGTCGTTTCAAGTCACCGAGTGGATACCCTCCCATCAATTAAGAGGGAACCTGACGTTGGGGTGGTTTGGACTAGTTTCCTTTTAAAGGGGCCCAAAAGTCAGGTTCCATGTTGATTGGTGGGAGGGAATATAAGGAGCCGACAAAATACAAGGGTACTGGCTGCTTTCAATCCAAAAGTCATGATTTGAGGAGAAAACGATCAGTATTGTGTACTTAGGCTTTTATAGTAGCCAAGGGGGTGAACCAGCCTATCAACAGCGAAAGGAACATGGAAGGGTGTCCCACTAGTGGTCCATTGGGCCTGGCCTAAGGCTTCGATCCATGGATTCTGGATGCTCCGAATCAGTATGTGTCAAGTTGTCCCGGAAACCCTAGGTTCTCCGCATTCAGCCCCACAGGATGGTTGAAAAACGTGGGTTGAGCCCCCTCAACTGATTGAATACCCTGGAAAAATTGTCCGTTGCTCATTTCGCTTGTATTTACAATCCTTCAATGAAAGCTACACTCGCCTCTTCCAATGCTCAAAGGGTGATCGCCCCAGATCCGGTCGATATGGAAGGATTTGGGCAATGGTAAGCTTTCCTAGTATGTTCCCACACCTCGGCATGGTAGCACCAATAAAATGTGAGATTATGTGAGTCATAATCAAAGCTTATATTACACTATGTACCCTTACAATACTATACTCTTTGAGTACTCGTTTCATGTCCTCTTTCTGGGTGGATCCACAAGCTGACAAAACATCCAGCCCCTGCCCTTCCCGACCACTTTGGCAAACAAACAATTCTTCTTCATGCAGCCGCCACGCACTAAGAACAAATAGGCGCAAGAACGTTTGTTAACCGTCCGCGTAAGCAATGGAACAAACAACTGGTTAAAGTCAACTTCCAGAGCAACCAAGTCTCACTTCCTGAGTGGATGGGCCAAACAAGTCTGAACTTTTGGTCCACAACCATTTCTAAAAAAGTATAAAGTCCATGAGCTCAGTGAGTGAGAAGCTTACCACATCCCTTCGCATCGCTTTTTTTTTCGCATTGCTCTACTACGCCGTTGGACTTCGTGCGATTTCGATGCGCCAGCCGAGGTGCCGTGAGCACTTCCGCCTTTTGGTTCACCTTCAGCCGCGCCGGGTATCCATCGCCGCGTAGCTCCAGCTCTGTCCCTGACAAGCGATGACGCTCGAGACGCCGAAAGAGCTGCCTACACCGTGTCAGGGTGTTTCTCAAAATAGGGGGCCTGGTCCCTTTTCCGGATAGTTTCCTTGAGAACAACCAAAAAGGGGGCCGAATCCCATTTTGAGAAAAAAAAACACATCTGCTTCCTTTTCGCAGTTCCTGCGTTGATGCCAAGAAAAGTCAGAACTTTTGGTTTACCACTAGAATGGAAACCCAAACAGCAAGAAGGTTAAAAATGGAGGGATTGAGTTCTTATGTACCAGGACTCAAGACCCATCAATTTGTCTAGGGAGCCCTGGGTCGGATCTGGGGTTGGAGGCGTGGGCAAAGACCCCCCCCCTAAGCCCTACTTGTGTCCGCCACGCCAAGCTAGTAAGCTGTTAGTAGGCTGTTGAATAGAATCTAAGTTCCCCGTTCAGTGGGGTCATAATTGTCAGGGGGTTACAACACAGGTGGCCATCCCCACTTACTCACTTAGCCGAAGATCCAGAGGGCAGATCCAAATCCAGACTTTGGAGATGCGGTCCATGAACAGAAAACGACTCAGGTAGTTGGTTGGGTTGATTGTTGGTGGAAACCCATACTTGGTCAGGTGCCACGTATTAGACATATCTCCGAGTAGAAAACGTCAGCCTACCAAAAGGGAACCCACTGCAAATGAAAGGTGATTGGTTGCCTATTCAGTGCGTTGGGACTGGTTTGGTCAACTCGTAAGGTGGATTGGATGCCGCCGTAACTTACTTCCTGGGAGTACTGGCCAAAAAAGGTAACCCAACCTTTAATTTACCACTAAAATGGCAACCAACCAAAAAAGTGACTGAAGTCCGTGAACTCAGGGAGTCAGACATAATTGCTTGCTGGTTTGAATGTGGGCTTGGTTTGGAGATTTTGACCTCTGAACTGGACACCATTCCGTGGCTGGGATTGGATTTGTTTCCGGTTTCCACATATCCCTTTAACATGTGCATCAAAATGAAAGCAGAAGGTAATGGCTTGGATATTTGGTGGGTTTGGATAGGTTTGGAATGGTTTCGATATGATGCAACTGCAACACTCTAAATTGGTAACCACCTGCTGAAAACTCAAAGGACCATTGGGTGGTGGGTCTGGTTTGGTTGGATTGCTGGCTTCCTCAGATGTTGCCCCTCCAACACAAAAACATAACATTGAGAGATTCTTGCCTGTACGGGGTGAACCTTAATGTTGACCCACTATTAATAAACCCGTTCCACTATTAGGGGGGTGAAACCCCTCCAAAAGTGGTCTGAATCCCAAAAGGAATTGGACACCCCCCAATCAAAATCAACCAGGGGTTCTACTTAGATCCGGGGTTAACATCATGCAACAAGTTGCGTTTGGGTCGTGGTGGTTTGGATTGCGGCCAAAATCAGCACGCTCAAAGCTCTAAAGCTGAGCATTCCACTAAAATGGACCTTGCTAAAACTAGCAACAGCAGTTGTTTCCGAAAGGTCTAAAACAGGGCCATCCGGTCACTCCAAAGATCAATAATAATACCGGCTTAACTACCCGCAGTGGCACCTGGGAGAGGTGTGTGCTCTAAGTTGCTCAAAGGACCTGGAAATAAACAACCTTGTGGGGCCATCACCAAAAACTGAAAAGCCAAAAAGAGAAACTGAGAGGTCATTTGAGTCTAAATCAAAACCCGGTATTGAAATAGTCTACCCAGAACCTTATTCAAAAAAGGGCGGATATCCGCACCCATTTGTCATACAATTATTTGGGGTGCCCCCCCCGAGGGGTGCCCCCCTCTCAGCCCCAGAGCCAGGGGTTTTGCGTTTACCGCTCTCTCTTTGAAAAACATGCTGCTTGCGAGAAAACCTGTAGTCAAACGGGAAGCACTTAGCTTGATTTTCAATTTGCCCGGCCTAAACGACAGGAAACGCATGTCACTGGGGGCCCCAACCCAGCCTCACTGGACTTTTCATGTTTCCAAAAGCGAAGAATCAAGCGCGCGGGCACCAAAACCATTTCTACACGATTCAAGAAGGCTCCATTTACTGTTTTGAAGGAAAACTGCGCACCTTTCCCCGTGTACACGGGGGGGCCCCCCCTGTTAGCTTGCTAATAGCAAGCTAATAGCAAGCTAATAGCAAGCTAATAGCAAGCTAATAGCAAGCTAATAGCTAGCTGCCTAATAGCGCCAACTGGGTGGCTTGTCAATGCGCCGGCTGAAGGCTCACCCCTCAGCCTCCTGTGGCCCACCCGCGCCACCAAAGATCCCTCATTTTCAGGAGGCAATGCTCGTTTATAATTGAAATAGAAGGCCAAAGGCCAAACACACAAGTTAGTTTGGGGGCAGAAGAGCAGCGTGGTATATGTTTTCGAACATGCATACCTTCAGACTTTTCCAACTCCGCTTTGCTGCATGGCTGTGTTACACAGTATACAGGCCAAAACCGTGTGGGCCAATTTTGCGGTGCGAACGTGCTAACAGAATCAAATAACAAATAGCTTGCTATTAGCGTGTTATTAGTAGTACTTCCACTCCGCGCTAATAGTTTGCTATTAGCAAGCAAATAGCCCGCAAATAGAAGCTTGTTGGTGTGCCTGTGAAACGCAAAGGAGGGGGGCACCCTTGGAGGGGGGCACCCCAAAAAATTGTATGAATTTGTGGCAAGGGGATTGTCCCTTGCGCTCCAATTTCCCGGTATGGGGAAATGTAAAGGTCACAAGGTCAGTTTGGGACAACTCCTAAACAAAAACTAGGAACTTCTATAAACCCTCTGAACAAGCCTTTAATTAAAGTGAGCCCTTGACCTCCCGATTCCAATTCGCCCCGGGCGGACCGCTTGGATTTCGCCTGTGCTCCAGGTGTAGGAGGTGAATTCATTGGCGATCCACTCGCCCACCTAAACGGGCACGTGGCCGTGGCTGAACATACTGCAGATGGTTGCGAGATTCATTTTGAAGCACTTGAACCGTAGTTGAAACCATAATTAGTTGAAAACCATAGTTGAAACCATTGCTAGCTGGTATTTACAGGGGAATCGAATCATTCCAGGGCTTTTTGGTGGAACGACATGGAGTTCGTCCCTCCACAGTCACACCATGGCAACGAAATGGTTTGCTTTCGATGTCCCTCAACCAAAACGAGTGCCAAGCCTCAAAAAAGACGAGCCACCCACACCGCCCAAGTGCTGTCCAAAAACCAGTGGACCTTGAACAAGGAAGCCAGCCAAGTGGGTGAGAACAAGGGGGGGGCCGGGGGGGGGGGTGCTTGCTGCACAGATCTGCATCCCGCTGGTTTCGGACTATGAGCATCTTGGGACCATAAAGAGAGAATCCTTTTGGGGAACCATCCTTTAAAAGGCCTCAAAGCTTTCCCGTACGAAGGAAGCCAACCCATAAGAAGAAGGCATGCCGCTACACAGATCTTCCGGTTTCTTTCATCCGGGCGTAAAGGGAGAATCCTTTCGGCAACAATCTAGGGCCTCTCGGGCGTGTGTCGATTACTGACTGCACAAAAGACCTACAAGGCACCACTGGATCTTCTTTCCCGTTTGGGTAGGGGGAACCATCCTTTAAAAGGCCCCGACTGCCCTCAAATCAAAAGGCGTCTACAGGGCACCACTGGCGGCGGCCGTTTCGCTCGACGCAGCCCGGGGCGTCGACGTCCAAGCTTTATTGGGCAGTCCACGAGGCGGCAAAGAGCTCCCAAGGAATTCTGGGGGGTGAAAGGATGGGGACGGAAGCGAAAAAAAAGCCGGACACTGGTAGGCTTTCATGAATCCCAAAAGGAACGGGACAGATTCAGCTTCATATTTCTTCTGCCCTAAAACCTCAGACCGCAGGGTGTATCTTTTCCCCTGCTCGAAGAGATCCTCATTCCAGGGGGCGTCCTAAGCTTAGGTTCCCGTTTATGTTCCGCACAAAGCCGAACAAAAAGCACACACACTCACAAACACACACAAGAAAAACAAAAACAACTCCATGCAGGAGCTTGGGTTAACTTGTTTCCTCCTCGCCCTCTTCGTAGTTCCTGTTGACCCTTCTGCACAAAGTTTAACTTTTTGCGAAACCAAAGTCAAAGTCCAAAGATCCAACCAACAAGCCACACAGTAGTCCGCCGGGCATGTATTGTTTTCCCTGCCTTCTGGAAATACATGGGCCTGGTTTTGTTGGGGGGGGGACCCCCCTTGAACACTCCCCCCCGGAAGTGGTGTTTGTTTTCCGTTTGGTGTTCCTTTAGAACAACACAAAAAGGGGTACCCGCCAAAACAGACACCCAAATGTTTTGTTCCTTTTTGCTCTGAGAAAAGGGCTAGACCCTTTTGCTCAAGGGAAGAAGGAAGAGCACCCCATGTATAGATCATTGCCAGACGAAAGGCTTGCCTGTTTCTTGGTCTTCCTTCATGATACTTATGTGATGTGTGGTGTTTTGTGTTTGTACTTGTGGTTATATGTGATGTGCGTGTGTTGTTTGGCGATTTGGTCACGCCAAAGACCAATGATGCGTGTCAAGAACTTCAGTGAGTGAAGGGTGCCAAATGCGGGCACGGCACTTGCTTGAAGACGTCCACGAAGATCCACTGCCTGGGCGAGCGTGCGAAACTGCGGGCCTGGAGAAAGACAGAATGCCCACAGATTCCTTCACGGTTGAAAGCCGAGGGATCCCAACAAGGGTTGGTTTGATGTCCAAAGCGGCTGCCGAGCCTCAATATCCAGACACCTGTTGTGTAGATTATGTTCAATGCTTGTTGTTCCCAACACATCCGAATATGAATTAGGGGACCTTGTTCACATTTTGTGCACGTTCCTTTTTTGACCTGAATTCATATCAAGATGCCCTGGCCCACCCCTCCCCCCTTCCCCGCAGCAAGAAGGTTTTCGCGCCTTGACCAGTAGCTGACGCCCGACAGCGACAGGCCCAGCGTGCCTTGGGAGCAACCCAAAGCTCATACCAGAGGTTAAAGTTACCCAAGGTTACCCCAAGGTTACCAAGGTTACCCAACTTTTAAACCAAGGTTACCCCAAAGTTAGAATACTTACCCTCCCCCAAAATAATTTGGGGAAGCTCCCAGGACCTCTTGGGAAGACTGGGCATCATTTACTGAGGATTTCTGGGAGCTTCTGAGGGAGTGTACTTGGTCAAGGGACCTGCAAATACAAAGGTTATCTCTTTGAGAGCTCCAAAAGTGGACCAAAAAGGACAATCCAAACGGTCATGGTCATGTCAGGTCGGTTTTGAACAACTAAGAATAAGTGTACCTTTCCCAACAAACAACAGGCTGAACAGCTGAATATGTTCCGGGATAATGGAATATCTGATTTTCGGAGAACACAATTGGACTGAACAGGTAAAAGGTTTGCGACAGGGTCGCTGGAGTTCCCCAATTCAAAAGTTGATCAATTTACTGGTGGTTTCATTGAACCAATTGCCTTTTGGAGGCAGGGCGAATCTGGCCATCTTTTTGCCTCCCGTGCTACGATGGGGAACTGACATGTGCTTTGCCCTTGTAGCGTACCCCACTTGGACCACATGAAGCCCCCACCTAAGAGGATCACTAGGCCCCAGAAAAGTCTGACCCAAACAAAGACCACTGGCAGATATTACCATCTGCTTCGTGTTGGCTTCTGAGGATCCTACCAGCTTGCCGATCCAACCCAATATACGGGCACTTTCAGGTAGGGGCGTTTGAAGGTATGGAGAATTGTATGTCACCAATGGGCTCGTTGGTCAATATATTACCCCTTAGAAGTGGTACCCCACTTCACATACTCCCATCTGGTTTTCGTGGGAAACAACTCCGTTTTCTGTCGAGGGTTGGCATCGTACCCTATCATACCCTGAAAAAAGTTGGTATTGGGTGTAGGGGGCATGACATTCCTCAGTGGATTGGCCAAAATACGGCCCAGGCCCAAACTTTGTAGTTGCCACTAAAATGGTCCACCCCAAAAAAGCTAAAAGTCTAGGAACATCAGGTGCTCTTTTTCAACCCAAACCTTCCATTCAGACCCTGGGTTGGTGGAACAACCAGCTCGTCCAAGTACATGGGTTTCCCCACGTGCAGTTCCTAAACCTCTCAGATCCCAAAACATGCCGAGAAAAACAGCGATCCGCATCGGGGTTCCAGCAAAACCGAAGCCACAAAATAAGTGTCCCCTGTTTTTTTTTTGGGGGGGGGGACCCCTTTTTGGTTGATTTGTTTGACTGGCTGGTGTTTTTTCAGGCGGTGTTTGTTGAAAACCTCTCCAAGACCCCTCGCCTCCCAAACACCTGACCTGCAAAACCCCGAGACTCCCAAACCCCCTTTCCGGGGAGGGCCACCCCTCCACCCCCCCCACCTCCCTCAACCTGCCCCCCCCCCCGCGCCGAGCTTCGGCCCCGGTGGCACGCCGCCGGCGCCAGCAGCGAGCAGTCCGCGCCGCTGGCCTCGAGCCACGTCGAGGCAAGGAGGCGCCGGGTGCCGGGACCCCGGAGAAAAAAACCAAAACGGGGAACGCACCAACCAGATGGTTGGGCCAAGCCTATGTTTTATGAGCAAAATCTGATGTTTAAGGGAAGCAACGATGTTTTTGAGGGAATCGTGTGTGTGTGTGTGTGTGTGTGTGTGTGTGTGTGTGTGTGTGTGTGTGTGTGGGTGTGTGTGTGTGTGTGTGGGTGTGGGTGTGGGTGTGGGTGTGGGTGTGGGTGTGGGTGTGGGTGTGGGTGTGGGTGTGTGTGTGTGTGTGTGTGTGTGTGTGTGTTTTTACAACTGGCAAAAACTGATGTGCTAAGGGAATTGCGCTGAAACTGCCCAGAATTTGCCAACCATAATTTTGGGGCAAGAGTTAATGTTAAGCGACTTGTGGCAGGTCCACGGGTGTGTATATTAGGTTGGTGGTTTTGGGCAGGTTTTAGAGGGAACCTAGGAAAAACCCGTGTGGGTTTCCCCATTTCACCCGCCTAAAGCACACCCTGGAACGAGTAGATCAGGTTTGGTCTTTTACCAGGTCTTTAGACAGTTTGGTCGAATTGTTCGTGCTCCCCTGGCGTGGGCACGGTGCCTGCGGGTGCCCCAAAGTTGGGGGATGATTTCTTGGAGGGGACGGCAACTACAAAAAACAACAACCCCCTCACTCGGTTTTGGGTGTGCTCCGTTGTTTAGGGTAGGTAACAAAAAAAGAAACATGAACAGAAACAAAACACGCAAACAAAACACTCACCTGGTATTGTTACTGTTTTGATGCTTGGTTGTGTCTGTTGCGTCGATCAAAAAGGACAAGCACACATCTAGTTAGGAGTACTTGTTGCGGTGTTGTTCCCTCCATTTGCTTACATATCCAGTAGTGAGAGATTCCCTTTAAAACCAACAGGGGAAAAAAGAAACATATTCACTTCATGTAACAGGTGTTGCGCACAAATACTAGCATATCTTAAACACGTGAACGTTTCAGCATGGCTTTTGTGGACCGCACCGTGTTTCCAAGAGCTTGGCTTAGGGACCTAAACGACAGCTCATCTAGTCTTGTGCTGGGTGTCGTTCTGATTTCCAAACACCCAGGGAATGCACGTGCTACTGTGGATGGACCAAATCCGTTCGCGCCACTTTGAAACCATGGTTGAAACCGTTGTTGGTATTGACAGGCAAAACATCATTCCAGGGTTTCTTAGGTGGTGCGAAATGGAGGTTGTCCATCCACATGTGTAAAGAGGAATAAACCCTTTTGATTGGTCTGTGGGTGACCGCTTTGACTTTGTCCGTGTTGTGTGATTGGGAAACGCAAAGCTTTGGTTGCGATGCATGTGTGTGTGTGCGTTTGCTTCTGTTTGGTGTTCGGGTGGCAGGGGCTTGGTTTTCTTTGCTTTTTAGGGTTGAAGAGCCCGCGTGGGTCTGTCTTTGATTAGGGGGCCCACCATTTTGTGTGTTTTTGCTTTTTTTGGTTTCCCTTTAACACCACGACAAAAGGGGAACCCTGCAAAACAACATACACCCACGTGTCTGATAATCACAACATATTATGCACAGTCAAAGTTCTAGGCCTAGCAAAATATAAGTCAACACTGTCACAACAATTTGAAACGAGGTCATGCCCCAATTGGCTCCGACAAATTCCTTTCCCCCCTCCTCCAAGTACCCGCCCAATTTCAGTTGTAGGTTTTCCATGGGTAAATTGCCTGACCACTGATACCCAACCTGAGAAAAATGGCCGGGTATGTCATTTGGGGGGCCCTCTGGGTTGCTAGAATCATAGATCAAAGCATCTGAAGCGAACAAACGGAAAGAAAGCAATCCGGGGCCCTCGCTCAAGTTTCAAGCTTCTGCGGTCCGAGAATGGATATGTCTAGTGATGAAATCAAATTGTTCACCAGCAGAACAACAACTTAAGCTAATGAAATCGCTCTACTGGAAAACGGGGACACTTTGTGTGGCTCGAACAAAGTATATTTGATCAGTGCTGAACAAGCCGGGACAACGGCAGTAATCATAAACCCCTGAATGACTAGGGGTGTCTCTCGTTTGGGGATCTTTCGCTCTGAACACAACCCCTCCCAATCCGCCGACACGAAGTCGGGCTTGACAAGTGGGTCTGTCTTTTTTTAGGGGGACCCCCCTCAGACATGAAAAGACACATAACAAATGAAATTGGGGCTTTGCAGATGGTTTCCTTTTAAGGCCAGCAACAAAAAAACGCGCTCTCCAAAAACCACCCACCCAGGTTAAAACCGTAGATCTCCCGGGGTGCCAGGCGCCCTTCCAGCACTTGCAGTAGCCCAGCTCGCAAATGCCTAGGAACCACTCGCTCGTGACAGCAAGATCCAGGGATGGCATGATCGTTGGGCAGAAAAAACCAGCTTTCCTACACCGGAAAAGAGGGTGGCATGATCGTTGCGCAGAAAAAAAAAACAACAACTTTCCCGCAGAAGAACAGTTTGCCCTGGGCATTTGAAGGAAGATTGATCAACCCCCACTCGGAAGGGTGCTCCGTGCTGCCTCTTCTTTGGGTGGGTCCTTTTTGGGGAGACCTCCAAGATGGCGGTTGTCAATTGTGGCTTTCCTTTGCAAAGCTGGAGTACCTTCAACATAGACACACCCATGTCAACGCCGTAGGCAATGATGCCAACTTTAGCCTTGGCATATCCCATGGGTGTCAAATGACCCCTCAAAAATGCCAAAGAAAGGTCACCAATGAAAAGCCATTTGATAGCCATCAAGGAATCCTGGACAAAGTACCTATTTTCTTTGTGGTGCTCAGTGGGGAATGACCTTCCGAGTGTTGGGAATGAACCGTTTGGGGATTCCCTCACATATATAGGGGATAGTTTTTTGCGGGGTCCTTCCAACTCATTCCCTGACGCCTCCCTTCTTGTTGATTCAGAGCCCTGAAAAGAAGCGGACAAAATTATTACCAACATTATTCCTGACTTCACGAGTGGATTGACCAAGTTTGTAATTATTTGCCACTAAAATGATCTTCCAAAACAGTTTTAAGTCCATCCAGGTAGTGAGAATGGGGGCTACATGATTACTAACATGTTTCTGAAATTATTCCCTATTCACAACCAAGTCTAGAAACCTAAGACAAGGGGTAAGACTTTTGGCGAGAAAAAGCGCCTGGCAAAGCCAAAGCTCCTCGTTTCCCAAGCTGTTCTGGGCCCGGGCAAGAAATTCAAGGGTCACCTTCCGGGCGAAGGGCTCCCTCATCTGACATCGTTTTCCAGGGTACATGTTGACGAAGGCGTTCCGATTTCTTGGAAGTCATGCCCTGTACCCTGAACAAAGTGGGTGGGGGATAGAAACTTCTGTCCCCCAACAGCTTTTTTGGAGCAAGCCTTTGGAAGGGTGGTTTGCCTTGGTTTCCCCATAAAACAGCCTCCAGACGGGTACTCTTAACAGAAACACACACCCGTGCTGTGGATGGACAAACACAATTTCGTACCAGTTGGGCTGGATGAACACCTGCAAATACTGGGGTAAACCAATCGAAATCCAACTGGCGCGAATCGGATTTGTCCATAGCTCCCTCTAGTTGGTGGTTTGGATTTGTGGGTTGGCGGTTGGGAGCGGTTTCCCAAATTTGCCCTCTACAACAAGCAGGGGTTCAAATCCCCAAACTTCCGAATCCAGTCCAAATCCAAACCACCAGGTTTCTTCCCCCATTCCAGATGCCCGCATTTGCAAGTGCATTTTTGAAAAGAACTAGTTTGCTTATGCCAATCTTCTTGTTTGGGGTTGACACCTTGCCCCCAAAAGCAGCTATTGGGTGTATGGGGGACACGGAAGATGCCAAATCCCCCACTGCCAGATCGAGTTGCCGGCAAGTGCAAGTCTGTGAGAGTCAAGGAGATGGTTTAGATGCCGTCATGTGAGCGCCAACCCCTTTGACTCTTGGTCCTAGAGTGTTCTGAGTGTCAGCGCGACTTGCTACGCGGGGTTGAACCAAAAAAGCCGGGCGACTCTTCTTTTTGGCGAAGCTGAGCCTATCCCATCCTGAAGGATTCAAAAACAAGAACATGATGCCGGTTGGAAGCCCAGGATTCAAGCACAGGATTCTGTCGTGCCAGGATTCCGCCGGCTTCCGGCCATGAGTCATGCTAGTCAAACAGTCAGAGGCCACACATCTCCAACACACCTGAGTTTTTTACTTTCATGGAGTAGGATGATTGGGAGTGGTTACAAACATCTGATCCTGTGCCTGTCGCAGGTTCCGCCAGCCGCACTGTCACAGGCTCCTTAGCCTGCGGGCCTGAGCTATTCTGACTCTGGCAGTGAAAGCTTGACGAGTTCGTCAAACATGTCCAGGTGAAACAGCACATAGGCCGCATCTGTGATGCTGTACAAGCTCAACAGCATGGAGAAACTGAAGGAGCACAGACCCCACATGTCGTAAGTCACAAAGGGGAAAGTGTAAAATTGCAGGAGCAGCGACAGCGGGGCTTCTACGCTTTTCTCCGATAAAGAGAATGCCAAGAATCTATCCGTTGGGTATCCAGCGGAAATTGACTCTCGGTATTCGTCCCATAGGACCTTTGGTCCACTCTGCCGCAGCTGCTGCATGCTGGACGCCACAAGTATGAGGAGCGCAAAGACACCAAACAGGTAGTGCTTTCTCCAAAGCAACGTGATCATGCAGTTGAGATCGGACAAAAAGTCAACCACCAGGAGGCAAAAGAGCTTGTGGACCTTCAAGCGCCTCTGGCAGGTCTTCCTGCAGGACTGGACAAGCTTGCAACTGCTGAGCCAAGACTTTGGTTGGCAAGAGTTGCAGTATGGTCGAAACCAGAAAACTCAAGCAGGGAACGATGTAGCAGGCAAATTCGACCCAGTATTCGCTGGCCTCCCAAAGAGCATCGCGTATGTCTTGCGCCGTGAAACCGAGTTTCTCAAGTGGTTGATGGTGAACTAATCCTGCAAGACATATCAGCGCATACATAGGCTCCACGAAAGAACCGCCAATGCATGGTGCTGCCCACAGCCCACAGCTTCCAGCAAAAAGCCAAGACTCTTCCTGACAACTTAGGAATGGCCGCTGTTGCAGTCCTCTTGCAGCCATGCTGGGAGTCGATTACAGTCCGTCCCGCCGCCGTCCCAGCTGAACTCCGTGAAGTCCTGAAACGCGTCCCAGGGATACCACCACGGCATGGTCCCCAAGGCGACGAGGGCCAGCCCTCGAAGGATGCCGCTCAGCACTCGGAACTGAAAGGCTGAGTGCTGCTTGTTGCGCAACCCGAACGCCGAGAAGCGGCCGGGAAGTAGCAGGAGGATGGGGTGGCGAAGTGGAAGCAGCCGGGACTTGTCCATGCGGAGCAAGGCTGCCAAGTACAGCAGAAGCAAACATGGCAACAACATCAAGGGTGATGTGAACCAAGTCACAATCACCAACGGCAGCCAGGAGGCAAGAGTCGTTGCGGTCTCGCAAGACACCAGCCACGACCTGCATTTTGCACTCTCACGGACCACCTGTGCAGCTGCCTTGTGTTTCCGCGTCAGCTTGTAGCTGGCCATGGTGCAGACCAAGGAAATCGCCCGGAAAAAAATGCTCAAACAAATTTGAGCCGCATCTGAAAACGCACAACTCTGCAACCAGTCAGCAAGCAGAAACATGAGCTGAGGGGCATCTCCACTGAACGGGGCAACCACACTTCTCTCTGAGTGTCGACGTGATTTTCGCAAATGTTCTTGTTGGTGGGTTGCAACCCCCTCAAGCACATAGGAAGTTGGCCGAATATCCAAGTAGGCTTCACGAAAATAATTCCAAGCAAGGTGCAACCATCTACTACAATTTCTGCAGGTGACGGGCGCTGCTCAATGGGAGACATGGTTCAGTTGACTTCGGAATAAGAAACCCGTCCTCTTAACAAGGGGGTGTTCCCTGCATTGTAATAAATCGCCTGCAAAAAGGGCCCCCCCTATGAATCAACCAGGGTTGCTCTTAATCCGGGGTTCCCATTGCACCATGTCAACTTCATTGATCCGGAGGGCCGTACTCATCTACCGAGTAGTTTCCTCCAGTCAGAAGTTATCATTCCAGCTCAGGTCAGGTCTCTTGATCTCACTTCCTGTGGATTGGCCCCAAAAACCTCACCCGCACTTTTTATTCACCACGGCAATGGTCCAACCATGTCCAACCCCAACAACTAGCATTCAGCCCGCGTCCCAAGCAAGCGGAACTCGGGTTTCGCGAGTCCCAAACCAATCCGCTTTCAATCAGCCAGGGGTATATTCATGTGGCATTTTTTCAGATGTACACATAGTGGTTGTTCTAAAAAAATGTTTGTCTCGAAACGGCCATTCTTCGCGAATCAACAACTTACTTTCGCGAAGCTTTCGCGGATTCATCGCCGTGCTCTTTTCATTTCTCAAGTCAGGGAATCGCAGCTTTCGAGTGACAAGGTAGTGCGCGCAACGCGATTTCCCAACTCCAGCTGTAAAGTCGCAACTTTTCATGACAGGAGTTGTGCATGACATGCACCGGCTGGACAGTCGCAGCTTTGCGTACGCCGTGCAGTTCCAGCTTGAAGTCGCAACCTTCCAGTACCAAGCTAGTTTACTGACTAGATCGGCGCTCAGAAAGTACCTCCCCTTGCAATCAAAGCCTGCGCTTTCGCGGAACTTTCGCGGAACTTTCGCGAAAAATCACCCCAGTTTCAGAGCGGAAAGCCACCGACTAACACCCTCAGACACACATACACAGGCTTGGAGCACTAACCAACCAAGCAGGGTATCAAACTGTAGTCTCACCAGTTTTTGTTTTCATCAACAAAGTGCTTTTTAATCAGCTCAGAAGGAAGGCTCAGCAGAAAAGATGAATGGTTTCAAAACCTATCATTGATTTACCAGATTCAGTTGCGCAAAACTTTCGCAAGAACAACAAGTTACTTTCGCAACTCCATCGCGAATCTGGCGCGGAGCTACCTCAACCAACACCGGTGGTCACCGTTTACTAAACTCCTTACAAGCACCTTTCACACATATATATATATATCAAACATCAACCAAGGGTCATTGCAGTGAAGGGTTCCCCAAGTACGGCTTGGACATTTTGAGGTGCGCCCTGCGCGCTCGCTGCCCGCGTATCGCCGGGGCGCCGTAGACGCAGCTCTGCGGGCACGGAGTCGCCGCCGCTGCGGCCGCCGCGGGCGCCCTGGCCCGGCGGCCTGGCGCTTTGAAGTTATTTTGTGGAAACCTTGGTATGGTACCCTCCCCCCCCCCAAAAAAAAATTAAAATAAACACGGTGCTTTCCTTAAAACCACAAAATTGCAGAAAACAAACAAAAAACAAACACAAAAACAGCTGTATTCCTTTAAAACCGCCATAAAGGCAAAAAAAAAGAAAGAAAAAACAACAAACAGTGCCTGGGAGCCCAAGACCCTATGTGTGAGGGCCTTGAACCCCCAAAGGCCTCAAATCTCGGTTGTTTTCTGCTCCCCTGCTAAAAGCTTGACTTTTAGCAGTTTAATGGAACACCCATTAGTTGTCAAAAAGTTAAAGTCCTAACATCTAAGCAAAATGCAGCAAACAAATCATGAGGTCTTGGGCTCCTAAAATGTGTCGTCCTTTAAAAACACACAAAAAACACAGCCAGCCAAAAAAACACACCCAGATGTTCCACAGTTTAGGGTAGAATAAATGCTGTGGATGGACGACATCCATCTCGCACCAACTTGAAACCATGGTTAAAGCATGCTGAAGCCATAGCATTTGTTGGTATGTACAGGGGAATCGAAGCATGTCGGGGCTTCTTAGGTGGTTTGCACATGATCTTGTCCATCCACAGTATGGTAGCCTCCTGGTTGTTTTCTGTTGTAGGTTCCAGGTCCCCAAAAGGTACCACGGGTGGTATGGGTGCGTCTCTAAAGTTGCTGCCCTCCCAAAAACAAACATAGAACTTGCACAAAGGGTGAAAGACCCGTTTTCCTTTTCAGGGGACCGACTCCTGTGCGGGTTTTATGTCTGGTTTTGGGAGTGGCTCCATTTTGAAGGAAACTGGTCCAAGCTAGGACCTCTCGACTGCCATGTTGGTCAAGAGGGCAACAAACAGTTTTGTCAAATTTGCCTCACATTTGCCCCCAATGAACAGACACCAAACAACAGGAAAAAAAGAAGACCTGCGAAGCACAGTGATTTGACCACCCAAGGGGTTTCTGCATTTCATGGTTCTGGGCCCCAAACTCGATTTGTTCATGGGAAACACGAATCGTTGCACCACTTCCTTTGGTCGTTGATTTCATATCAAGGGCTTCCACCTCCCAAGTTCTGAGGGCTCCCGATGTTTTTCCTCAAACTTCTCCGAATCAAAAGGAAACTCAGAACACCTGACTAAAATGGTCTGCCCAAAAAAGGTTCAAGTCCCAGGACTTGAGTGAAACCAGCCCCGGCTCTTGCAAGCAAGACTTGCCTTGGACGTACCCGGAGAGCGCGGAGCGGATGGGGCCGTCATCGTCCCAGTGGAGCATGACGGAGGCTTGGCCGCAACTTTTGCCTCCTGAAACATGCAGCCAGTGGATCCCAGCAGCTCACCCCCTGGCCCCCCGAAAAACGAAGTGGTGTTCCGAAAGTGTCCCTTTGGTTTTGTGTTGAAACCCATCTGAAAAAGGGTACTCTCAAAAACACATACACGCATTTGGCAACCCGTCGCCATTGTCCACCCGGTCGTTTGAGAGTGTGGTTGCGTTGATCACCCGCGCGCTAGAATTAGAACTTCAACTCTTTCGTGTTGACCATTTTCTGTGGAAACCCAACAACAGGGGATCTAGAGGGTGCTGAACAAAAATCCAGGCTCACAATTTGCAGCCAACACCTGTGCTAAACGTGGAAAAGCAAGACATGAGCAAACCAAGCGCTCATGCCCCGTCGGTTTGGAGCAACCTGAGAAGCAAAGCACGGTATCACTGCATCTTTTTAGGGGAGGGGGGCATGATGCTAAAGGTATCTGCTCAAAAAAAACTCAGATGCTCAGTGGCCATGGGAAAAAAGGGCATCCTTTCTTGGTTGGTTGCGTTTAAAGGGATCGGAACCCTTCCCAAACAAAAAGTTGCAAAGAGGAAGCAGCCCACTATTATTATCAACTGGATGCCCCACTGAAAGGAGACTTGTAACCATGGCTTCTGTGGGTACCAGATGCTTCAGGGAAATGATGCTAAGGGAAATCCGCTGAAAAGACAAGTGGAGCCTTCGAAGCGCGTTGGAAGTTCGATTCTCCTGTGCGGCAATGCCTCACCTGCCGCACCATCTGACCACCTGCGCGCTCTGCAGGGCAGGGGGTTGGGACTATGGGATATTTTTGTGGTTTAGCCTATCGTCAAGGGCTGAGTCTGCAAAATAATCCCTAAGTGTCCATAGCACGAAAGGGTCACCACTAAATCACTTTTGTCGAACTTCCTGACTATAGTTCCTACTCCAATATCACACTACAGGTCATATCTGAAAGGGCCGAGGGGAAAAATAGGAACGCCCGTTTCAGACCGGCAATGGGTTCTACTCACTTCCGTGGATTTAGGACAGCCCTGGGCTCCAAACCCCCAGGCTTTGCTTTGTCTCGCTTCCTGAGTGGATCTTCCCAAAGTCCAGCTCCCGGAGTGAGTGGTTTGATGGGAACCCCTCAAAGGGAAGCAACCCACGTGGCCGGGTTCCCAAAAAGTTTCAAGTCAGACACCTGGGAAGGTGAGTCGAGTGCCTTGCCGCACAGCCCTAAGTTTATCACTATTAATATCTATTACCGGGGTTTGTGATTGGGACTGGTTAGTTAGCTTGCATGTTTTCGGGAATCGAGAGTTCAACTTGCGACTATTTGTGATCGCAAACTTGTTGTTTGCCACTAAACTGGCAACCAAACCCAAGTGACTAAAGTCCGAAACGCCACTCTTACTCATGTGTCACCCTTGGGCGCGCTCACAATCTGGCCTCTCAAACTCTGGGGAATTAAACACCTCCAATTGCGAATGCGTACCTGGAAAAAAACAATCCAGTGGCTCAAAATTAAAGAGTGAGGGTTGCGCAGGTTTTAGTTTTTGGCTCCATTTAGGTGCCATTATATTTTGGTGCATTTCTTGTGCTGCAACCATATGTCCAATTCTGATCGATTCCCGTAAAAATCAACAGGGGAAACTTAAGACACATTGTCCAGCAAATGGAAGAACATGATCGGCTTCGTTTCGGCCTGTCTGTCAAAGCGACCAGGAAGCTCCACTGAACTGAGTTCGCTGGCCAAACAACTTCCAATTTTGGGGGCCTCCGCACAAATTGGATGAAATCTGCCAAAAGGCTCAACAAGTTTCCCTATACTTCCCCCGGAAACATCGTCCCTGAAAGTTCATGTTGAAAGGGTGGTTGGATTGGCCTTCCAGGGAGTCTCACTCTAAAGGCCCTGAAAGGTATTGCTCAAAACCTGCCTTAATTCAAGTCTCCCAGCAGAAACACCACACAAACGCGGGGTACACAATTTCCTCAGCAATCGCACTGACAATCGGGGCTGCGCCTACCACAGTGGAGAATCCGATCTGTCGTAGTCGCTCGAGGAACTCCAACATCAAGTCCTCCGTGCCGTTTTGGGTACTAAGCCCACGTGGAGATTCATTCTCCATGAGCCTGGTAGTTCTCGACTATGAGTTGCTTTTCCTGAATCTCGATGTATTTTTTCGTGAAGTAGCCTGAACTACTAAAATCCTATATTTTTTGATTCGGCACGTGAGATTTCAGATTTGGTCCCTTTGCACGTTTCCCCGCCCAGCCCGCAAAACGCCCGCAAAAACTAAAGCAACACGTGTCGTGTTTGCATTTTTTGGTCGGGGCCCAAAACTCCTAGAAATCACTTAGAAAGCTTGACACGCCAAACTACCAGAAACCCAAACGGCTAGGAAAAGGCCAAGGCATGAATCTCCAGGCAGGGTGGGCCAGAAACGATTCAAACATCCAACCCCTGGCTCTATGAAAAGGAGAACCAAAACGAGGCTGTGTAAACAATAGGATGTTTCAACATGCTCAAACAGGGGCGTGGCCGAACCGCCGTGATCAAACCCCGCCCCCTACTCCAAACAGACTCTTTACAGGGTATATTTTGGAAAGCAGACTTCCCGATGGTAGTTTATCGCAACTGTAACACGGCTCTTTTCGAGCAGCACCGTCAAGCTCCCACCCCAGCAGGCCCTGAGCTACGGAAAAAGTCCATTGTTTAGGAAGAGGACGCTCACTCTTTGGTAACGCATCACCCAAAACATGGATGCGTGCCAAGATACAGGAACTGTTGCATTGGATCCAGGCACTGAACAGCTTGCACTTGGCAGCGCCAGCCCAAAGATTACAATTGCCCAGTCAAAGTTGTCCCCATGCTTGAGCATTACAATTTTGCAGATCAAAGTGTAGCACAGAAATTGCAATTGAGCAGCTCCAGCTTGAAAAGTCACAACTTTTCCGCGCAAGAGTGGCACGCGAGGAAATTTGGCAGCCGCAGCTTGCACCTTACAGAACAAGCAAATTGGGCACACTACATACCCCAATGACAAGAAATGCAACGTATCCTCCAGATCACATCTCTGGACTCTTCTGCAGCTGCGTGTCTCCATGCAGTCTCTTCATCCACAGTCGGTAGTTTTGCACGGTGTCTTCGTGGTACAACCCCGTGACGCCCCCTCACATCTGTGGCCGGGCAAAGCGGCGACAATGAAGGATTTGCTGCGGCAATGCGCCGTCGGATCCCAGCGCCCTCAGAATCTGATAGCAAGAGCTGCGAAGTACGTGACACAGGGCCTTGCCATTGGGCTACACTGCATATTGCTCCCCCGCCAAAACTGGAGTTTTGCATTGGCCGAAGCCGCTTGCGGACAGGCTGGGCAGCGACCGCCATTTCCTTCACCAAGTCTTGAGATCCTGCTGGTTGCCGCAAAGCACCGTATACCTGCAAATCTCCGGAGGAAGCGCTTGCACGTCTGGAATCCATTCTGGTGGCAGGTGGCGCCGCCGCCGCAAGATGTTGTCCGAGGGCTGCATCATCGGCCACGTCGGCCACGTGAGCAGAGATCGGTCGCTTTACTCAAAAGGCAACAGGAGTAGGTGGCGGCTGATTGGCTTCTTGCTGAACGAAAGTACTCTTTGATGAGACGCAACCGCAGCAGACTTCCTGAAGATACGATGCAGCAGCTGAGTGTTCCTGAGCTCCAACCGAACCTTCAGACGTTTTGCTGGAGAGCAAGACACTTGAAGGCGTTAGGTTCACCAGCACGAGCCCAATTGCGCGCGCAATGGGCACAGAGGAAACAGCTGAGCAGTTCCAGAACTTCGAGCCATCACGGTCATCCGCACGCTGGCTGCAGGCAAGCTAGCACAAACAGCCTTGGAAACGGCCGAGCTTCGGGTCGTCGCCATGCTTCTTGCTCGAAAAGGAGCCCGTCTCTCAGTCGACATCTGTCTTAATTACAGAACAGCCTCAAAGTTGCGGTTTTTATAACCAAAATCTGCGGCTGGCCGACTGCGTCGGCCCGCCGTGCTCTCATAGCTGCTGGCTCACATCCCACCTCCTGTTCCTCTACTTGCGTGCTGCTTGCGGCGCCGCTGCGGCTCCTGCCATTGTTCTCCATCACCCCTGCGGTAAGGTACTTGATCATGGGTTTCTTTGCCTTCTTGGGGTTTGGAGCCTCCATGGGGGTGTATTGGTCATAGGATGGCACCATCTCTGCCCAAGCGGCCGTCTGCAATCGCTGTGGCCCACTCAAATGCTGGCTGCGTCCAACGTGTTTGGTCTGAGTTGCGCACGTTGAGCGCTGGTAGATTCGCGGCAATGTCTTGGATGACTGGATCCATGCCCTCGCCCAAGATCCGTTGCCCACGCAGCTTGAAGTCGTCTGCGTGCCCAGGTCAACATGCCAGCGAACACGCTGAGCCTTATCACTGGATGTCTCCGCGGCACGGACGAATCCAGAGACAAGTGGGACACAAAGTCTTTGAAGGCCTTGAACTCCAAATCTGCTTTGCTCCACTTGCCATCCTTGGTGGGCGCTATCTTGGAGTGCCTTGTGCAATGCTTCCCAAGGTTCATGTCCGACAGGCCACCCTTCGCCGGCGCCGCACCTTGGGCGCCATGGTCTCGCTGGAAGAATGTGGAAAAAGCAGCAGCCAAAATGCTGCGGCCATCCGAGCAGTTTATGACACTTCTCAAAAATTCACTTGTACACTGCACCGAACTTTGCTTCTGATGCTATGTTCAAATGAACTTGTGTTGAAATAAATTTGGTTTCTCTGACGAGAAGATGTATGAAATGATTGAACAAGGCTCAAAAGGAGGAATGCCACAAGCATTCTTCAGAAATTAGAAGCAAATGGGTGGCAAAGTCTTAATGAATCATCTGCGCAAGTCTGTCAACATTGTAAACCGAGAACACGTCTGGTAACATCCGTCTACAATGACCTGACTTCCCTTACACAAGCAGCAGGCGCGGGCTTTGGAGAAGAGGTGCATATACCTGGGTCTTCCAACATGTGCAAATTTATTGCTGTTTTGTCAAACACTATGTCTTTTGACCCAACGGCGATTATTTTCGCCTGCCGGCAGTTTTCAGTGTTTGCACACTCTAGCATCAATCAAAATTGCAAAACGGCGTAATTTGCCGTCAAAACGGCGTAATTTGCCGGCGAAACGGCGTTTTTTTGTTGCCTGGTTCCGAGCTGGACTCACGGCAAGCGCTTTTTCTCCGAAAGAGCGGTTTTTTTCAGCAACCGGCGAAAATTATTGCTGTTTTGGGAAACGGCGTTAATTTTACATGTCATATAGATAGATTATATTGACCAAAAGAAATGGCAACAGCAAGCGCATGCACACTGTTGTCTTGAGCTAAATGTAATGAAGTGCCAATCTCAACACCCTGCCCGGATAAGCAAAACTAAATGAACAAGCAAGGGATGATCGCATCGTATTCAAGCACCCTACCCTTATACAAGTGGCATAATCCTGCCTATGCTTCGATGCGGTTCCTTTCCGCCCCATAGGACCAACCTCTACCGCACTCTGAACCCTCCCCCGCAAAAAAGTTACTATGTATCACGGTTGTCGGCATTTCCAGCTCAGAAGGTGCAAGACCATCCCTACAGACCCCAAAGAAGGGTGTCAAATGACCAGGGTTCTGCGGGGAAGAAAATTGTGAGCATTCATTCACCCCTTTGAGGAAATGAACTTCATCTTCCCTTGGTGGAAGTCATCTTAGATTTATGAGGACGCTCTGAGTTGGTTAAACATCTCAGTGAACACCTATACGTTGTCTGAAGAGCATCCGAGGTGCATGACTATCCCTACCAAACCAGAGGCAAGGTCAAAAACACCCTTCTACACATTAAAAACAAAAAACCAAGCCTGAATTTGTTCCCCCTTCCACACATCCTGCACCACAATATCTTTGAGGTTTATTCAATTTGCCTCAACTGGACTGTATTCAGGTTTGTCTCGTGCAAATGTTCTGCAAGCTCACCGTTTGAGTGCCCCATAAAGAAGATTCCTCTGAACCTGGCATGGGTTTGTCTCAAAGAGAAGGATTTTCTTTGGCTTCACTTCGCTTCACCGCTGAACGAGGAACCCCTGCAAAGGGCACACATGCACGCTCTCAAATGGTATGCGTCCAAATTGGGGGACCCCCATGAGAACCAGTCCTAAGCGAATCAGTACCGGGCACGAAAGGGGTCCTGGCCTACCCGAAACATGCAAAATCAGCAGGGTTTCTTGCCGCGCAAATTTATACCTGGACTGCCCCCCTAAACTTCATCCGGGTATTGATTATGGCTCAAATGTGTGTGTCTCCAAAGCAAAAGGTTAAAGTTCCTTTCAAAACCAGTGGAAACTTGAGAACTAATCCCTTCTTCCGAATGTTAAACGTAAGCCTAATACTAAACCGATTCTTGGGAATCTGAAATCCGCAAATACTACTGTTAGAATAGCCAATACTAAACCAATTCTAGCGGAGTACGTTTCCTTACTGCGGTTGTGCTACAAAGTTGCGACTTTTCAGCCGGAGCTCCGCGAGTATGGTTCTCCGAAAACGAAGCGGGGACTCCCCAATGCTAAAGCCGGCTTTTTGCAGGGGACCCACTTAGTATTAGGGGGGGCAATTTAGCATTAGGGGGAAGGGATTACTCACTTCAGCAAATGGAAGATGTGAAACAACTGAGCAAAACACATAGCCTCGTTTTGGAGAGTACCCATTTTTTGTAGCTTCGCTCAGATGCCCAGTGGCTATGGGAAAAAAAGAGCATCCTTTTTTGGTTGGTTCAGTTTAAAGGAATCGGAACCCTTCCCATGAAAAGTCGACAAAACGGCGGAATCCACTGGGCAACTGGGTAAGGAAACAGGGATCCTTGCATTATACACCTGAACATTGCAACTTGTAAATGGCGGTTTCCCTTGATTTTGGTGTTGAAAAAGCCACATGTTTCAAATGGCTGCAAAATGAAAATATCTTTTTAGGAGCCCTGGGAAACCCAGAGGGAACCAACGAATCCCCTGAAAACACCCCCGAAAACTACCCGAACCCCGCCCGGGTCCTCCATGACGGGCTCCCGAAAGGCGGCGATCCTCGGAGTCCCCCCGAAATCCCTCGCTCCGAACAGTCACGGCGGCGTCCAAAGCGTCGGAAGTTCAAACGGTTGACGTTGGGTTTGGGGAGCATGTTTTTTTAATTATTTTAGCAGTGAAATGGATTTGGATTTCAACCACTAAACCACAAGAAGCAAACATTGGAAATATTTCCCAACAACAACCATGGAATTCGTGTGTAGGTCCTGATTTGAGAGGAGTTAGAGGTCAGGGATGCCCCAACCATTTTTTAACCTGAGGCACCCAACGTGCCCTTTTTTTAGGTACGAGAAAAAAACGCTCGAATTACCGATTTCTGCTCGACCCCCCAAAAAACGCTCGCCCCCCGAAAAACGCTCGACCACATCCCGTTCTTCCATCCAGAGGAAGGCGGGATTGTTACGTTTTTTAAATTTGCACTCGTTTGCGGGTATTTGCGCTCGTTTTGCGGATATTTGCGCTCGTTTTGCACTTCGATTTCTGCTCGCTCCTTTTGAATATTCAGTGACCGATCATCTTGGAGGACCGACCAGCCCGGTTTTGGGCAAAACGCTCGAAGCAGGAAAACGTGTACGTTTAACATATTTTGGTGACGACCCCTGGTTTTGCAATACGTTTGGGCTAAGGGCAGAAATTTATGTAACGAAGGGTGCTCCAGGTAGCTTTGTCTATTTTAGTAGGGGGTTTCCCTCCCTTACCAGGCCACTGGGGGGCCTAGTTGTGGATGATCGAAATCCGCGAGTCTCGCACCACGGAACTCAGAAACCTTCAATTCAAAGTGGCGCAGGACTTCGTCCATCCGCAGTAGGGTAGCAAAACACTTGGCTTTTTGCAGCGCCCTACTGAAGATGAACGAACCGGAAAAGAAAAGCTCCTTTTCATTCGTTTGGAGCCCGGTGGTTTGGTGGTTTCGGGTAGTTTCCCATTTAAACCACCAATCCGAACCCCCGCTCAAGGAATACCTGCTAATGGGTTTCTCCTGTGTTCTCTTGAAACCCGCCCAACACAAAGGGGTTGTCCTCAAAGACACCTATTTCAACTGATTGTGTTCAAGGCCTCAAAAGCTGTGTTAAGCCATATCTTCAGAAGGGCTTGCAAGAATCGCGCAACGCAGCAACACGTGTTGCGCGCCCTCAAGATTGGCCGTTGAAAACAAGACAACCTCACAAGCGCAACCCATAATTTCCTTACTCGCCGCTTGCCGTGTGTTTCTCTCTTTATTGTGCAGTGTTTCGCTGCTTAGGCGCGTTGTTGTTCACTTTAATGTGGGAAGTTCCAGCACTATCTGTGATGCAGGTAGGTGTTGCTCTGACATCCACCCCTGAGATAGCTTTGCCGCCCGATGCGTGAGCTCGATAATTGTTCTGGTTCCCGAGCTCAGCTTTTGCCCCTCAAACATGGCTCTTGATGGCAAAATAAAAAGACATCCAGGAGGGCCACATTTCACCTCCATCGTTTCAACCGGTTTGCCTGGACAAACACCTACATTTGCTTAAGTCCCCTGGAACAATGAAACACACAACAAATACATTTCCAGCAGTGATAGATGTCCTCTAAGACCATTAAAGATTAAACATACCTTCCAGCAAATGAACAGCAAGGCAAGGAGAATCCCCCTGGCCCCTCCGATGTCTCGTTCGGGGCGCATGTTGTTCTCTAGCTGCTGCTCGCTGGTGGACGCAGCAATGGCCGCCGGCAGCGCCGCACGCAGCTCATCCAGTGTGAAGCCTCCCGCCAACAGGGGATGGCAGGGGAAGCGCTTGTTTTTTGGCATGTGTTGCAAAAATTAGGGCTTACCCTCCCACCAATTCAGATGGAACCTGACGTTCGGGGGGTCCTGGAAGACCATTTGCATGTCAATTGGTGGGAGGGTGTTGGTTTATGGCTTTTGCTGAAGAAAGCAACATTTGAGTTAGGTTTGAGCAAACACACCACACCTACACCTACACCAACACCCACATGTGATTTGGGTTTGATAGAAACACACAGCGGCTGTGGGTAGATGTTCAACGAGTGATCTTGAAACCACCACCGAACGTTCGAATGATTCAAGCCAAGCCTATGTTTAGGGTCTACCCTTTTTGCGAGATGGCACAAAGTTGACCAAGGTACTGGCTTGAACTTGGCGGATATCCACATATCTGCAAACAAACATGGCGAACTTGATTGAAAATCCGCTTCTTCAAAGCGAGCTCCTTGGCTAAGCCGATGAATTGGAGCGACACACGCACACACACACACAGAGCGAGCTCTTGAAATTGCAAGCGATCAGAACGTTGTGGTATGATAGTTTCGCATCTTTCACACGTGGGTGGCTGGTGATTGGAAACCTGCATTTACTCGGTTGCTCGTCCTCAAACCCGGACAAACAATACTTTTACATCGTCAAGCTATAACTGGATCAGTACATATATATATATATATATATCGTGTATCATATGTGCAGCTTCCTCTCCTCCGCCCCCTCCCCCCTATCCCTTGTCCACCTGCAAGGGCGGGCCTCTCAAACAGAAACATGGAACCTGAAAAAGGATTTCGACCATTCCCCGAACCATTGGTTCCCTTCCAGGTTCCATGATGGAGCTTATTTTGCGATATCTCCAAGCTCTTTGCTGGGGAACCCCTTGGTGCTGGGCCAAGGCCAAGTGAGCCGCTTGCGGCAAGCATCCGCCTGCCTTGGGGTGTATGTTGAACCCCTGGGGTTCGAACCACCATAAAAGCAAAGGTTGGGTTCATATAACCATTGTGTACCTAAGGATTGTCATCATCTACATTGGGTCAACCATTCTTTTAATGGGGGTTGAAGCCTAGGAGAACGGTTCGCTGGTTACCTTGGCCAAGCCTCCGCCTTCTTGGGGTGTCATGTTAACGTGCCTTGGGCGGCTTTCAGTGAAGCCTTGCAAGCATGGCTGATTCGCCCCTCTTGGCCAAAACCATCCAGAAGGAGCCCTGAGATTCAGCATACGACCACCACCCTTCATTTCACAATGCCGCCAAGCAATCCTCATACAACACTCAAGAGCCCCCTCCCCCATTTTTCGGAACAAACAAGGCCACAAGCCCACCCCCGCCTGAAACAGGCGGGTCATAGGGCGCCGGTGTATATGCGATAGTGCACCTCAGTGAATCGTCGTGGGGCTAGGTTGGAGTGTAACGGCATAATCGGCATGCTGAATAAATCCTATGTTCCACCGCCCGTATTGAATATTTGGAAACCACAAAGGGACTCAATGAATCCCAACACAACCTAAACGCAAGGAATGCCTTCAATTGTCCAAATAGATGCGACTCTCCTATCATCTTGCCGAGTTTCCCTTGTTGGTCCAAATATAGGGTCTTCACGCAGGCTATGCCTCGAAACTGTCATGGACCACAGGTCGTTGCCCATTCTTCGGGCGGTAGAAATTCAATTGAAGAACCAATGAAATACGAATCAAAGCCTAAACTCAGCCCTGCGGGGCAACATGGGCTTGTCTCCAAATGACGCCGAATGATAGACCCCTCCAACAAAATGCTTTCCGTTCAGTCTTCTTTGACACAGGCGTAACAACATTAACCCAAAACAACACCACACACCAAACACAGAAACAAACAAACCACACACACACACACGACGCACAAGCAAGAAGCAAGCAAACAAGCAGGCAGGCAAGCAAGCAAGCAAGCAAGAAAGCAAACAAAGCAAACAAGCAAACAAAACAAAACACATAAAGCCAAACCAACAATCAAACAAACAAAACAAAACACACAAAGCCAAACCAACAATCAAACAAACAAACAAACAAACAAACAAGCAAACAAACAATCAATCAATCAATCAATCAAACAAACAAACTTAAACAAACAAACAAAGAAACAAACAAGCAAGCAACCACACAAACAATACACAAAAACATAGCATAAATCAATAAATATGGATTGACTCAAAGGCGCGGACCTCCGGCACCTCCTGGAGCCTTTTGCACAACATCTCTGAAACAATAATTGCCTGAAACAAGAATTGGATCTCATTTAAAGGACCTGCAGCATAACCCCATGCCAAACCTGTCTTGCGGCAATCAACCTTGGCATGTGAGCATGTTTTCTTGCTTTTGCAGCCTAATCATGAAATGAACGGAACAAGAACACAAACCAACCAAAACCAACCTTGCATCAGATGCAGTTCTTTCAGTGAGGACCAGCCAAATCCCAAGTTCGCCTCTTTTGGGCGTCCCGGCTCCCAGCTCTCCCCCCCATTTTGAGACCTCGTCTTCGCGGATTCGCGGCGAAAGCCGCCAGGGCCCCCGGCTTGCCGACGCACTGGGCCTTGGCCGCCGCGTCCGCCGCCGCCAAGGTGTCGAAGCCTGGTGGACATTGGCGGAGCCAAGCCTTTGGGTCCCGGACAAACGCTCACTGCCCCTAGGCTTCAAGCGATTCCCAAAAGAATGGCCTTGGGACCCAACTTGGATGAAACTCCAAATTGTAAATCATGGTGCAAAACTCACTGCCTGAGTTGGTCAAAAACAAGTCCTGGCTTGGATGTTCGACCCAAGTCCCATTGGGATCCGGATCCTTCCATTTGCTGAAACGAATATGTTGTTTTCTCCCCTGATTCTTAAGGGAATCGATTTCACTATCCAGGGAGCTGAAGCAAATGGAAGTTTCCAGGGATCCGGATCTTTCTAAAAAACCTTCAGAAACTCATGGAAACCGCCGATCGGAATTTGAACAGCACGATGGTTGAACAGAATGGGGAAGCAACCTTTAGAAATTGGGTTCGAACCCATGTTGCTCTTTGTGGCAAGAAGGAACATGAACTTTATCTTTCTGTCGAACTGCAAATGGTGCTTGGTTGCCCTTTGGGGGGCGTCTTTTTGAGGGGTCGTTTGCCACTAAAATGGCATTCCTAAAAAGTTTAGAGTCCAGCTTGAATGGATTGGCACATGTCTGAGCTTTTTTTAATTCCATGGGTTGCTGTTGCACGAATGGTGTCAGTTGCCATGAAAAGTCCTAGTCTGAATAAACTTCATCAACCTACCTCCAACTCTCCAACTCCAAACTCCCGCTTGTTTCAGGGAGGTATTCACGTGGGACAACCTGGGGTTGGTCAAAATGTAGCTCTGGAACATGAGTCGTTAGACATGTGCCTCCGGGAATCAATTCGCCAAGTTAGAATGTGCACTTGGGCATTTATAATTTTGTTCAAGACTAACTTGCTAACTTGCGAAACTTGGCGGATCGAACACCCAAGCGCCTTCTGGCCGACCGGAATCCGCGACATACGGAACCAGGCCCTCATGGCCACCCGAAAACACACCTTTGGTCAGGTTAATACCTGACCTTTGGTCAGGTTAATACCTGGGCCATGTGTCAATCACTCTGAGACATGGTTGGTGGAATCTGCAATTGCCGCCTTCCTGATTCGGCAGTCTCCTAAGTTATTTTCTTCTGCGTGAATATCTGGCTTCCGTTGAGTAAGATGCGATTGTTTTCGCTTTTGGATTGCACATTGTAGGTTGCCTGAATTGCACGTCCTTTCTCGACTCCACTGTTGAACAGGAGCTTCCTGAATCAAGTTGAGTTGTTTAGTGGCAAAACCAACTCACTGAGCATCAAGTTGTTGCCGTGAAATGAGCACAAGTGATCGCCAGGGACATCTCATCGTGTAGGCTGAACTAGAGATGGCCTAAACTCCCCCGGGCTCATATGGAAGCTCCCGAACGGACCCCGTTCGGAAGACTCGGCTCCATTTTTCGAGGCCTGCTGGAAGCTTCCATGTTAGTCTGAGGGAGGGTATGCAGAACACCAAAAGCAAACCATCGCCACATGATGCCGTAGTTTTGTGAAAACGTGTGTGGCTGTGCTTGGGCTGTTCGACGCTAAAAGTGATCAACTTTTCCTGGGATATGTCTCAAATCTATGGCTGGGAAATGCTGGGAACCAGGACCTGAGTATTGGAGTTCAAGAAGAAACCAAGACTTAGTTGCCCCCCAAAGCCGACCCAGAAATAAAACTTCACAATCCTTCGTATGGTTGCCTGTGTTTTTTGCAGCCCCCTACTAAAAATGAAGAGAACAACACAAAACAAACAACTTGAAAAAAACAGCTAAGAAAAGGTTGCCCTTTCGAGGCCGTGACGAAACATGGGACCCCAAAAGGTCAAAGGTCGATTCGCTTTGAACTTGGGAAGACCGAAAGGACACCTATCAGGTTTGGGGGTACTCCCATTTCGGATACTTCCATGTCGAGCGGGCCTGGAATTTTCGCATCCGTCCGGAAGTAGCTGTCCACTTTTCCGGGGAGGCATTGACTCCAAGGATCATCGAAGATCCTCGGCCCATGCGCGCAGCTAAAAGTGTACTCGAGGGTGACATGTTAGCCGAGGTCAAAACAAGTTGTTCCCTTACTCAGTTGTTCAGTGACCCTGGGAAAAAAGTGAACCCTTTTTGGGAAAGACAATTTTTAGTGGGGCAGCCACCAAAAAAAAGGGGAAAAAGGGTGCCACTGAACAACTGAGCCTACGACGGCCCAAACAAAATAGTGAACCTCTGGTTTTTGTGCGAGGTTTTGGTGAGTCCGCCGTGTCCCTCCCAAGGTGTTGCAAAGACAAGGGGGAATTCGGACCAGGTGAGCAGAAATGACTGCGGTTCGCCTCCCAATGCGGCCCTGTTCGGAGGATCCAAAGAATTGCCAACATACAAGTAACACAAACTACCCTTTTTGGGAGGTGCCCCCCCCTTTTGAGACAAAGCCACCCACAAAGGACAAAGACCAAGAGAAACAACACCGCCTAACTGAAAAAGCACCCCCAAAACAACCAAACAACAACTAAACTACTAGACCAAGACCGCAATTAAGGGAACAAAATAATAAACATGCGGTTATCTACGGGCGTGCCCAAACCAGTGCAAAGAAAATACAAAGGCCTTCAACTCACTGTTTCACCTTTAGCGCTGCGTCAGACCTCTCCATGTATCTGTTGGAGGCTTGCCAGAAGGGTCTGTCTTGGTTTGACGGACCCTTTTTGGAGCTGGTTCGGAATCCAACAAAAAACCAACCATGTGGTGGCGTCTCTTTTTCAGGGTACCTTTTTGTTTGTGGTGTGAAACGGACACCAAAAGGAAAACAACCATTTTGCACACCCATTGTTTGGGGTCCCGGGCTGATTCCTTAAATACAAGACGACCCTTCGAAAGAACAAGTCGAAAGGGACCTGCTCGAGGTCAGAGGTTGACAAAACATCCACAATTCCAGGCTTAGACCCCCTAAACAAGTCATCTTTCTGGTCAATGAGAAAACCAAAGAAAACCCACAAGCGCAACACGGTGAGTTAAGTCACACCCAAAAAAAATGAAAAAAAGAACAAAGGGCCACGCTGGCACTTGCCCGACATTCGGGGTACACAAAACAAACGATTTTCAGAATATGTGTCACCCCCTACACCCCTTGACTAAACCAATGAGGTAATTTCCCTGCAAAAGCAGGTTTCCAGAAAATATCCTTAAACGACACCGGTATTTCGAGAAGGCGTCATATTTCGTCTACCCTGAAATAACATACTTTTCTTGGGAGGACACCCGAGACTAGTTGACGTCCATGGATCGTAAAGGCGGAGCAGTGGTGGTATGGCCGCCTCTCGCCCTGTGCAATCCGCGTGCGGTTGAAGAAGTACGCGGTGCCCGGCATATCGCAGTCGCCATAGCGGTGCCCCGTGTTCACCTCGAACTCATGGGTTCCCAGGCCCCTATACCCCTGAAAAAAATACATGCCCATTTAGTTTCTTCAGTTGGTGGTTTTTGGAAAAATCATTTTCCCAGTACATATATTTTCTTTAGTTGAGGGTTGACATCATACTCTATCATACTCTGAAAACAGTGGGCATTAGGTGATTACGTGGGTATGTGTCAACATAGGGGTACAACGAAAACTGGGGTGTCCTTTAAACCCTGCAAGCCACCCATATTCGGCAATCAGCCATGTTCCCTTCTGTTGTCCTTGTCCTTGGTTGGACAGGGATATGGCATCATGGGGCAAGCTAAACAACTTCCTCCAGCACTGGATGTTTTGTATGGGAACAAAATTTAGGCCTTCCCAACACCTATCAAGCGGCTTGTTCAGTGGCCTCCTTGTCGCCATTTCGGAGCCATCGGACACAAATTCAGGGGGGGGGGGGGGGCTAGGATTCCGTTGGGTCTCTTTTCAAAAATCCACCAGGCGCTGTGCTTTTTCTCAAACAATGAAGTGGTACGAACGGGTGAACACGTCATTCGAGAATGTGATTGAAACAAATAACTAAACATCTAAAAGCAGATCGCTTTTACGACTGAGTTGCTGGGCGGCGTTTTGGCCGCACGACACAAGCAACAAACTGAAGAAAGCATACGGATTCTGTGAAGGCTTTCCTCTATTGGCAAAATAGATGGTCCTGGCAAATGGAATAAAACCAAACCAAACCAGTGCAATCGATTTAACCATCAGGACACTTTTGCCCTTATTGCTTCCCTTGGCCCCAATTTAGTTTTGGGATCGCTGGTTTCGGATTTGAACCCCTGGTTCTTGTAGAGGGTTCAGGGGAAGCTACCTCCTAACCTCCAAACCACCAATCCGCACGACCACCTAGAAAGGACACCTACCCGCTTTTGAGACACGGCGCGCCACAGCTCCACTCCCCACTCTTCACGTAGGTGAAGCCATCGCAATCAGTCCTAGTGGATTTCCATGGGGAAAAACAAAGACTACACAGAAATCACTCAAAATAGGGGGGCTTTTCGGCTTTTCGGTCTGTTTTAAAATAGGGGCGTGGGGCTTTGTTGGATGGTTTTGAAATGAAACCAAAAGGAAACCACCTGTCCCCAATCTTGAGAAACACCCATATTGAAACATGTATCAGGTAACAGGCCCCATGCTTTTTGGTTTGTCTGATTTCAAAAGATTGGACACCCCCGCCAAAGGAAAATGTATAGCCTGAAACAATGGCCCATAATTTCAGTGGATTTCCATGGGGAGAAAAAGCGGACCTCGTTTCATTGGTCGTTGAGTTTTAAGTTCAATCAAATACCTTACCCTTGATTGGTGGCTTGGATTGCTGGTTTGGACGTTTGGGTACTACCTCCCCATTTTTGGCTTCCTTTAGGAGATGGGGGTTGAACCCCCAAACCAATACAAACCACCAACTAAGGTTGACCTGATCAATAGGTGTCCTCCTAACAAAATAATAAGCCCGCTGGTCTCCCCAACAGCCCCAAAACCCTCTGGAACTCCCTGAGATCTGCTCCAAACCACGCCAGAGCTCGCCTATCTGGGCCATCGACCCCCAAGACAATCAAAAAAGATGCGCACACACACACACGCACACACCTTCGATTCTGCGCCGGGGGACATGCTCGCGCACTTGGTCTTGGCCTCGGCTGGGGTGCCCTGCAGCCAGTAGTTACCTTCGCGGAAAAAAAAAGCGCATCGCATGACCGCTTGGCAACTACTCCACCGGGGCTGTTTACAGGCCGCATCCCATGCCCGCTGAACCAAATTCTGCAGGTGGCGTATCCTAATACTCAGATTTCATCCACGAGTTGGGCTGTGCTCAATAGAGCGCTCCAATCCAGCTTTTGCTCTCCGATATACTGGCTAACCTGTCGGGATCTTGACCACAACTGGTTGAAACCACCGCGACCTTCAAACCTAAATTGGCAGCTGCGCCTTTTTCGACACCCATTTTGAGCGATCTTGGGGTAGTTCAACATTTGGGTAACAGTCCGTCTTTCTCACTAGCCCAAAGGACCTTGAAATATACCTTGACTGGATATGAACATCAGGGAATCCAAAAGGATAAATGGTCGATTCGCTTTGGGCAAGTCGAGCTTACCGACAGAAAGGGCATGGTGCGGGAAAGGAAGTCCCTTGACCAGCGTTCCAAATAGCTGAATCAAACGAACCCGGTCAAAGTAGAACCCATCCAGGAGGGTGTCCGCGAAATCGATTTCGCACCACTGTTCAGAAACCCTTGAATCCAGCTTCTTTTCAGTGCCCTCGATTCATTTTTGGGTGCTATAATATGATCCATGTATATCCATGTTGAAAATAAGGGCACTTAGTCCTAATCAAAGAGGTCACTTAAGCCATTTAAAGGGCACTTAGACCCTCAGGGTTGCCCTCCCCAGCAGATCCCTCCTCAGTCCGGGCAAATCGAGCCGCTGCAGCGACACGTGAATGCAAATGACACTCACGCGGGGGGACCGCCGCTGGGCAAATCGAGCCGCAGCGACACGCGAATGACACTCACGCAAAAAAGGAACCGACACTAGCGTAAGTGACCTTTTCAAGGGGTCAGTGACCTCGATTCGCACCCCCACTGACACTCAAATGACACGGTTGGACACTCAAAACGCCGGCTGTTTGGGCTTTCCGGGTCCGCCCCGATCAATTGTTGGCAGTTGTCACACTTCGACGCGGGGAGCGGTTCGATTTCAATAAAGGCCACTTTGCAAACGAATCAAAGGGTCACTTCGGCCACCGACACGGCCTCAAGTGCCCTCGACTCAAAAACACGTCAAGTGCATTTCATTGGAGGACACCAAAATTTCAAAAATATGCTGGATGATTCGATTCCCCAACGTAAATACCAACAAACCTTTTGGGTTTCAAGCATTGATTCATATTGATTCGGTGCTGCGGGACTGTTTAAAGTGGTGGCGTTCCTATAGTACTCAGATTTTATCCATACCAAGTGGTGCAGGATTTGCCTATCCACATTGGGCAAACAGAAACATTTTTGGAGGGCAAGGTAATTGCAGGGTCGATTTTGCCCTTTTCCTAGACTGTGCTTTTTCGACTCCCATTTTGAGCAATCTTGTTGTCTTTTTGGGCGACAGTCCGGCTTTCTCACTTGCCCAAAGGACCTTGACATAAAAGGTGATCACCTTTTGGAATCTTGACTGGATATGGACATCAGATACACCAAAAGGTTGGATCCCGTCGAATCGCTTTGCGCAAGCTTACCGACAGAAAGGCCATGCCCGAAAGGATGGCCCTTGAGCACCATTGCCTGGTGCTGAATCAAATGAACCCCGGATCAAAGTAGAACCCGTCCAGAAGGGTGTCGGGCCCCTCCAAAAGTGCCCTGAATCGAGCACCCTGCTGTGGATGGACGAAATCCATTTCGCACCATGGTTCAGAACGTTTTGGTTTCAACCATGGGTTCATTTTGTGGTGCGAACAAATTTCGTCCATCCACAGTACTCACTGAATAGCCTCACTGATAGTCACTATTATAGGCTGCAATGGCTCATGGCCCAAGGCAGAAGTCGAAGTCCTTTCTTTGGGTACCTGGAGTCTCCATGACCCCTAGAAAAAGGGGTCATTACCCAAAATGGGGTCATGACCAACCATTTCTAAAGGGTCAGAAGGAGACTCCAGTTGTCATTTTGGAGGGACGGGTAACCCATTTGAGGCCAAGTTGGTGTATGTGGGACCCTATAGGTGATTCTTGGTTGATAATGGGACGGGAGACTCTAGCTAAATGAAGAAATTCAAATCAACCAGGGCTTCTTAGACCCGGGGTCATTAACCGGGGGTCCTAGAAGGATATCGCCAACAAGAAATCCAGCTCCTTTAGGTCCATTTCCCACATCCAAGAGAAACCCACCCAGGACAAGCTTCGGTGTCAACACCTGGAGTCTCAGTGACCCTTTCAAAATGGTTGGTCATGACCCCATTTTGGGTAATTTTAAGGGGTCAGAAGGAGACTCCAGGCACTCATAAAAAATGCACTCGTAAAACAAATAAACAAGAACCAACAATGTTTAAGGGGCCTGCAAAGCACTCGCAACCAAAAAAAGACAGACCCAAACTTCCGCGGAGCTGCCCTCGGAGTCGAGGACGCGATCCTCCTCACTGAGGCCCTGATAGGCGAAGTAGGCCACGAAGTCTTCCTATCGATTCGCCACGCGAGTGATCAGCTTCTATCCAAGTGGCTTGGATTGGTGGTTTGCTGGAGGGGTTTACAGGAAGCTGACTAATGGATTGGTGGATTGGTGGAGCTGACCAATGGTGAAGTCTTCCTATGTTTTGGTGGCTCACATGGCTTTGCATCTTGTTTTCCCCTGGTTGAAAGGGAATCGATTTCTCTGGATGTGATTTTCTTTCACATTCGAACAGCGGAAGTGGAGGGTTCTGATTTTCAGCTTCGCTCCCTTTTCGTGGCTTGGATTGCGGTTTGGTGGAGGGGTTTCCCATTTACCCTCTACAGGAAGCAAGGGTTCAAAGCCCAACTCACCAATGCAAACCACCAACTAAAGGATACCTGAAGTAAGTGGGGATCGCCACTTGGGGTAGAACCATCTACTACTTAAGCTTTAACCCCACTGATCTGCAAACAACACCGGTCCGAGCGAAGCGAAGCGAAGGCTTCGCTGCGACGAAGCTCCGCCCCCAAAATCACTTGCAGGACATGGAAAGGAAGTGATCACCTTGTGGAACCTTAAGGTCAGATCGGCTCGCTCGTTTTTGGCGTGAGGAAGAAGGTGATGGGACCAAACTATCCATTGGATTTATGACTTTATGACAGCTCATGAGAACATGATCCTGTGGTTGTCGCGTGATTCCATTTCCATGTGGTAATCAAAACAACACCCTTGCAAACAAAGAAGGACAATGGCTAGTTACCTGAAGGAAACAGACATGTTGGGTCCACGGTTGATGCCCTAAAATTTGCAAGTTGAACTTGGGCGTAACCAAGTCTAAACCAAACCAAAACCAACCCTAAAGGGACCCTAAGCCATATTTAACCACCCAAAACCCATCACAGACCACTCTAAACCAACCCTAGCCTAAACCCAGCCTTAACCAGCTCTGAGCCAACCCCAACCCCAGCTCACCCAGTTGGCAGGCATGCGCAATGCTGAGCGTGTGCTCTTGAGCGCATGTGCTTATCATGATGCAGACATGGGTGCCGTGGGAAGTGCCATGAAGGGCAGGAATCCACTGGCATTTACGCAGACCCCTTTCTATTCCATTTGGAATTCCCATAGGATTTGCGCAGACCCTTTCCCATCGGAGTCAAACGCCCGGTCGACTTTGTTCAGAGCCATTGCCAAGCCAACGCGAGACCTAAACCACCCTAAGCACCCTGAGCCAACCCTAGACCTACATCCAACCCTAATCCACCCCCAACCCTCCACCCTAAACCAGCCGCAAACCAACCCTAGACCAACCCTCAAGGCACTCGGGGAGCGAGTCAAGGTCCGATACACTGTTTTGCCTCAAGCCCCGCTCCTCGTGGACCCAACCATCAGCGGCAAGCTGCGCTTGCTCCCTAACGAACAAGCGAGAGGAGAATGCATTAGCTGCCCTACCCCTCCAATGCGGACTTCCGGACCCTCCAATTGGACCAATTCTTGGGCCCTCAGAAACAACCCAATTTGAGAGCCAAAAATCAATCGGGACCCGTGGGCAAATTGCCGTTGGCAGACCAGAAATAGGAAACTCACTTCCTGAGTGGATTGACCATAACAGCTCTCAAACTTTTTACTTACCACCGAAATGGCGCAATTCACAAAAGGGACTAAAGTCCAGGAACTCGGGAAGCGAGGGGGTACACAAGCAAATGACCTTTATGAGTGAGCTTGATTCATCCCCAGGTGAGCCGTCGGGAGTGTGGGTCACTGCTTAACAAAGGCCCCCCAACCCAAACAACACTTGGGCACTCAATAGAAGAAGAAGAAACAAAAAACGGCAAAACAATGCGGGAGTCAAATGAGCCTTTTCCCAAGTTTAGTACTGGTTTAGTGTTGGTCAATATTGTTTTAGTATTGGTTTAGTACTGGTTTAGCATTGGTTGAGTATTGCTTCGTGCTGCCTTAATACTGACTTTGCTCCAGTACTAGCTTAGAATTGGACTGTGTTGGTTTAGTTTTGGTTTGGTAGTATTTTAGTTTTTCGGTCTAAAAAACTGTTGCACAATTGGGTACCCCTTTTCCAACTGGATTCTTAAGTATTTGGGGTGGCCGTGTAAGGAAATGGGTGGTTTCGGGGATGAATATTGTTTGCAGAGATACTTTGACTTTCTTAGTACTCAAAAGAACAAACTGGTGAACAAGCAAAGAGATGGGGAGACGGTTGCACGATTGAGCATCCCGTGCTTCATTTCTACTAGTGAGTATCGGGGGTGGCCAATACCCTTTTGAAATTTGTCGGCTGAGCACTTTCATACAAAGATGATGCAAGGAAATCAGCTGTTGTAGGGATGGGTGTTGTTTTCAGAGAAGTGTTCCCGGGTCTTAAATCTTAAATGGAGGATCAGCCAAAGGCCGGCATTCTCAAGCTGGAAGATCAATGGGTTGATGGATTGCAAGAAACGGATTGACTCATGTTCCTACCAACAAAAGCTACCCACAACCAACAAACAATGCCTACTCGTAGCCACACATACCAACTCAGAATTCCCAAAAACACAACCTTCATAATCGATCGACTCTTGCTTCTGTGTGGATTTTCACTGAAATACTTTTGAGCCACCCTGTGTGCTCAAGGATGTCTAAGACTCTAATCTTACAAGTCCAAGCGAGCCCTCTAGCCTCGATCTGCGTAACCTGGAAGCACTATGTCCAGCAGTGATAGAGTGATAGCAGTGAAAGAGTTGAATTGAAACCAACAGGCGCCAACTATGGAAGTTTCAATTGAATTGAATTGGTTCTTTAACTTCCAATTGAATTGAAACCAACAGGAATGTGCTGAACCCAATGGAAGTTCGAGAACCCCAAAGCTTTCGCCTGTGAACCTTCGGACTCCCCTGGACCTGTCATCGGTTCCTCCACCAAAAAGCTCGCCGCGCGTCTGCTGGATTACTCCCCTAAAACATAAACCCAACAAGGGGATACAAGGGGGTAAGCCAAACGGGGACTCTACTCAGTTGCAAAGGCGAGCTTGGCTTTGGGCAAGTTGCGGGAATTGATCTGCAGAGGAGAAGGACAAAGAGCCCTCTGAGCAAAAGGTGGGTTACTCAATTTAGTCCCTAACCGTTGGTTTCGCCTCAAAACCATCCCACCGGGGTTCACGTTGTGAGAAGCCCCCTTTCACTTGCCCCAAGGACCGAGAAATGTGTCAGGTTTTGAGACCTTACACCTGAAACGCCACAGCGGAAAGACCAGAAAGCTTGCTGCTCCTGGGAATTCACCCAGAAAAACCCCTTAAAGGAATCCAGCAGTGGGGTTGTTTTATGGGGGTCATTCCATTTCTCATTCCCTCCAGCAAGAAGATGGTACTATGGATGGGTGCGAAATCCGGCACTGCACCGCGAAATTGAAACCATGGTTGAACCCATAACGTTTGTTGTTGCTGTCTTTTTCTGGGAACCCATCCGAAACCGGGGTTTCTGAAAGGTACGAAATGGATTTTCCACAGATGGCAACGGCTTTGGTTGTCTTTTGGTGTCCCTCAACCCAAACAGGTGCCGTCCAAAACCCAAAAAAAAAGACGCAAACTCCGCTCCCCCCCCCCCCAAGCCGAAGCCGAACCGTTGGCCGATCCAAGGCGCTGCGCGCCGTAGCGCCGGCCCAGCTCACCCATGAGGCAAGACTCGCACTGCACCGCCCAGTTCAGATTCCCCCGGTGCCCGTAGCCCCGCGCCTCGGAGCCGAAACTTCTCGGCCGAAATCAATCCACAAATACTTGGTTGACGTTGGGTTTGGGGAGCAAAAAGTTGAAATTTAGCAGTTAAGTGCAGATTTCAACCACTAAACCACAACAAGCAAGAATGGGAAGAATGTTTCCCAACGACAACCATGGATAGGCGGAGTCAGTCTTCAACGCCCCCTCTTGGAGTCAACCTAGAAAAGGCAAAGCCATTGGCAGTACCTGAGCTCACTTCCGATCCGGTGTGGTCCAAAAACAGGTAGCCAGTTCCGTGAAGCCCATGGTCCAAACCTCACATGTATCAAGTCCAAGAACTCAGAAAGTATGTGAAACCTACCTAGAGTCTCCATGTCTGTGACCCGGAGAAAAAACAGTTGGCCATGACCAACCGATGCAGTCCCCGGAGCCTTGAGCCCCGAGCCGAGTCCGTTCTTCAGGCCGCAGGCCGGAAAAAAAAATCGGGGCATGGGGGAAGGGCGGAGGGTTGGGAAACTGGAAAACGACATGTTAAAATATGTTAAAATATGTTAAAACATGTTAGAACTTGAAGATGCGCCAAGTTAAGCAACTTTGTTGCATTACGGTGTGCCAGGTGCAAAGAAACCATCGTGCAGAAATAGATATATATATATATATATATTGAACAAACAAAACATCGCTGTGTATGCAACCGAAAGCAATTAGTGTGCACTTGCAACGTATCTTGCCAGCCAGGAATGAAATTCAATCAAGCGAAATAAGGGCTGTCCAAAACGTCTGGGCCCCTCTCACGTCCCCAAAAATGGAACCACATCCGGTCCCAAAGAGGACCATTGCATCGAGGGAGAGTTTACTCTTTCGCAACCATATTCAACTCAACTCGGCCCGAATTCGGGGTACTCAAAACATAACATGTCAGATTCTTCAGAATCCTAAGTAGAATCGTTTTGGAGGAGACATCCGCGCAACTCAGCGGGCAATCCGCATCCGGGTCGCGGAAATCAGCGGCATGGCATTGAAGGCGATGATCCTCGCGTGAAAGGATCCGATTCTTTTGAACGGCATCAACAACATCTTCTGCCGAAAACTTGCAGGGTAACGGGAAATAGACGGTCATACTGTGGGTGGACGAAATCCATTTCGCACCACTTGGGATAAATGAAACCCAATAAACAATGGGATGACCCACCTACCAACTGGTGCAGGCTGTTGTCCATCCAACTGTTGGATGACCACAATACATATCGCACCACCGTTCAGAACCCCCAGGAAAGATCATTCCCCTGTCAATACCCACAAACAATGGGTTCAACCATGGTTTCAAGGTCGTGCAGGATTTTGTCCATCCACAGTAGGTGTTCTTTTGGCAACATAGATGGCCCTATGGTATATATATGTATGGTGGAACCCATCTATTTCCTGGCCAAACCCAAAGAGGACACCTATGCAAAAGGTGATCACAATGAAACCTTCACTACACATAGACCAAAACAGGAAACCAAAAGGTCGAAAGGTCGATTCGCCTTGGGCAACTCAGTTGTTGCTTGATATTAAATGGAAGCCCCTCCAAAAGAAAGGACAAAGGATAAGGCAGAACTTCTTGCTGGTGCTCAGCAGGGAATGAGGGAATGACCTCTATACACCATCCAACTGGTGGTTTCCTTTGAAGCCCTGGCTTCATTCCCTCATTCCTTCGTGACATGGTTTTGCAAAACGTGGGGCAGAAGTCCAGCGACTAGAGCCGCACATTTCTGACCCTCATAGGTCTTCACTAAACTGGGTTGCTCAACCCACACCCCAAACGCGGAAAAGGTCGTCATCAACCTTTTGTAGGTTTGATGGAAAAGCCAGTTGTTTCCAAAAGGTCTAACGGGCCATCCGGTCAAACCAAAGACCAGCTATGTCAAACCCTGACTAGGGAATAGAACCCCTGGAATGTTGTCTACAGGAAGCCACGGCTGTATGCCATTCCCCTTTAAAGCAACCCTGAAAGAACCATCAAGTATCACACCCGGCGGCACCCGACAATTGGGAATAGCTTCCCCGGAAGTTGGGTTACAAGCTAAGACTTTAGTCATTGACAATAAGCCACAAGCACTAAACAACGAAGGGGGGGATCCATTTGCTTTCCAGACCCTCCACATATCTTTGGATCCATAAGGGGGCAGCAACGTACCGGTTGGAAAATTGGAACGAACGGGTGCTGAGCAAAGGGCAATGTGTCAAGCCGGGAACCTTCCAAATAGTTAACCAGAACTCCAATACATGCTTCAGGCGGTTGATTCCCCATCCTTTTCAACCATCATTCTTTGCGAAAATCAGCTGTTTCCCCGGCTTTTTGATGGTCTCCTGAAAAGAAGGATCCCTGAAAAGAATGGGGAAGGTACTTGCAATACATGATGCGCCAACACATTCCATCCCGCAAAAACGAAGCTGTTCAAATTGAAGGGTCGCCCGATCCTTATGCTGAGCTCTTAGTAATCCCAGTGATACCCCCCAACTACGGGGATTTGCAACCACCATAGGGGTATGTTTATTGTGTTTAAGGATACCCGGTTTTGGGTCAATTTTCAAGGGAAACCAAGGGAATGTCTCCCTATTTTGATTCAATGCCACATGGGTGCGGGTACCCGGAGGGTAAGTGGGTTACATCAGCTTCCCTCCACTTGGTGGTTTAGATTGGTCTCTGGAAGAACCAGCGACAAAATTCAGGGATAATCATATGGGCAGCGCACTTAGTAAGTGGTTAGTAAGCCTGGTTATAACCCACTTAGGAGACTTATAACCATGGTAAGTGGGCTATAACCAGGCTTACTAACCACTTACTAAGTACCTTGCCCCTTTAAGAAACTGCCAGAATAACGATTGTTAATCTTCACTTGAGTCCCAACTCATCTCCGTTCTACAGGAGCCATTTTCGCAAGAGATCTTGCGTTCTGCCTTTGAAGCCCATACTCCAAATAGCGGATTGTTCTAGGGTGGCAATAGACCAAAGGGGTTGAAGATGGAAACCCGGAATTCCACAACATCTCCCCTAAATCACAAAGGGTCTTCGGAGTTGGCCGGGGGAACGGCACAATAAAAAAGCAGAGCCTAGAGTCTCAATGACCTCTTAAAAATGGGGTAGTGACGCCTTTTTCTAGGGGTCACGGAGACACCAGGAGCGGTCAACAGCCACACCCAAACAAAAATGGCTCGCAGCTTTTCCGCCAGGACGCTCGAAGCCGTAGTGGAGCGCTTGTTGCACTCGTTCGTTGATGGCCTGACTGTGGATGGTTGCGAAATCCATTTCGCACCTTTTTGGGATAGATGAAACCCCACAAACAACGGAATAACCCACCTACCAACTGGTGCAGGATTTTGTCAATCCACCTGTTGGATGCCCAAAATTCACTTCGCACCACCGTTCAGAAACCCTGGAAGGATTTGATTTTCCTGTAAATACCAACAAATAATGGGTTCAACCATGGTTTCAAGGTGGTGCGAAATGGATTTTGTCCATCCACAGTACGAATCGAATGGCTGTGCTGAAACCCAAGTCTCAGGTGGCGCGAGCTCCTGGAACAGCCCGGAATCCAAGACTTTGATATTCGGCCACGCGGGAGCCAGTAGGGTTCTAACCCACTGGTAACAGTTAACACCGCTGAACGGGGCACTAAAAAGTGGTTGTAGCCTAAGTTACCAACAACTTAGTTGGCCGAACACTTTAGTGGAGAACTAATGTTATCCCCGGATTCATAAACTCATCCTATCAATAGGGGGGTTGGGGAAAACCCCTCCGAAAGTGGTCTGAATCCCTCAAACCCACGTGACATCGTTCTTCTTCATCCGCGGTTTCCAGTATAAGATATTCTTCAATTTCTTCCGTTGTTTTTGACGAACAAGTTATCCCTTTCAAAGGGAAACCCAAAGGAAGACCAAAGCTACTTTGGGGATATCACAATTTTGACACACGGAATTGGACAAACTGATCGATTGGTTGACCCCGGAAGTTGAGTTATGTCCCGGGATTTCGGCATTGAGTAGGACAGTGAGTAGGACGGCTCATGAATCCGGGGTCCAATACTATTGAAACGTCGTATGTTGTGAGGCCCCACCTGAGCATGATGAATCCCCACAAAACGGGACAACATCAACCAGGACTTCTGCTTAGATCCGCTATCCGGCTGGTTTTTGTGTGAATCCAAAGTTTAACCGGGGTTTCATCCCTTGAGGCGCCCCCCACTCTATGAATAGGACGGGTTGAATGCACCCAGGCTCACAATACTACAAATCGTACTTCTCACTGCACCTGGTTGCTACCTGGTGAAAGATGCGTTTATTTCCGTCCAAGTGAACAAGTCTGTCCTCAGATCCCCTGCTAAAAAAACATACAGTGGGTTGAATACTCAACCACCTTTCACCAACTAATAACCGGCCTAAAAACCAATCTGTAACCAGACGGCTGGGAACAGCCAAGCTTAAACGCACAACGGGTTGGATATGATTTCGCCATTTACTTTGATTCCCTATAGTACCGCCGAGTTGAGCACTAAAATGGGTCATTGTCTGTAATGATCTGGGCCGAACTAAGCTTTCTAAAGTTTCACTTGCGGCTTAAATCCAGAAACCCCTCCTTTCAGCAGCCTAAACAAAAAAAAACACTGTCCGGAGCCGGACGCTTTCGTGGAACCGCCGAGTCAGGGAACCTCGAACCCACTAAAAACCTCCGAGAAAAAAGAAGAAAAAAACACGCCGAAGACCACTCGACACCTTCCCGGAACCCGCTTCGGCTTCGGCTGGATGCACCCGGCTGTGAGGCAAGGCGCCGCTTCCTTCTTGAGCATGGCGGGCCGGATCACCGCCTCCACCAGCTCCGCCGGAGTCATGGCTCCGTAGGTGTCGTTGGCCTGGAGAGCCGAAGCCCTGGGCTGGCTGGGTGCCGGGGTGGCTGGGTGGCTGGGTGGCTGGGTGGCTGGCTGGCTGGCTGGCTGGGTGGGTGGGTGGTTGGGTCTTGCCCTTTTTTTGGAAGGAAGCCTGACTTTTAGGAAGAAGCTGGGATGGGTCTGCCTCTGTTGAAGGAAACCTGATATGGGTCTGCCCTTTGAAGGTGATTGTGTACTCTTTGGTGGTTGTCAAACGGAAGCCAACAGGAAAAGCGAAGCCAATTTGGGTCCCCTCAAAAGATGCGATTTAAGGCAAAACAGGTGAGGTGATTCCTGGAATCGGATCAACCAACATAGCTTCGGTGTTCCTTTGCGTGTCCCTTCAAACCCACGAAACACGGTACGACCAAAAGATGCTTGTTTGAAGGGGGAGGTGATTGGTGGTTTTTCAGGAGAATTGATGCGGACGCTCGTTGGAAGGAAGCAAGAAATTGATATTTGTCTACTGGTTTATTCCCCATTGGTGTCAACCATCGTTCTTAAAAAAAAAAACTATTTTCCCTGGGGTTCCGGAAGTTTTCTAGAGAGGAATCCCTCGAAAGAATGGGGAAGGTAAACCTAGAATGTTTGTTAGGATAACACGATAATCACATGTTGTGAAAGAACAGCTGAGGCAGAAGTGTTAATTTCGTTCATTGTACATGATGTGCATTTGAAGGCAAAGCGAATATGGGTTGCCATAAATGGACATCTCCCCAGGTCAAAATCCCCCCTCCCCCGTGCATCTTTTAGGAAACTTGGAGGGCCTTGGAGGGGAGGATCAACCGTTTCCGTGAAAAAAAAGAGAAAAAACACCTGGCGACAGATCAGTGGAATTGGAAACGAGCATCGGCACTCTGCTTTTGGTACTCCCCTGCAGTTTAACATGGAACCCCCAAAAAGCACCACTTAAAAAAGGAATCTCCCTTTGGGAATCGGACCCCTTTTTGTTGAGTTCCCTGTTCATTTCCAGGAGAGTAGTTGCTTTAAATGAACAACCACGCCAAAAGATCAGCACATCGGCCGAGAACGCACCGGTCTTAAAAACCTGCCTCCAGCGCATCAAAGTCCACGCAGGGAGTTTCCCCCCCGTTGCACACGTCGGAGAACCTTGGCCAACGCGACTCACTCCCCTCACCCACTCCGCGGAAGCCACGTGTTTCCAGCACTGACTGCTGTTGCCCAAAACCCCTGTGGCCACAAAACAGGTTCTGAGTGCTGGTTTAGAGGTGTATCTGCAACAGAGTTCCTGGCCCAAATCAGGGCTGCACACAAAAGAAGTGGTTCAGACTCTGCCAATCAGTTTTGTGAACCTAATACCAAACTGAGGAGACTGCAAAATCGGTCTGGAAGTGATCCTTTGGGGGGAGCCTGTTGAATAGCAAATCCGGACAAGAAGTAAATAAGCCCAGGTAGTATCACCAACAGCCCCGGAGCCTATCTGGGCAGAGAAGCTGTTGAGACACATACATACCCATCCCCTTTGGGTGTCTGTTGGGGAAAATGAAAACATATTGGGCTATTGAACGCACCCAGATGAGACAACCAAACCCTGCTGCTGAGCCCAACCCATCCATTTGTTGAAGTCCCCTGGAGAACCGCAACATGTTCCCATTGGCCACAGATCCCTTTAACACCAGCAGGCGAAAATGACACATCTCAGTTTCCCAAAGGACCCAGCAAAAAAGAAGAAGAAGTTAACCTTTTGAGGTCACTACAAAAATTGGATCAGCGTGGGAAAACCAAACGGTAAAAAGGTCGGCTGTTGAACCACTGAGCATCTTCTTAATAACTTCACTGCGTCCAAGTGTCGCCACCTCAATGGCGGCTGCCTCCACTTTGCCCACATCACTGCCGAATTTGTCCAGCTGCTGCAGTGAGGATATGACCTCGGGAATGGCAACAAGCAGGGCTTGCCTTTTCCACGGAAATGAACTGCCTCCCTTAAGAGATTCTACACTACCAGGGGCTGCTTATTTATTCCACAAGCAGTGGAAAAGGCAAACCATGGCAACATCGGTTTACCGGGTTGGTAGGGCAATATGGCTCTGCATTCCAATACAAAACCACCTCACAAGCGACTAGTGGACAAACAACCCACCTACGCAAATTATGTCCATCAAACTTCGGTTGTGGGGTTTGGCCCTGCACCGCCGGGGATCAGCAAAACCGTTGGGCCTTTGCCTAACTTACGCTCAGCCACCTGCTCGGTATCCTTTCGGGGTGCGTTAGCCGCCGCCCTGGACCCCAAGCCGACTCAGTATCCACAAAGACTTCAAGCCTGTTGGGCTCGACTTGTGGGGGGGGAGTGAGGGGAGGGGGAGGGAGCCCTTATTAAAGCCTCAAATAAGGCCTCATTTGAGGCCTTAATAAGGGCTCCCTCCCCTCCCCCGAGCCACCATGAGTTCCTACACATTCTGGGGCTGAGAAGCCGAAATATCCACTTCCACCCGGGTCCCATGTTTTGGTGAGCCCAAACTTCTCCAGGAAGGCACCTGTAACCGCTTCGACCGGTTCGAAGAAGGAGGGACGCTGAATTGGCCTTGAAGGCAAACCCAACAAAAAGAACACGAGCAAGCTAAACACCAATACGAAACAGATGCCATACCCGAAACAAAATTTCCCGGCAAAAACAAACACACCTCTTGGCTGTGTGGCTGTTCTTCTGGCAAACCGTAACTTGTTGCTGGAAAGTATAACACTTAAACCAGGTAGGACCGAACCACCCACTAACCACTACAATGGCCCTTTTGGGGATGAGCTCAATGCGTTCGCCAAGCAGCGTTCACCACTCGATCAGAACTGACGCCAGCTTCCTCCCAGCTGTTCCACAACGTCAGCGACTGTACGGCATTCTCCTGTCCCCGCACAAAATCACACGCCCATACGAAGGCGCCTCTTTCTAGGGATCCCCCGCCCCCCCCCCAAACCGAACCGTCTCTTTTTAGGGACCCGCCCCCCAAAAAAAAAACACGGTGTGGGGCAATGATTTGAACCAAACTGAATCCAGAACCAACTGAATCCAGGGCACACTAACCTGAAAAAGACAATGCCTGGCCCGCCGTGCACAGAAAAGACGCATGTTCGGCCTGAGTGGTCGGATTCATTTCCGGATGTCGGGTTCTGAGACTCTGCGACAAGAAAGCGACATGGCTGATTTCCCTAAAGAAGGCTCCCACCACTTTTAGACCCCTGAAAACAGCACAACTACGTATATGGCCGTGCTTTTTTTCGTGGGGGGGGCCTTTGTGCGGTGATTTTGAAGGGAAACCACTAAAAAAAAAATACAAGGGAAAGCCACCATGGAGGAGGTTCCCCTATTTTGAGACAGACCCATCTATATGTATATGATATGTACCCTCCCATCCCTTTAAAAGGAAGATGGTCTTCCAGGACCCAGAACGTCAGGTTCCATGTTGATTGGTGGGCATGCTGAATGGTTCTGGGCAAATGACAAGAAGTACAAGCCGGAAATCAGGAATCCCTGAGTAAGGGAACTTGAAGCAGGGACCCGCATGCTCCTTTTACTCTCAGGTGAGGCGGTATCTGCGCAACCGGTTATGGATTGAGTCTCACTTCCTGAGTTGATCAAAATGGTCTTCCCATAAAGGCTTAAAGTCCATGAACTCAGGAAGTGAGTCTAAAACCGTTTTGCAGGAGACCTCGGCGTTTCTTTTCTGAGAACGCAAACGCTGGGATTTCTTCACACGAGCATGGCTATGTTTTGGGGTCCTGTGAGTCCCAGCCCGGCGCTAGGCCGGCCCGGCAGCAGGAGCGATACTCCACGTAGACCCGCAGCCCCGGGTCCAAGGAGGAATTCACCAAAGTGGCCTCGGCGCGCGCGGCGCTCGCGGGGAGCAAGCCACTTGGGTGTACCTAACCGGACCCTCAAACTACCCATGAAAAAGGGAAGTCACCAACCATGATTCTGAGCAATGACGCGGTTTTGAAGGGAATTTGGAGGGTCCAGGTAGTCTTCTCTCACTTGCCCGGTTTGGATCCGTTTGCCTGGTTTTGTAGGTAACCAAGGGCTTGCCACCCGATATGAAAACAAAAAGGACAATAACTGTTTACAAGGTCGATTCGCTTTGGGCAAGTGATTGAAGGGGGTCTCATAATGTGGGGGTTGATCAGGGTCCTTTACATGTTGGCGGACACGACTAAAAAGATGTTGTTTCCCACTAAATGGGATAATTGTTCATGGTTATTTGGTGCCAGGAATATGGATCAAGCGGGGACGCCGGTAGCTTCCCCGTCTCTGCTTTCCTTCAGTGGACCTTCACCAGGGAAAACAAAATAAGCCATAATGTTGACGCATGAAATCCTGTACCTCTTCCAACTCATTCCAACCCTATCTTGCCACGGAACACCCTGCACGCCCCGCTCCCCTTTCCTTGTTCTTGGTATTCACACTAGATATGAGCCAAGCTCCCTGACACTTCCAATGTTCAGTGGGGAGCACTTTTGCACACCACACGAACGGTGCAGGATACCGTCCGTAAACAGTATGCAGGGTGAAAACTCCTTTCGTCGATGTGTGCGCCATGAGCTCCTTGAACATAGGAATCCCAACGCTAATCGAGGTCCTCACTCTCCACGCGAGGGGCGTTTTGACCGTGACACAAGCCCATGCAACCTAAACCAGGCTCAATATTCTACCCTGATCCGAGCAACCCCTAAGTGGTGGGTTGAAGCGGAACAACCCCGTTTTCTGACTTGATGCGCAGAAACCATCAAAACATTGATCCCAGCCATAAACCCAAGACTGACCCTCCCCGTTTCAATGAAGAAGGCCCGAGTGAGCTTCCGATGATTTCCATGGGAAATAGGGGCACTCGTTTTCAGGTATATAGTTGATTTCAAGGGAACCCCCGTCCAGACATTCTTTGATGGACTGGACCCACTCCGATTGCTCGATGGAACATGGATGGATTCAGCAGTGCCAACAAATTATGCTCGAAGAGGCCGTTTGAAGAAAACACACACAGAGAATTGCACACATGCACCTCTAATATGAAACATTGACGTTGTCAAGTGGTCAAGGCCTCTTGCCTACGGTTTGGATGCACCTCCTGCCCCTGGGATTCAAACCACCATTAAAACCATGGGGGGCTCATATCCAAGTTGGCTCCCAAGGCCTTTCCTATGATGCCCTAGCTGTGTATCTTTGGAGCACACCGCCGCCGGTGTTCGCAAACCAAGCAGCGAAGGCGGATGCGTAGGGGTCCACGGTGCCCGGCTCCGTCTCGGGTGCCTCTCGAGTTCATGCCAAGTGCTTGGTCACCTGCCTCATCATTTTTGGAGCTGGTACCTAGAGCCCCCATGACTTTCAGAAAAGGGGTCCTAACAGGTGCCCCTTTTGTGGTGGGATTTTCAAGGGAACTCAGGACCAAACCAGCACCTTTTGGGCCCCCTAATCAAAGACACACCCATGGACGTTCTCGTGGTTCTACCCCTTTGTATAGTTTGAAACTAAGACACCAGGAAAGAACCTATTTTTAGAGGCCCGCCGCTTTGAGAAGGACGTATTATACAATACACGTATTTTATGTGCATATATATATATACATATGTATATGTTACCTCCCAAAAAAAACTCACAAGTTTGCAGAGTTCACTGGTATTTGCGGCGATTTTTCTGGGGGTCTGAAAAAGGCATGAAAACGGGACATAATTCCAAGTGACTTATTCTGGACCTTTCAACTTCTGTAGATTTTCATCAAGAAGGGACTCCAAGTGCAACTATTCTGGACCATTCAAACAAAAAACACAAGGGCACAAACCTGTAAAAAAGGCAAAACCATACTCACTGAGGGAAACATAGCCGTCTGCGAAAACCGGAGAAAACAAAAAGACATACTCATTGAGGGAAAGGTAGCAGGCAAACATTCTCCCACAGGAGTCTGGGTTTTCGGCCTTTTCGTTGTTGTTTTTTCTCATTTTTGCAGTTTCCAGTTACCTTTCCCTCAGAGAGTATATTTTTCGATTTTTGTTTTTTAGTTGTTTGTTGTTTTTTGGACCTGGTGAGGGAGGTGAAAAAGTCGCACTAGGAGTGGGCCAGGTTTGGAGATACTGGTGCGGGTTGCATAGAACCGTGGCTAGCTAGATCGAATGCGCTGCAATCAATCAATGCTCTCCGCTGGCATCGAAGCAGGTAAGTGTGGCACGGCACCCCTTCGGTGGCAGGGAAAGATGCATCAATCCAGGAATAGAATTTAATCGCGCTCTCCTACCACCGTGGATGAGGGAATGCTTCAACTCGAGGTGCGCAAAAAGGGACTCAGCAGGCAACCAGTCCTCTGTGGCAAGCTTGTTGACAAGGAACCCGTCAAATCAAGTGGCATCGCCGGTCAAGTTCTCGTCCCTTACAGGGCAATTGATGTTGCCAAGCAAGGTTTCGAAAAGTAGCCTACTTGCATAGAGGGGACATCCATTTCCGCAGTAGGGCCATGTGTGGCATTGCCAGAGCATCCGGGGACAATGCTTGCAATCCCCTTTCTTTTAGGACTTGGCCTTTGCAGGGCCCCCTCCGCAGTTGTTTCGCTTTGTGGTTTTGGGAGGCATTGCCGCGGCTGACTCCTCTGCGCGGAAAGTCGACGGCACCACCTGGCGGACGAACAAAGGAACACACAGTAAGTACACCCATGACAAACATCTATCTTTTCTCTGTCAAGCGCGCTAAGCTTGACAAAGGTACGCAAGGGTTCGACGTGGCTGCTCGGGTGAAGTGGCGCGCGGCCACTGCAATGGCTGCAGCCTTGTGTCTGCCATTGGTGCCTCGGAGTCCCGTTCCAGGAAACTATGAAGCCCATCAACACACTATGAGGCTCACAAGTCCTAGCCACAGTGGGTGGACACAACAGGGTCCACCTCCGTCCCGCTCTCCGGGCCGCGCAGTCCCATGTGGTTTCGAACCAGTGCGACGACGTACGCAGTGGCCGCAGTGGATTTCTCAGGAGTGGCATACAGAACCTGCCGCAGGAAGTTTGACGATTTTCTGGGGCATCCTCGATGGGCAACGTGTTTAAACACGTGAAAGGAACCGAGAAAAGCAGAACGGTAGTCAGTGCGCCCAACGCTCTTGAATTTGACGACTCATGCATCAGCCGGCCAAATCACAAATAGGCCGACCAGCAGCTAGAAGCCAAAAACCGAATAGTGCCAGAAACGTGAAGCAAGAATCTGCCCTTGACCAGCGAAACAAATCATTGCCAGGACACGTCTCAGCCAGGCTTCAACGTCCGACCCCTCTACACTTCCTGGGCAAACCAGAAAAAATCCCGGAAAAGCTGCAAGCACTTGTTCCCTTTCATTGGCTTTGCGCGCTGTCTAGCACAGCAGAACCTAACACTGTGAAAAGTAGCGCAAACAAAACCAAAGTCAGCTTAGGCTCGGCCACCCAGTGTGTACTTGACCCTGTGCCCCCAAGCCACCAGGAGCACGTTGTGTTTGCAGTCCACATCTGTGAGCCGCAGGTCAGGGTCCAACGGCCGTGGTGGGAGTGAGCGGGGCGCAGCCCCTTCGCTGGGGGACTCGTATCTGCAAAGTAGGCTTCTTCAGTTCTCGAACTCGTCTCACTTTCCCGGTCTTCTTTGCAAATGGCAAGGGCTGCAGAGGAACTCACAATGATGTAGATGCAAATGCAGAATAGCGCATGGTAAAGCACTGGCATCTGGGGCACTGTGTCATTTGGTGATGACTATAGTTTGTCAAAGCCCTTCCACAGTGATATAGATGCAAAATCCTCTTTTATCCCGAGTGGAAAAAGGTCGCAGTTGCTGGATGACGCTCCACTGCATTGGCCTTCCAATCTGAAGCATTCTTCACAAGTCTCACAGACCAAGAGGCGGGTTTTGGGAGTGGGGTAGCATATATATATACAAGTAAGGTCCGGCAGGGCCGGGGGGCGGAAGTTTCAAAAATATAAAAACTATAGTTCCCTTTCTCTTTCTTTTCTTGACTCTTTTTCTCTTCTTCTTCCTTTTCATTGTTTCCTTTTTCCCCGTCATTCTTCCTTTCTTCCTTTCTTTCCTTCCTTCCTCCCTTCTTTCCTTCTTTCTATCTGTCTTTTCTTTTCTTTCTTTCTTTCTTTCGTTTGCTTGTTTTTGCGCTGTTCTCTCTTTTGTCTCTTCTTTGTCTATCTATTTGTCTGTCTATCTATTTTTCTCTACCTATGTATCTATCTCTCGTGCTATCTATCTATCTGCTTATCTATCTATCTATCTCTCTATCTATCTTCTCTATCTATCTATCTTTCTATCTCTCTATCTATATATCTACCTATCTCTCTATCTCTCTATCTATCCATCTATCTATCCATTTATCTATCTGTTTATCTATCTATCTCTATCTCGCTCTCTTTCTCTCTCTATCTATCTATCTATCTATCTCTCTCTATCTATCCATCTATCCCTCTCTCTCCATCTCTCTTTCTATCTGTCTATCGATCTATCTATCCATCTATATCTGCACTTAAAAGTTGCGATTTTCAAGCACGAAACTTGACTTCGCGTACTACTTTCGTACTTAAAAAATGCGATTTTCGAGCCCCAGCTGCGAAAGTGGACATCACGTACTACTTTCGTACTTGAAAGTTGTGATTTTCCAGCCCCAGCTGCGAAAGTTGACTTCTTTCATACTTAAAAGTTGCGCTTTTCAAGCGCCAGCTGCGAAGTGGACTTCGCGTACTACTTTCGTACTTAAAAGTTGTGATTTTCAATCCCCAGCTGCGAAAGTGGACTTCACGTACTACTTTCGTACTTAAAAGTTGCGATTTTCCAGCCCCAGCTGCGAAAGTGGACTTCACGTACTACTTTCGTACTTTGGAGCTCCAGCTGCGAAAGTTGACTTCGCGTACTACTTCCGTACTTAAAAGTTGCGATTTTCGAAAGTGGACTTCACGTACTACTTTCGTACGTAAAAGTTGCGATTTTCAAGCCCCAGCTGCGAAAGTTGACTTCGCGTGCTACTTTCGTACTTAAAAGTTGCGATTCTCGAGCCCCGGCTGCGAAAGTTGACCTTGCGAAAGTGCTGCGCCTGCCACGAAATCTATACTTGACCTTGCGAAAGTGGCACTCCTGCCGCGGGTTTTGCACTTGACCTTGCGAAAGTGCTGCGCCTGCCCCGAAATCTGTGCTTGACCTTGCGAAAGTGCTGCGCCTGCCACGAAATCTATACTTGACCTTGCGAAAGTGCTGCGCCTGCCACGAAATCGATACTTGACCTTGCGAAAGTGCTGCGCCTGCCACGAAATCTATACTTGACCTTGCGAAAGTGCTGCGCCTGCCACGCAATTCAAACCTTGCGAAACCTTCGCGCGGCCGTGCCAATGGGCCCGTCTCCGAACCCGTTCCGAGACCGTTCCGTTCCGAGACCGTTCCGAGACCGTTCCGAGACCGCCTCCGTACAGGCGTCGCAGCCGAGGTGGTTTGCGCACAGTCCGGAAGCCCAATTCACGCACAGCGCCAACGTTTTCTGCATCTTGCCATCCCCCAGCTCGCAGAGAGTGGACGCAGCACCTTGCGAAAGTGCTGCGCCTGCCACGAAATCGATACTTGACCTTGCGAAAGTGCTGCGCCTGCCACGAAATCTATACTTGACCTTGCGAAAGTGCTGCGCCTGCCACGCAATTCAAACCTTGCGAAACCTTCGCGCGGCCGTGCCAATGGGCCCGTCTCCGAACCCGTTCCCGTTCCGAGACCGTTCCGAGACCGCCTCCGTACAGGCGTCGCAGCCGAGGTGGTTTGCGCACTGTCCGTCCGGAAGCCCAATTCACGCACAGCGCCAACGTTTTCTGCATCTTGCCATCCCCCAGCTCGCAGAGAGTGCTTTGCGAAAGTGCTGCGCCTGCCACGAAATCGATACTTGACCTTGCGAAAGTGCTGCGCCTGCCACGAAATCTATACTTGACCTTGCGAAAGTGCTGCGCCTGCCACGCAATTCAAACCTTGCGAAACCTTCGCGCGGCCGTGCCAATGGGCCCGTCTCCGAACCCGTTCCGAGACCGTTCCGAGACCGTTCCGAGACCGCCGCCGTACAGGCGTCGCAGCCGAGGTGGTTTGCGCACAGTCCGGAAGCCCAATTCACGCACAGCGCCAACGTTTTCTGCATCTTGCCATCCCCCAGCTCGCAGAGAGTGCTTGCGAAAGTGCTGCGCCTGCCACGAAAAAAGCTATCTATGTGTTAAGTTGGCTATATGTCAAAGCTATCTATCTGTCATGCAAGCCTATTGGAAAGCTATCTATCTGTCAAGCTAGCTATATGTCAAAGCTATCTATCTGTCATGCAAGCCTATTGGAAAGCTATCTATCTGTCAAGCTAGCTATATGTCAAAGCTATCTATTTGTCATGCTAGCTACCTGTCATAGCTATATGTCAAAGCAGCTAGCTCATTTAGTTCCAGTACTACGGAAGTTTCTTGTTAAACTTCCTTTGATAATACATTTATGTATGTAGTACATATATATATATATATATATCTATGCACCCCCTCCATGAACCCTGGTGTTACTGCCTTTTGCGGACGGTAAATGCAGAATCTTGAGATTTAAATGCTCGAGCTTTCTAATTGTGGGCCCCCAAAGCCTCATAATTTGGAGCCCGGAGTCCTCCGAAATGTCCCATTAATAGGATACCCTTTCCAAGCAGGATATAGTTCAACTAGACTTGGAATTTCGAATATAGTTCAGTTGGGATATAGTTCTCAAAAATATGTTTATGTTCAACTACACCTTATATAAGCAAATCCTTTCCAAATAGGAGCTATATGAACGTGTAAATATAGTTTCGGGTAAACTCCAACTAATCTTTAACAAAAGAAGTTAGATAAGAGATCATTCCCAAATATAATCTCAGTGTTAGATATAATCTAATACACACACACACAATTCAATTAGCTTTTGATAATAAGAATAAAATAGAGACTACTTCTCGAATATAGCTCAATTGAACATTCAAGGGGCTTCTACAAGCAAATTGGAATTACGACTTGTGTTATTTGTATCCTGGCCCTTTTGTAGCATAAGAAAGGTCCGAAATTAAACTTGTTAGACGGTGTTCCAAAAGGACATTTCAAGGGAAGAGAGGTTCAAAATCTAAAACTATCTCGAAACAGGAATTGTAGCTAAATCAGTTGCATTTTAAGTTCTACTTGCACACAAAAGCAAAATTAATTCTATCTCAAAAGGTGGAGGTAGTAGATGAGAAAATGTGGAGAGGTAGTTCAAAAGGGGGAGGGTGACGGTGTGTGAACATACATAAATGTATATATATATATATACATACACCCATAAATAGTACCCCTAATGATCCTGCGTCTCTTCAGAAAACGCTGCAAAATACAGTTTTTGTTGAGCATTACACCTAAGGACCTACCTTCGTTTACCTCCTGGAAAAGGGTCAACATGAGCATAGCCAAAATGAAGCAAACCGCTCACCAAAAGCACTTGAGAGTTTGTCTAATTAAGAACCTGAAAACGGTTCCACTGGATCGCTAAGCATTGAAAGTATTCTACCACTAGATGGAAGATTCAAGATCAAAGATTACACAGAAGTCTTTCTTGAGAATCGTCAATCCTGGCCAAACCCAAAGAACCTTCAAGTTCTTCTAACACTTGAAAGTACTTTACCACTGGATTGAGGATTCGATATTGAGGATTGCACAAACAACAACTTTCCTAAGAGTCATCCATCCTGGTCAACTTCTACAAATGATCAAGTTGTTCTAAAACCTCGAACGTATTTTACCACTGGATTAAAGATTCGAGATTGACATATTTAACGGAAAGCTTTTCCGAGAATCTTAAGGAACACCGAGAGTATTGGGACAAACCTGCACTTTCTATGTCTTTTTCTCTTTAAACAAATATGGGGCTCGATATTCAAGATTCCCCGCAAATATTTTCTCATAAGCTTGAATCTTGAATCTTGAATCCAGGGTTCAAAACAAACAATATACTAAAACAAAAAAACTGAGTTGTTCTAATGCTCTTAGATGCATTCAAACTCTTTCAGATTGCAGATGCTGATGTCATTGCTTTTGTCACTTTTGTATGCATGCATGCGTATCATACATACACATGGCACACCCCTAATTGTGACACAAAATCCAAGAAGCAAAAAAGGCACAACACACTGGAAACATACAGCTCAAACGCACCAAACCAGGGTCCATGGGGGGGTACCATATATATATATATATCTTACATCATTGCCTTGATGATTGAAGCCATCGTGGGAAGCGCCCCCTCCCAACTGGGAGAAACACCAGGCCTTGGCCAATACCCAAATCCTACTGTGGATGGTTGCGACATCCGTTCCCACCAAAGAAACCATGGCTGCAACCATTGTCTGTTGGTATTTCCAGAACAATTCCAGGGTTTCTTAGGCGGTGAAGGAGTTCGTCCGTCCATCCAGTCTACATCTGTTCTTTAGTTGTCACTTTATCCAAGGGCGAAGATGCAAGATGGTACCAAACGCTGACGCAGTGCAGGGTTCCCTATGTGCCCCCTTCAAACGTCACACCTGCCAAACAAAACAACACCTTGACGCTCACAAAAGTGAGGTTCGAAATTACCAAAAAGGAGGGAATCAAGGCATCGACCTCCTGTTCATTCAGTTGCTCCTTAGGGACCCAGCAATAGAAGACAATCACTTGTTGGGGCCACGACTTAAAATGACCAGCATGAGCCCAAGGGTTCAACCCCAATTGAAAGAATGGTTCACCCAATTTAGATGACAATCCTTAGGTAAACAAAGGTGGTTAGAGCCCCCATGGTTATTGTTTTAGTGGTGGTTTGAACACTGGGTGAGGAAACCCAAAGTTCACAAAAGGTTGTCTTGGGTCGATTCGCTTTGGGCAAGTCAATTCAGCCGTTCAGCCAAAACAAACCAACACTCCGGGCGTGTTCTCCCCTTACATTTGCTAGTTGCTAGCTCGCCCCCTGGAAAACAAATCCAGTAGTGGAGGCGATTCCCTTCAAAACCAACAAGGGCAAATACGCAACCTGGACCCTCAGCATTCCCGGAAAAATAGCTATTGCCCCAAATATTTGGGTTGCTGAATTATGGACTCTTCTTTATGGGTAGTTCTTTCGGGCCCAACACTCTTCCTTTCAGCTAATAAATGGACTCCCCCCCCTCCCACCCACCCCCAAGGCCCCCCCAACAAAAAAAACCACGCGCTCCTTCCCCCCGCCCCCCCTCCCCCTTTCCCCCCTCCCTCCTCCCCCGGGCACCCGGCTCCTCTTAGCACCCCATCCAAGTTCGCACACGCCGCGCCAACGACCTTGTTCGCGCCTTGGGCATCGAGAACCAGGGCAAGGCCTGCAGTCGGTTGGCCAGCTCCACCATGTGCTCCACGCACACGCCCTTGGGGCCTGGAACGCTCGGAAGCCGATCACGCAGTGGAAGCAAGCGCTTGGCCGATTTCTTCCACTTGCGTTTAGGGCCCCCTGGAAAAAAAGGTTTACAGTGATCAGGGAAAGAACAATGTGTTCTGTATAGTGATAGATTCCCTTTGAAACGAAGAGATGAACATAACAAATATATTCTGAAGCAAATGGAAGTGATAGGCAGGGAACCACCAGAAATGCATGGTTTTCTTGGGGGTCATTCCATTTCTCATTCCCTGCGAGCACCAGTAAGGTTTTACGCGTTCAGGCTTGGGTGCTCGGGCAAGGTGAGTGGTTAGTAATCTGGGGTACGGTATGACCGACTCGCTAAGTGGCTTATAGCCGTGCTGAAACGCGTGCGGTTTTTGGCGCTGAACGCCGACTGGAAAAACTGGGGACTGCCCGGCTTAAGTAAAAAGGTAAAACAAGCTTGTGAACCAGATGGCTGGGAGCCACCCAGAACTTTCAGGGGCGTTCGAAAAGCCAACCAAAGCCAACTGATCGAACAAAACTCGCTTCCCGTCGAGTTTGGCCAACAGAAAGTAATGAAAGGTGAGGCTTAATGCAAAACCAACTGGACACCCATTTCACATAGTAGGGCCATGAGTGAAAATAGGGAAAATCCCAAATACATGTGTGGTGTCTCTTTGATCCCCTTGAGACACTAAAGGGGTGCCCTCACAACAGAATACACTTTTTCAAGGGTGCGTCGCTTGAGCGAGCGACGTGCCCTTGACACAGAGCCCGCCTGCAAAAACAAAACGCGGCGTGGTGCTTGAGCTATGTCGCGGCGCATCAGATTTGTTCATCCCAGTGAGTCCAATTAGCAATTAGAGCTTCGGATCCGCCTGCTTGGGTCTGGTCGCTGGGCAGCGATCGGTTCTCCCAGCTGCGTCCCAGGGACTCATCTGTGTCCCATACGTCCTGGGGCGACACAAAGAGGTTGGGATATGGGTGTGAGTCCAAATTGGTACCCAAGCTGGAGCCCTGGCAAATGGGAGAAAAAATATGCGGTCCCCTGAAATTTAATTTTGACCCATATAATAATATGGGCCTGTCCTGTTTTTGAAGCAACCCTTTTTTTAGCTCTAAGGGAAACCACCAATTTGGAACAAGGGGGTCGCCCTAAAACAGGATGCTCTCAAATAGTGAGTAAGAATTTCAATTTGGACCTACATGTGCTAAATTGCCCCTCACTATAGGGGTTGGCTTGGGTTGGTTTAGGGACTGGGTTAGGGTTGGTTCGGGATGGGGTGTCAAGACATCTCAGAAAACCTTCCCTATCCAGCGATTCATCCTCAGTATGGGGCTGTCTTCTTTTTGAGGGTACCCGTATTTGGTCGCTTCTCAAGGAAAGCCAAAACAAAAACCGATGCCATTTCAGGGGGGTCCGCTTCCTAAAAATAGACGAGCCACCCATATGTTTCGAAAAACACATTCCCTTAGCGTTCAACCGCCATTAAAAGAAGACAATCCCCTGCATGGAGTTCAAGCCACCATTAAAACAGTGGGGGTTGATATATATATATATATATATGTATGTATGTATATATATATATATATATCTATATATATATATATATATGGGTATGTGTTTTTTGACGTGGCCGTGCCGGGAGGTTGGTATAAGGGGTATGAATCGCAGGTATGGTTCGGGGTATGGCTCGGGGGTATGATTCGGGGTATGGCTCGCGCGCCTCTGAACTCTTGCTTTGTGCCTTTGGACGCTGCAAAGCTCCCGTGCGCTGGCAACTGGATAGCCGTGAGAATTTGGACCGCTTAGTTGCTACAAGCCAGCCTGGGGCGCTTGTGAGTGGCCTGAACTAGACAGCTGCCACTCTGCGTTAGTGGGTTAGCGAAAGCTGCTGCGCTAGGTAGAAGGCGCAGAGCCACTGCCTGATTCGAACGTCATGGCCACCTCCATTTGGAGTTCAAGCTACCGGCGTGCTCACAGACCCAAGCAAGCGTTGCTTAAGGGGAAGCGCCGCCGCTGCCCAGGCGCGCCACCCGCACCAGTCCCGAACCAGCGTAGGGGCAAGACAGCGTGACATCCTCAAACGGCAGCCGCGCAGAGGCTAGTGGGCCTCTCACAGGTGGTGTACCGTGTCGCGCTTGATACATCGCAGTAAGCCTTCCGAACCCACCTTCTGGCGAACTTCTGCGAAAAGAGCCGCGAGCTGGTTCCTGCAGTGCTTCTCTTTGAGTTTTGTGTCTTCTGAGGCGGCATAGCTTCGCTAGTACTGCCCAGAGCGCAAGAGGCTCTTGGCTGCAAATGGCAGCAGAAGGGTATGAATCGGGGTATGAATCGGGTATGAATCGGGGGTATGAATCGGGGGACAGATTTTTTTCGACCGGAAAGACACCAAGAGTGCCCCAGGAGCACAAAGACAGCTTGTGTTTCACTGCGACAGTGGCCCAAAACAGACAGCTGTTTCCACCGCGTCGGACAGACTGCAGGAAGCAAGCTCCAAGTTTCAAGCTCAGCAGCGGCACCCCCCGCCACAGCGCCCTGCAAGTCCCAGCGTCTTACGTCAAGCTGCACCCCCCCGCCACAGCACCACGGATGCTACAAACAACTCTAGTACCAGGACATCCGCAGGATTGCTTTATAACTCCATCCATTGGCACTTTCCATTGAAAATAGCAAGCCAAGACCGAGGTGGGTAACCGAGTGTCAAGGAACATTAGTTGAGCCAAAATGGCCCCCCCACAAGTAACCAGTGAGTGTGTGAGTGGACATGTCCCAACCATGCAAGCATCGCAGACTCAAGAATAGATCCAAGAACCACAAGTGAACCCTTATGAGTAAAGATTGGTAGTCATACCTGGAGTCTCCATGACCCTTTACAAATGGGGTCAGTACCCAAAATTACGGGGCTATGACCCTTTCTCTAGGGGTCATGGAGACTCTAAGTATTGACCCAACCATTGTTCTGTATGGTGGTAACTGAACCCCACAGATCTGGACCTTCGGATTCGGTTTTCGCACCACTTCGAAACCGTAGGAAACCATTCCTTCCAGAGTTTCACTGTAGCCCTCTCAAAAGACTGGCCATACCGTGCATGGTTGCGAAATCCATTTCGCCACCACTTCGAAACCATGGTTGAAACCATAATGTTTGTTGGTATCTACGTTGGGGAATCGAATCCTTCCAATCGCACCAGCAAGAAGAAACATAGTGAGTTTCCATGGATTTCCAATTTTTTTTACCAGGGAATCGAATCCTCTCAAGGCTTATGATCGGGGTGCGACATGGAGTTTCACATCCATCCACCGAAAAAAAAAAAAAAAGGAAAAAAAAAAAAAAAAAAACGCAGGAAACCCCAGCTTGGGGCCATAGCTCCAGCCCTTCGGCTGAGGGGCGATCATCTGCCAGCTGGAGAACCGCAGGACTGCTGTGCCTCGCTCCCAAGTGAAACCGGTTGATGGTGGAGAAGCTGGGTAAGCTTTGGCCAGCAAAGAGGTAGACGTTGAATTTTAAGCACGCTTGACTATATGTTTGCTGGTTGGCTGTTCAAAATGGCTCGTGTTGGCCAATACCGATCCATACTCCTCACTGGAAAACCAAAACAAAGGGGGCCGAATCATTTCGTAACTGAAGGTGAGAGTCTTTCGGCTGGCCTTTGAAGCCTCAATTCTCGAGAGGGTTGCAGGGCTCAAGGTGAGACTAAAGCTTCCCCCTTGGTATGGTAGAGCACCATCGTGTCTTGGCCAAGGCACCGTTCAAAATCTCCAAGAAGCGCGGGTGAAAAAGCTGCGCCGTCGCGTTCTCAGCATATGCCACCTAGGAGTTCGTCAGCAGCAGAATACATCTCGGGCGATACCCGTGGGGTGCTCCCTCCGCCCGCAGGAGCGGTGCAAGTCTAAGTCTCTTCCCTGAGGATGGCCCAAGTCAAAAGGTTGTGTTGTCCACTTACATAGTCCAAAGCCACAAAAAAGCTGTCAAAGTCCAGGAACCCATCGAGTAAGCTAACTTATTGTTGCTTTGATGGAACATGGGTCCTTTGGCACCTTTTAGGGACCCAAGACTAGGGAAGGCTGTATTTTGCTTTTGGCTCTAACCATGAGTTGCCGTGGACATTCTTTTGGTGAAGGCCCTTGAGAGACCTGCAATGAGCTTCCCTTCAAACTACAAAGACCTGCTTGAACGTTCGATTCGCCAAGCTAGCATTTTGTTGGCAACCGTTGGGTTATATCCCACATAGTTGTCACCTGTGAACGTGGGGTTAACCTTAGGGTGTTATATAACAGGTGTTGATCCCCGCTTACAAACTTGGCAAAGAACTTCCGAGCCATGTGACTGACTTGATCGAAGCTGCAGCGTTCAACGTCGGGCGACTGCGTGGGACTCCCAAGGACGTGCATCGAAACCATTGGACGGGTCTGACATCTGAAAGGGCTGGACATCCCTTCTGTCCAAAACAAGAACATGACGCAAATGGAAGTGGGGCAGACTTTGTGACATATTCATCCATATCTGCCGCAGGAAACATTTGTTTGATGTGGGCAATGTGCGCCATCGTGGAATCCCCCATAGGAACAATGGCTGGTCATCGGCCAGAAAATCCTTGGTTAGAAATCCTAAAGGGTCCACGAGTAAAGGAATCGGTCTTTTGCTGGAGGGAACTCAGGTCTGACAGTTTGGAGGGTCGCTCACAATTCTTGGCCCAAAAGTGCAATGGCAACCCCGGATGAAGCAGAAACCCTTTTTACTAATAGAGGTGGCCTTGGGTGTTGGGAAGCAGACCACTTTTTGGAGGGGCTCCTAGCCCCCCTATGAATAGGAGGGCACTATGAATCCGGGGTCAAGATTACACAGAAAATCATAGTTGCCACAGGTTGTTCTAATTCCGTCTTGCTAACCTTCCTGAGTTGCGTGTGCCCTTCACCCTCCAGTGATTTGTGGTACGTACGGTCAACATACTGTGGATGGGTCCTCGAAATCCATTTCGCACCACTTTTAAACAGGGATCCTTACAGGATACACCTGAACATTGCCTTGTAAATGGTGGTGTCCCTTTATTTTGGTGGAAAAAGCCATGTTTTAAATGGTTGCAAAACATGTATCTTTTAAGGAGCCCTGTTTAAACCATGGTTGAAACCAGAACGTTTCTTGGTATTTGCCGGTTTTTATCGAATCCTTCCTTGGGTTTCTGATCGGTGCGAGAAGCGGACTTCGATTTCAACCATCCACAGTAGGTCTATGGAACCCCCATCAGTGCCTGGCTTCCGTTAGGCTGCCCATCAAAACCTGAAGAGGGTACCCCCTGTTAAGGCAAAAATGAGTCGCAACCAAAACCTGGCATGAAAATGGTATACCCAAACCAATGTAAAGGACTACAAAGGCGGATTCCCGCAACTATTTCTGCCTGGGACTTTCCCTTACTAACCTTCACTTCCCCGGGTTTTGATTGTGGCTGAAATGGCCCCAGGTGGAAGGGAGAAGTGGAAGGTTTTGGTCGTTGGCTTGAACGTTTAAACCTCCAAAAAGGAGCCTGGCATTCAAACCGCCATTAATGTAATGGGGGCTCATATAACCACCATTGTTTAGCTAAGGATTGTCATCATCCAAATTGGGTCCTTGCCTTCCTGTTGATGGGGGTTGAACCCTAGGAAAGAGGAAACAAGCGCTGGTCTCGGATGCTTAGCCCACTCAGAGGGCAAGCACTGGTTTCGGATGCTTAGCCCACTCAGAAAGCAGACTCGGTCTCAGATTTCGTCCACCTCAAAATATGAAGCTCGTCTTGGGGTGTCTTTGTTTAGGCCCCAAAGTCAGTATGTCAAGCAAGGCTGAGTGCCACCAAGAGTCAGGAACCAAGGTCAAAGCATGCAGTGGGTCAGCTTCATCCGTACCCACGAGTCGTACCACGATGCCTGTAGCTATGGCAACCAACCCACGGCTCCCTGACTCGGAGTCTGGTAAATTCGACCCCGGAAAAGACGTGACTCGCCACTCTTGGGCTGCTGTGGCTCTTTTGCCATAGCTCTGAATTAGCAGATTGTTTCTCAGGGTAAATACACCAAAGTCCATATGCATGCAGCCTTTGAATGTAAGATATTACCTGAACGGACCTCAGTCATCGTGAAGGTTCTCTTTACACTCAATCGGTTTTCACATACCCAAAAAAACATGAGAACAACAAGGTACATACCATTTATATACTGGCCATGTGGTGGTTGTGCACGCCACAAACCCCTGACCCCCTCAAAACGGCCATCTATACACTCCCTCGGATGTCCTCAGAATACCTCCAAGTGGGTACGTCCTAAAGTAGGGGATTTTGGGCCAGGGTCATCCTTTTGAACACTCCCTTGCAGACTAACATTGGAACTCAAACATGGGGACGGGCATGAGCCGAGTGTTTCTTGGGAAGGTAATGCTGGTGACGCAATGGACGCCTACAACGGCACCTACGCCATGTGCAAGTACCATACGGGACGAAGTCTCTACAAATTCAATTGAACTCCAAACCCTGAACATAGAAACAACGTACATGTTTTCCTCTAACACGCTCTCGCCCACCCACCCCCCTCCCACCCCCCACCCATCCCCACCCACCCACCCCACCAGTGATTCCAAACCCCTGGGAATGAATATCTTCCCCAAACCGACTGGACCAAATCGATTTCCGCTTTCGTGAAACTCGAGCCTCGATCGATCCCTTCGCTTCGTGGGAATTTTGTGCCTTATGCCATCCAGGGAGGGGTGGAATTGGGGTCCGGGAACACGGAGCAAACACGAAGCAAACATGTTTCTAGTCTTCCCCACAAGGAAAGTGGGGGACTGTACCACTTTTTTGAGGCCTCGGACCCCCAACATGTCCTTTTGCGTTGTTCCCCTTTTTAAAACCACGTCACAACGGTACTCTCAAAAAAAACATATTCAAGCCAATCTGAACCAGTGGAACTCATCTTCTAACGAAACTTTCCCATCAAAAGGACACCTATGCTCAAGGTTCCGGGGTTTAAATGAAGCCCAGGGGACCCCAATGTGTCCCGTTTCAAACGGAGGTCTCCAGTCGAACCCTCCAATCGCCCCAATTCCATTCTTGGTTGCACACCTCTGCAAAAGTTTCTTAACTTTTGTGGGTTGAATGGAAAAGCCTTGATTTCTCAAAGTTAAAGTCTAAAGATCCAACCTAATAGCAATCATTAAGGGACCCGGAAATATCCAAACTTTCTGCCGTCCCAGCATCCGCTTTGCGGCGTCACGAGGACCCTGGCGGAGTTGTCCTGTCGACCGAGGCTCGAAAAAACAGGGTGCGCAAACACCGTTCACGTGTTGCTGCTTTGTGGGAAGAACTTAGCCAGCCTCATGTCAATGTTTGTTCAGCCGGAAAAAAAGAACGCTTGTTTTTACAAGCGCAGAGTATTTGCAATTGCCCCCGCGCAAAGCACCCTGAACTGAGAACGCCTTCCTCTCCAAATTAGCATAACATCCAAACCGGGACTGCAAGGAGAGTCCTCCCAGATTTCAGTTGTCCCAAAAGCGCACCCATTGAATCGTTTTTTTTTTTTTTTTTCCCCCGCGTCTATCTCATTGTTTGTGTTTCTCCATATATATTTTCCAGTTGTGTTGCTCTGTTCTTTCTTTGTGGATGCTTATTTGTTTTGGTCTGTGTAACAATGCTGCCAACAACAATGTGGAAGACAATCTCTCATTGAGCCACAGCCTGTTGACGGGCAAACACCGCTGCCAAAGTATGCAGATCTGATTGATGTGTGGCTATCCCACTGCCCCCATCCGCCAACCCCCGAATCCCCCATCCGCCAACCCCCCAATTCCCCCCAATTCCCCCCTACCCCCCATCCAACCACCCCAGCCAACCACCCCCACCCCAAGCCCCATCTCACCCCCTCCCGCCCCATTCCCCCCCCCACCCCCCTCGCCCCAGCCAACCCCCAATCCCCCCACCCAAACCCCGCACCCACCCCCCCTCCCCCAAGGCGTGCAGCTCCGTTTCCTCCTCGCTGATCAGCTTCGCGTCGCCCTCCCAAGAGATGGTGCCGTTGCCCTGCCAGGTCGCCACCTGCCGCCAGCGTGGCGCGGCTCACTGACGCCGGCTCCCGCTAGGTAACAAAGCATCGGAGCGGAGTCTGAGGCGTTTTTTTGGTTTTGCAGCCCTGCTAACAAATGAACAGAAGAAAACATAAAACCAAGAAGGACAACTTACTTGAGCCAAGAACAGTGAAGAAGGGTCCCTGTATGGGGTTTCTTCAGCAGGACGCCGCTTTTTTGACAGGCATGGGGCTCTGGTTCATTTCCTTGCATAGCCCAAGGAACCCTCCAAAAACAACAAGAAATCAGCCTCCCTCGACGTTTGGTGGTTTGGTCTTGGTGTTTGGAGGTGTACCGCGGGGTGCAACCCCCGTGTATCTCCAAGAACCAGATGTTCAATTCCTCGTAATGACCAACCATTTTTAAGGGGTCACAAGGAGACTCCAGGTACGGCAAAAAGCCCAATGTTGACCCAGGATTTTAATAAACCCGTCCCATTATTAGGGTGGTGTCCCTCCAAAAGTGGTCTGAATCTTCGCAAAAAGGGGACACCCCCCAATCAAAACTGCTTAATCCGAGGTTAACATTACCCCCTGTCAAAGACACTGCCTGGCCTTGGCAGGCCCTCGCCTGTCTGCTGCAGTCAATCCGAGGTTAACATTAACACCAACACAGGAACATAAAAAAACAACATATTATGCGAATGGAAGTCTGAGTGGGATGAATCGCAGGGATTCGATCTGGGTCTGCAACAAGGAGTACCTAGAGTCTCCATGACCCCTTAAAAATGGTTGGTCATTCGGCCTTTTTTTGGGCAATGACCAACCATTTTTCACGGGTCAGAAGGAGACTCTAGGTAGCCCTAATCCGAGGTTAACAAATCACGGATCCCAGGCGCGTATTCCCCGTCTTCCACGTAGGTGCCGCCCAAGCCAATGGTCGCCTTCACCGAGCTCTGGCGCTGGCTGCCTCAGAGGAGGGAGGCTTTCTCCAAGGCTCCCACTGACCGGTGGCTCGGTCAAAACCCGACTTTTTGGCTCAGTGACACCGGGGAAAAAAAAACGGGAACCCTTTTTGGGAAAGACCATGTTTGGTGGGGCAGCCACCAACAAAAACAACCGGGGAAAACGAAGAAAGGGTGCCACTGAAGAACTGAGAGCCCGAAAATTTTAGCTGTTTCTCGTTGCTGCCAAAGGGGACAACCCAGAAATCCCCTTCCCAAAGGCTCCGATTCGATGGGCCTTCAAAGAACCTTTTGAGACCGGGCCACCGATTCCCGGGGGTGTCTGCTTCGGGCTCGGGTCTTGAAAGCCGAAGATCGGAGCCTGGGAAAGCACCAGGAAGCCCCCAAAATTCCAACTGAAAAATGGGTTTGACGGTTTGACCCCCAAAATCATGGTTGGCGAAATCCCATTATGGGTAGTTTGAGGGTCCAGGCGCAAGGAAAGCACCCCCCGGTTTTTTCCCGATCGCTGCGAGCTAGTAAGTTGTGATCGCCATTTGAGGATTTTTCCGCTGGAAGGATAACTCCACGGAACGGAAGGCTTGACATGGGTTATAACCAAGGTTACCAGCTTACTAAAATGGCTGAACACCCATGTGGGGAAATGAATGCAGAACACCCCGTTAAAGGAAGCCACCAGTTTTTGTCGGGGTCATTCCAACTCGTTCCCTGCTGAGCACCAGCAAGAGTTGTGTTTTGTTCAATATCGACGAATTAGACAACTCGCAAAGCCCCATATTCAGACGCTCAAAGGCGGGTAACATGTTGCACTTACTTCACGGAATTTCAGAAGGATGCGCTTTCGAGCTAAAACAGCCCCTGCGGAAACGAAGGTAGGCTTTTGGATATGAGGCCCCGGAACCACCCGAGTCAAAGGGCGCCAACGGACCGCCCGACCAGTGGAACAATTCCGCAACTCTCTTCCCCACCCTGGAGCTTTGGGCCTATGGAAAGCTTTGAGCTGGGAGAAGAACGGCGTTGCTTTTCTTCTCAATGGGAGTTTGCCATATTTTATTGTTGGTAAACCCCCAAAAGCTAAAAAACTTTTAAAAAGAAGAGCTAAAAACAAAACCCGATAGGAGTTCCCCGCTAAAAAAGCCCACCCCAACAAGCAACGGGCTCCATACAAAAAAATATTCGGGTCTTGCGGGGGGAGGGGGGAGGGGGGGAAAAACACACACGCAGATCTGACAATATGGTGAATCGGGGGCCCACCGCAAGGAAAAAACTAAGCTGACAATCCCAACAACTTGCTGCTCCTATCCCCTACTCATAAGGGGTGGGGGACCTGGAAAATGCATATATGCAGTTTTAAGGTCCCCCCTCGACATCCGGGAGCCAGGACGTGACACAAAGCCTCCTTCAACCGCCAGAGCAGAAGGAATGAGTGCGCCTGTAAAGCTCAGCTTGGGCTGAAGGCCTACTTTTGACATCGACCCACTTAGGTGTTTTTTGACCTACATCTTGGAGAGCGTTGTTGGGTATCGTTATCCAGGCAAGACCACAAATGGAGCACCTGTGTGATACACCCTTGCATGCCGTGGCATGACTCAAGTGATGGCTATTTACATATGAGCCTGGTCGCAAATACCCCCCACAACACCCCCCCCACCACAACACCCCCCCCCACCCCCCAACACCCCCCCACAACACCCCCCCCCCCAACACCCCCCCACAACCCCCCCACCCCACCCCCCACCACCCCCCACCCCCCCACCCCCCCCCCCCCCCCCCCCACCCCCCCACCCCCCCCCGGCAGGGAAGATTAGGTCCTATGTGGCGTGCGCGCGCGGGATGATTGTTTCCCCCAAAGTGGTACGCGCGGGGGGATGTTTCCCTCACTCATGATACACACACACACGCGCGCACGCACGCACGCACGCACGCGCGCAAGCACGCACGCACGCACGCACGCACGCAAACACAAGCAGAGAGAGAGAGAGAGAGAGAAACTGAGAGAACAAAGGGCACTCAAACAGAGTGTCAAGCAATACACACACACACACACCAAGTACACTAACAAACAAAACGCCCTTTTTCTTTTTAATTTTCGAATCATTCTAGAAACTCCCAAAGGGGCAGGGGACTGTTGGGGAATTCCGAAACAATTTCTTCTAGCTTATTGAAATTTATACTTGTTCTATTTATTACCCAAGGGACGGGCGCGCTCTGGGGAATTCCAGATGCATTGTCCTAATTCTTACAGCTATTCTGATTATTACATATTTTTCACCAAGGGACGGGTGCCCTTTGGCGAATTCCAGATTCACGTGTTTTCGAATCATTCTACGTGATTGTATATTTATTCGCAAAGGGGCGGGTGCATTTTGGGTCAAATGTGTTCGAGTTAGTCTACTTCTCATAGCAATCATCACTCTCTGATGTATTCCCACAGGAGGGTACCTTTTGGGGAAATCAACATTCATGGTTGATCTAATTATTTTACTCATTCTAACAACTTAAGCAAATCTAAGGATTCTCGTTGTTTTCAAGCCATTTGGTGAAGTCCAGTGTGGTTTCCAGGTCATTCTGTTCTGATTATTCTGGTTGTAGCACGCATTCCCAACGGCACGGGGCCCCTTGTCGGGAATTCGCCCCTAATTAGTTCCTTTGTTCTAGCTATTCCCAAGGAACGGGTGACTGGTGCCTTTTCGGAGATCCCAATTCCAGATTCATGTGTGTTTCAACTATAGTATTCTCTAACTAATCAACTTATTCTCATTCTAATCATTCCCAAAGGGGCGGGTGTGTCTTGTGGAATTCAAGATCCATGTTTGCCAGCTATTCTACTTATCATAACTATATTACTTGTTCTAATTATTATAATTCTTCCCAGAGGGACGGGTTGCTTTTGGAGAATTCCAAACCCATCTTTGTCCTACTGTCTTAATTATTGGGTATGCTTCCCCACAAAATTACAATTATTTTCATTTATATACTTATTGCGAAAGGGGCGGGTGCCTTTGGGGGAACTCCAGATTTATGTTTGTGCTAATTATTTGAACGAATCTAAGTATTCTACTTCTTCCAAAAAGTGGGGTGCCTTTTGATGAATTCCAGATTCATGTTTTCTAACTATTCTACTTATCATAACTCTTCTAATTCTCATTATTATTCCCAAAGGGACGGGTGACTTTTGGGGAATTCAAGAGCCCTGATTGCTAAGCATTCTACTTATCATAATCATTCTATATTATTCTAATTGAATCCCTAGGGAGCTGGGGTGCGTCTTGGGGAATTCCAAGCTCGTGTTTGCCCTGGGTAGGATAATTGTGTCAAAAGGGACGGGGCCTGTTGGTGGCGAGATTCGTGGTTCTCGCATTGTTCAAACTATTCGAGCCATTCCCAAATGAGCAGCTCCCATTTAGTAAGTTCTAGATTATTTCCCTATTTTCTATTTGGTCCCAAACAGGAAGGTGCCGTTTAGTGAGTTCAAGATTCACGTTCGCTGATTAGTCTACTTATCATCAGTCTTGTAAAATACTACTATCATTATTATTTACAAGGGACGGGCACCTTTGTTGTTCTAGGTACAACAATTACTACACAAGAGGTGGGTGCCTTGTACGTCTTCCCATTATTCTTGTCATTCCCAAAGGGGGGGGGTGCTTGCGACAAATTCCTGATTCTTGCTTTTTCCAATTCTTTATTCTCCAAATTGGGCAACTTTCAGATTCATTGTTTCTCTAACTACTCTACGTACAATATGTTCTGTTCTTGGGCGTGCCCAAATTATTCCAATTATTCCCAACGGGACGGGTCCCTTTTGAGGAATTCCAGATTCATTTTCTAGTCTAGCACATCTACTCATGAACTTATTATAATCATTCTTCCCAAAGGGACGGGTGCCTTTAGGGAATCTCCAGATTCATGTTTGTTCCAATCTTTCTAGTTATTCTAAATGTTCTGTTGTTTCTTATTATTCCCAAGGGGGCGGGTGCCTTTGGGGAATTGAAGATTCATGTTTTGCATACTAGCCTACTTATCATCGCCATGATTTCTCCTTATTCCAAGAGAGGCGGGCGCCTTTTGGGGAATTCCAGGTTCATAGTTTTTTTCTGTTGATTCTACTTCTGATATATTTTTCTCATGATTATTCTCATTCCCAAAAAGACGGGAATTCCAGGCTCTTGTTTTTGCAACTGGTCATTCCCAAATTTGGGGGAAATTCTGATTCATGGTCTCTCTCTTATTCAACTTCAGGTGTTTTGGAACTACCCGCATTGTCCAAGTATCGCCAACGGGGCGGCCCTTTTGAGGAGTTCCAGATTCATTGTCTGCTACACTATTCTACTTCTTATGATCAGTCTTCTCAAAGGGACAGGTGCCTTCTGGGAATCTCCAGGTTCATGTGTGTTCGATTATTCTAGTTGTTCTAACTGCTCTAATTTTCTAATTACTCCCACAGGGACGGGTGCCCTTGAAAAATTGAACATTCATGCTTGGGAAATGTTGTCTACTCATCGTAGCTATTATAATGATTATTCTTATTCCCAGAGGGACAGGTGCCTTTTGTTGAGCTCCAGAATCATGTTTGTTTTTTCAATGTTTTTAATGATTCTAGTTCTGATAACTGCTCTATTTATTCTTGGCATTCCCAAAGGGACAGGTGCCTGTGGGGAATTCCAGATTCTTGTTTTTCAATTTCTTCATTCCTCAAATTGGGGAATTTCAGACTCATAGTATCTCTAATCCTTCTACTTCAGATATTTTCTGTTTTTGGAAGTACCCGGATTATTTCAATTCTGCCCAACGGGACGGGTCCCTTTTGAGGAATTCCAGATTCAATCTACTCATTAACTTATTATAATCATTCTTCCCAAAGGGACGGGTGCTTTAGGGAATCTCCAGATTCACGTTTGTTCTAATCTTTCTAGTTATTCTACATGTTCTGTTGTTTCTTATTATTCCCAAGGGGGCGGGCCTTTGGGGAATTGAAGATTCATGTTTTGCATATTAGCCTACT